ACCACTGAAAAGCATGTAATAAGTGGATATATTACCTGTTAAGATTTTATATCACCCGAGCCGTTAGGCCGTTAGAAATAGATTTCTGTTTATAGAGAATAATAGGTTGGTGCCGTGGATGGAGAAAGTTTATCTGGCGAGGCGGAGGAATTTATTGGGTGAGCCGAAGGCGAACCCAATAAATTCCGGAGCAGAGCCAGATAAACTTTCTCCATCCACGGCACCAATCTATTATTCTATTTATCCTGTCACCGTTTTTTTTAAAGAATTTTATTATGCAAACTACCTTAAATCATACTATCGGAAATGTTTCTATATAAACAAAGAACACGGTGTCAAGGGTATACGCATCATTTTTCCGCGTACCGCCGATAATTTATCATCATGTGCGCAACACCGTATCATTCTTACGTAATCTTCTGAAAAGTTCAAAAGGTAATTTAAAAAATGCGAAAATTTCTTACTAAAATTGATTTTATTTAGAGAGTTTGCATACATCACGGAAGTTTTGAATGATTTTTCTATGTGTGCAAAACATTTTGCAACAATATTTGTCTATTATAACCTGAAACAAATGAAAACACTTTTATACATGTGAAACAATTGTGTTCTTGATGCGAACATTTTTCACCCTTTTCCGAAAGTAAAGCTGTCGGAAGAAGTATCATATGTCAAATGATCACAAAAAGCATTGACCCGAGCTGATAACATACCAATTTTATACAAATAATGCAAAATAATGTTGTAAAATCAAGAAAACTTTGATAAACAATGTACCGCATCATGCAGAACCATGGCAACGCTTCTATTTGCGCGGTAATACTGCATACATGTACTTTAAAATGTGTTTAACTGTTGTTTTTTGTTGTTGTTTTTTTGTTTGTTTTTTTTTGGGGGGGGGGGGGGGGGGGGGTATTGTTATTTTATTATTGTATGATTGACAAGAAGAGGTAGATGTTGCTTATCGGTTATGATAAGCGAGGCAATGGATTACCTGGGCCTGGAAGCAATCAGGACCTCTATAGCTTTTTTTAAAGATTATTTCTTGTTAAAATTCTATGCTTTCGTAGCAGTTGCATTTTATGTTTTTTATGAAGTTGAACTTTTCTTTGGACTAGGGAATTGCATAATATTTGCAGATATCAGTAATTGAAATTTTACTCTCAAATTTGTTAATACAACACACAAGCAAGTCAAAGCTCATATTTCTAAAATAGTATTTCTTTTTTAAATTTGAATTTTAGTTACTTAACTAATTGATTGGGCACGTAACTTACGCATATTACTGAATTCAAGAAAAGTGGCAACTATGTATGGTGGCTGATTTGGTACATTGCGCGTTGCGTTGTCGATAGCGTCGACGCAACCTATATCGTTATCGCCTTTTCGTCTTAATTGTCGCTATCGACAATACGACAAAGCACCAAATGGTGCGTTGTCGCGCTGTCGTCTTGTCGTCCTGTCTCTAGCGCGGTACGCCAAACGGCACCAACACGACGCACAAAAGTGTTCTAAATCAGCCACAATAGTAAGAAGACACTTTTAAGTAACCGTTACTTTCCACATGGATTTAGTGCAGTTGAAATATACGGTGTCCTTCTTGGGACAATTACAGGACTGCTATTGACATGCTCGATTTTTTCTTAAAGTTTTGTCCGCCTTTCTGTATTTTTAAAGACAAAGTAGCAAAGTTTTAAGTCTCACAAAATACTTTTCGCGACATTCAACATTGAATTTGTCGAATAGTTGAACATTGAGTCAATCTTAACAGGCGATATTTAACTGCCTCAAACAGAACACTATAGAAACCGATGGAAAGTAGTGCGCATCTCATGAGAATATCCAGTTTATCGAGAAATTGGATGTCCATTTCCAGGAGCAAAGTAACTGTTGATTTTAGCATTGACGAAACAAACAGTTGTTCGTTGGAAAATTGTACAATATTTAGTTTTTTTATATAGTCTGACATTCTATAAAACAACATTAGCGTGACATTTACTGTACCCACCGGCCCACCACACACAAAAAAATCAACTGCCATAAACTGCTGAACATTGTGTTAAGGTAAGCATGTGAATAAGGAAAGGTCCAAAAATGTAATCCATATAACATTGACGCAAAACTAGTTAGAGACGATTTCAATGTTGACTGACATAATCGACTTTAGTAAATTTGACATTATGTTAATTGATGACACAGCCATTTTAACATTGTTTATCATAATTGAAAGTGAATTATGTCCGATTGACTAAGTGCACGAAAGTTCCGTGCGAATACAATTTACCACACTTTCACTGCCAAAAGCTTAAAGGCCTAGCAAATATTTTCTATAGTTTTTATATTTTCAAAGTGAACATACATTAGATCTATTTATAGTTAAATGTGTTTATTAATTTATCGGTTCTTTAGAATTAAATGTCGTATAAGTCAGATACAGTTACTCGTATTTTCTTCAAAATTGTCTTCTTATGTCTGTAAGAAGACACTTTTGAAAGAAAACTCGTACTGTATCCATTACATATTTGTGTCGGCATGTATTTCTCCTTGTAGTTCCAGTTATTGATAGACTATTATAAAAACTTATAGATAACTTTAACCACAACAATTTAAGATTCTTGCGCGCCTCGACAAGCGATGCCAGAATTCCAAGTCCGCCGTTTCAGTCTAGAAGTCTCGGCGTCGATTCCTTACTTTTCCAATGTATTTACTCAAATTCTTTAGTTATAACAATATTTTATTTATAAACATTTCATTTACATGATAATTGACAAATATTAAATTGCACGGATTGAGTAGGAAGCTTGATTTTTTTAGAAAATCCCCCGTAAGGACTATCTCAAAGAGTATGTATAAAATGGTAACAATGATATATGCATATTTGTGTTAAATATACATAACATTTTCACTATAAACTTGCTTCTTTACATGCATAATAAAGTCAGCAATTTTCACTCAGGTTGTCCTAATCGAACCGATCTTAATATTAAAGTAAAGTCTCAGTTTCTTTCGAATGTGACCGTGGTCCCATGTGTTTACAGCGGACACACAAAGAATCAGGTTTGCTTCTAGAACTGAATAGTATTTATGCATTTCCCCGGTTTGTAAATAATTAATATACATCTACATGCTTCGCCCAGATGGGCAACAATAAATAAATACAAATAAGATTATTCTCCATTAGGTTAATCATCATAAAGCGGTGCAAATCTAGCCTAAATGTATACGGTGCCACAATTTTCGGAGCGGACCCATGATACGGTACCAAGAACTCAGTCAGTTGTCACGCTTTTATGACTTTTTTCAGAAATTAAAACAGCTTAAATATGTGTGCAATAATCTGTGTATACATATCTTTGATGCTTACAGTTATATTAAATAAATATTTTGATTGACAACAGAATTTTCTAATTTTAAAAGTATTACAAATTATCATTTTCCCAAAGCCAGCTCTAGCTGTTTTCATTAAAACAAAGAAATCGTACAAGTCTTTGATAAAAACTAGGTAAAATCATAACCTTTAATGATTATGATATTCTGTAGACACACTTTTATTAATACACTTACTTCAAAAGTTTCAAGTCGTTTTTCATCATGCATGTTGTGTTTAAGTGTTTGTTTTGTCTAAAATGATACGGTGCTGCGCGCAGGATGATAAATTATCGACGGTACGCGGAAAAATGATGCGTATACCCTTGACACCGTGTATTATCTCCCTGTGTATTTTCACATTGAGGGCGCCATTTTGTTTGAAAAATGTGATAAATAAAAACAATTTTTTGTCGAATTTTGTTGTGAAAACTATCTAGAATGAAAGAAAATGGTCTAACTAAGAAAATGAATTCGAACACCAATATCTTTTATTTAGTCGTTAACGCTGTACAGACGTTTAAAGTATTGTTTACGTGACGTCACAATGTAGCGCCAAACAGCACGTGCAAAACAATCAAACCAAGTACGCTATTTTAATGTCGCAACGTTATTGGCATCAACGTTTCCAAAATTCGTTATTCTACACACAGAAGATTTAACGACAGTTTTTTTCATACCACTGGAACGGCCTGTAAAGAACATTCCTATTGGAAACTCTGAGGCGAAAACAAATTTAACAACAACCAAACATAAAGTCCAACATTATAATAATAATTATGTTTTTTCTTGAAAAGTAGTCCGGCAAAATGCATACCACGTGATCAAGTGCCGTAGATCCGTAAAAAATATACGGCACCTTGTTATCGGGCCGAAATTGATACAAGTGACAGGATAATAAAATTATAATACCCTTCCCCTGCCGAGTTTAGACGATTTTTTAAAAAATCATTGCTGTTTCAAATGAAACGTCGAAATAAGATTCCCTTTAGGATACCTCTTCGTCACAACATGACGTCACATAAATACATGACGTATTTTTCCCGTACCTTACGAAAGTAAACAAGAGAAAAGGAGTAGTCTGTTGAACGCACTTTTTTGTCATTAATATCAAGCTTTCACAAGGTCATATTTGTTTTCGATACTGATGGATATATGTATCATTACTCTATTTTGGTAAATATTTATCATTTGACAGTTAAAAATTGCTTTTAAATCGGAATTTACACCGCGTAAAATCGAACCGTACGCGCATCACCTCAGCGCATATTGTTTACAACGTTGGGTACCAAACGGGGAAATTTAGTGTGTATATTACCCGTCTGGCTCGGTTATATCAATTTCTTTCGGGTGATAAATATCCAATCAAAAAGGCGGAAAAAATCTGGAAGGGTAATAAACATATATTTCAGTGGACCAAAAGCACATAGCGTAAAATAACATCAATTCATCCTTTGTCAATTGGATATCAAGTCAGGATTGTGCAAGAAAAAAACAACAATTAGGGTTCAAGAAGGGCAGCTATTCATCACATTATGTTAAATCATTTCAGAAAAATAAAACCTAATAATTTGTGGAACAACATTTGTATGTCCAGATTATAACGACAACGTTTCTTTAATTCTTTTTTTCAGATTTGTCAAAGATACCTACACAGTAATAGACGTACTGTCGAGGAAACTCGATTGCAAGTATTCTTCGATGAGGTGATGCATATTATCATGTATTTCATCTAGATAAGCTCAACCTGAACGTTTATTATAGCAATTGCTACGGAAGTTTAAAAATACGATTTAAAGTGAACAGACAGACAGACATATATACATGATATTTGATAGCTGCAAGCACTTTTTATGTATGTCTGTATGATAAATGTTAAAGTGGACTAATATAACAATAGAAATGGACCTATGTGTTTATTAATGACAAGTCTTATGAGATAAACAGAAAAAAAAACTGACAACATGATTGGATCAAGTGAAAAAGTCACTCGCGCGATCTTTAAGAACTTTAAGGAATTGCAATGCTTAGAAAAGAAAATGCGGGCTCTGGATTTAGAAAAATCTTACAATATCAGTTTAATAAATCTAGATCAAAAAGTTGTAAAAGTGAAATATAAACGGTTACACGATAAAGTGTCCAAAAATAAAATCTCACCTCAGCGTGAATGAACTGGACGAACTCAAAAAGCTAGAAGAAGAGGGAAAGTTAAAGATAAATCTTCCTTCATCCGATATAAATGTAAAGATAATTGCAGCTGAAAAGAGACTAAAAACTAATGCCAAGAGCTAAAAGTGCTGTACCACGGTTACAGTCCAGTCGAACAGAAGCAGAAAAGAAAAATATGGATTTAATTCTTAAAACACCAAGATCAGCACGACGTTTTCGAACTCCATCGGCAACGCCACGTACCCCTGAGGCAACGCCGCGTAGAGAGCTATTAAGAACACATTCCAAGTCCAATAAGTCAAATACCCCGAGAAAATCGATATCACCAAAACCTGAGATTGAATTCGAGGAAGGTGATTACATTGTGCCAAAATCTGTACGTGAAGAGAGACGGAGATCTATCAACATCCGATGCATTGATGAAGATGTAAAGACTTTTAAAATACCGAGTGTAGCTGTTATACAAGAGACAGATGTTTATGATAACATTTCAATACAAGGTAGTACAACTTCTCGTAATGGACTCGATATTCATAAAATTGAATTAAAAGATTCAAAACAAAAATCTGATGCACGCGCTCCTAGTCCAGTAATAACTTTTACGGATGTAGGAGTAAGTAAACGCAAAAATTCGTTTAGCAAACCTAGAAATAACTTAACGATCAACAGTACAGATAAAGCAAAAACGGGCTCTGAATCTACAGAAAATGATATTAAGAAACCTAGTTCTCCGGTAATCAAAGTGACCAATGTAGATTCTAATGAAAGTCCGCTAAATAAGTCTTCATTTTTGCAGCTGCCAACAGAGGAAGGTCAGAATAGATTGAGTACAGAAGAGCTAGTTAATCATAGTTATTCTGGGCCCTCTAAAATAAGGCCAATGAGCGCCCCAGCCACTCAGGTTACAGATTTCGGCGCAATTCACAAGAAAAATCGTCCTAAAACAGCCATGGAACTAGCTTTAGAAACTCGTAAAAAATATGTTATTGATATTCAACGTGTCTCTACTTTACTTAAGGAAGGTAAAACGAGGTCACCTTTCTCAAGCCATGAAAAAGAACCGGAGGATAAGGAAAAAATAAAGCCATTTCGCTCTATTAGGGAAGGTATAAACTCTACAACTAACTACACCAATATTCTAGACAACACATTTGGCGATGATCTTCACAAAGAAATGAAGAAAGGTATGATACTTGGCGAAGTAGCCACTGGATTATATCTTGAAGAAAAAATTGACAACTTCTTAGAAAAGGTAGACGGTTACGTTAAGGAAAACCCAAATTACGTATATGACCCAAATGCGCCTAAGACAAAGACAGTTCCGAGGAAAAAGTCTCCAAAGAAATCGAAACGAAACAAACTACATCGTCGCAACCTAGAGAGACAACTGCAAGAGGTGGACATCGAAAAAATGAAGAAAAGTCGGTGGCTACGGAAGGACGATGAAAACTTAGATTCAACGGGAACTAACACGTTGGTGGTAGATCAGATAAGAATGTTAAATAAGCTTCGACACTCATATGACGATTAGTACAGTGGATAGTGAAATCTGTGATACAGATATATAACGTTACATCATCATAAGATACGTTGTTGGCCAACGTGATTCTTGTATTGTAATGTGGTGTGACTATAAGAGAAAAATACATTATCACACACCCGTGCCGATTTTGCGACTCCGTAAAAATGGTATTGCACGGCCGTGCATGTATTTTGACGTGACGTCATTAGCGTTATACAAACATAGTGTAAAGAGCGCTAAATGTTAGCGTTATACTATAGGCACGTCAATGAAAAATGACTCGTACTTCACTTTAAACGGTCTTTATTTTTGGTATGTGATAAATAGACTATTAAATTCGTGTAAGTTCATTACTGAATTTATTGCACTCGTTGAATAAAATAATATTATGCTCGCCAGAGGCTCGCATAAATAGAGGATATTGAATGAGTGTAAGTTCAATACTGAATTTATTGCACGAGTTGAATAAAATTATATTATGCGAGCCTATGGCGAGCATAATATTATTATATTCAACGAGTGCAATAAATTCAGTTTTGAACTTACACGAATTTAATATTCTATTTATCACATACCCAAAATTAAAACTGTTTAAAGTGAAATAAGAGTCATTTTTCATTGACGCGCCTATAGTGTAACGCTAACATTAGCGCGTCTTTACACTATGTTTGTATAACGCTAATGACGTCACGTCAAAATATATGCACGGCCGTGCAATACCATATTTACGGAGTCGCAAAATCGGCACGGGTGTGTGATAAATCATTGTTCTATTGTCTTTCTTCTTGTGCATTGATATGCTTAATGAAAAGTTGTGTTATATACATATATGAAAAAAAAAAGATTAAAGATAATTAAAACATTTCAATTCCCAGTGAGTGGAAAATGAGAATGGTGGTAATAAAATATCTTCATATTGAAGAAAAAGACGGATATCCAAATCCAAGTTTCAGATTCAATTCCGGTATCGTTGTAAGGACATGATTGTTCAGAAAATACTTTTATTGAGTTGTAAAGGTCTTTCCAGCTTAAGCTTAACTGTTTGAGGAAGACACCAGGCGCCTTTTAATGCATTGTTTCGGGAACGAGTGGGAACCTGAATAGAACCATCCACCTTCTGTAAGCTAGCTAGATAGTTTCTTCATATGAAAGAACCAATGTCTCTGACTTGAATGCCATGACGGGATTCGAACTCACAGCGGTTAGGCAAGTGATTGAAGTCGGCAACCTTAAATAGCATGCCTCCAGTTCATGGATATTTTGAAAATGTATCAAAAAGTGAAATACTGTCAAGTAAACAAAGAAAGTAATTTACACATAGCAAATTGTAATTAAAATCTACGGACATTACTAAAAATAGGTCAAAATATGTGACCTGAGACCTAAGTGTGTTACTCACCCAGTACAAATGTGGTGATAAATAACACATTATTAAATGCTTTTCGGTGGTTTATAGAAATATATCAGTGATATAAAATTGGTTATTTCACTGTTTGAAACAGTGAAATTACCACTTTGATAATTTCACTGTTTTGAATTTAAGCCCCTTACGTTGTTTCAGTGAAATACCAGCGTGCACAGTACTGGGTACCAACTTAATGACGTGACGTCGTAAATGGCGTCACGTTGAATTATTATTTGGCGCGCTTTTCATTCAGTATTAGGTTAAATGTCTTTTTAAAACGTTTCTTTGCATATAATAAAAAGAAAATTTGTTTAGTTTAGTGTAAGATTGAAATATATTTCACCTTGTGAACACCAAAAGTTCATATTTCACTCGTGGCTGCGCCACTTGTGAAATATACCTTTTGGTGCTCACTCGTGCCACTTGTGAAATATACCTTTTGGTGCTCACTCGGTGAAATATATTCCGATCTTACACTGAACTAAACAAATATCCTCTATATATCTGTCACAAAACGCATATTACATGTAAATTATTAATTGAGTCTTGATTTTTTAACTTTTTCTTAAAATCTAAGTACATTTTTCTCAAGTTAGATATTCTTTCATCTGGAGGCATGCAGCTTTAACCATTCAATATGTAGCAACATATAATAAATGTAAATAAACATACCATATCGATAAAATGCAACCGCGGATCTACCAAGGAGTTAGTGTTGATTACAGAAATAAGTAAATGAACAATTAAAGCGCTTAAAATGCAATTGCAGCTAACCTGATCTCAGACCTATCACAGACATGCTTCAAAATGTTGTAGTTCACGCTTTAAATTGTAATTGTATCGAGTGTAGTTAAAGCTGTAATATGTTAGCAACTTTGTTGTTATGCTGGCTTTAATGACGTATTTATAATTGAATAAAGAAGACACAAATTACCCCCAAAAAAATTGGTGCAGAAATAAAATACTAACGGCTTTTTAAAATTTCTTCCTCGGACTGAGCAATGTTTCTCACAAATAGAAATACTTTTACTTTCTCATAAAAGAAAATATATACTTGGACACCATCAGGGAGGGGCCAATTTTGACTTCAGGGACATGATTTGCAAAGGTATATAACTTTTCCACACGAAGATTTTAATCTGTTTACCTATTTGCGATGGCAGTTTTTGATCTCAGGGACATAATTAATATAACTTTTGTAGAAGACAACAAGATGACGCTATATACCAGATATCTAATGATCTGGGAATTGTGGCGTCAAAGTAGAATATTTTAAAGTATGCTTACTATACAAAAATCTAGGAAGATGAAATAAATAAATAACAATGTAAACAAAGTTCATAAAGTTTTAAGTGAATACATGTATACAACTTTTTCTACAGAAGTCCACTAGGTAGTGCTTCATGCCAAATATCTGAGCTCTGGACATTGTAATTTAACACTGCCACCACAAAAGCTCACCTCTAAGCACATTGTTCTGGAGAGCTTAAAACGTAAGTGTAGGCGTTGCGTTAGAAATGCCTTTGAGTGTATATATAGAAAAAAATCTAATCTGGGAATGGGACCATGGACATTTCGTCCCAGTTTACCTTCAGCGTATGTATGCTTTTGCAGTTGCAGAAATACGATCTGAGTCAAAGAATCTGACAATAAAACTGCAGATTGCCTGTTCAGCAATAATCTCACAGACACAGAATTATATAAAGGTATCATTTGTACAAGCTAGTGCATTATCTTGTGCAACTTACTGTACTTCACGTTGAGATATTGCACTATTTTATGTATCCTCTAAAGCGAGATTCTGACATAGAACAAAAAAAATCAGACGATTTTGACTTGAACATTATCACTGGACATCACCTTAGGTCCAAGATTATCCCGATTCTTACATCAAAATCAAAAGGACATATAGATTAGTTATCTATATTTCACTGGTTAAGTATAAAAACTACGCATTTATTTATGATTTAACTGTGATAAATTAATAAAATGTACTATGTTGTTTCCCGGGCTGGGAATAAAAACTGCGTCGTATCCTATAAAATGTAAACAAACGCCGCCATCTTGGAACCAAAACAGTATGTTTTTGTTTATAACTCTTTCTGTTGAAAAGATCGAAAACCAGATATATGTATTAACACGTTCCACTAATTTCCACTTCGTTCGGGATATGTTGCTTATACAACTATTTTGTAAAACAAAAGTTATAGCGAACGAACGCAGTTCATATTGCTTTATCCCTTCAAATCAATTACATACTCATTTCAGAGTTTACCATAAACTTAAAAATGTAATTTTTCATCATTTACTGAAATAATTTCATTAAAAAGAGATATTTATTTTCCAAGAAAATAATAATTTGCACGAAATGATACGACGCAGTTGAAAATAAAATATGATACGACGCAGTTGTATTTTTGGCAGTCTTTTCAACATAGATAATTTTGGCAATACATGTATATGTCTATTTTACCGAGTAATCACTTGCGCTAAATAAAAAACTCAGATCATTCGCTGTTTATAGCAATGTTCTGATGCTTTTGATTATTTAGAATGCATTGTGTCATGTCAACTTTATTTATCATAATATCTGAAATAATTTATAATATTTTCCTGTATGTTCAATATTATCCCTATTTTTTTGCAAAAATATAGAAGCCTATGAACTTGAATCACAAAACATTTACGCTCATAAACTGTGGTTCTGCATGTTCTAGGTAATGACCGCTTTTCAAATTCACAGCAGCCCAGTGCGAGAGATTTAAAGTCAGTAAACATTAACAGCTCGGCCTCGGTTGGACACACCTGTCTGATTTTTTTTGATTTTTTTTCAACAAAATTTGTTAACCATGATCTTAAATGTCAGCTGTACAAATAAGCAGTTTTTATGAACTTCTGGCACGAAGTTTTAAGATTACAAATATTTGAATTAATTATAAAGAGAATAACATTTAAATTTCTTGTTGATATGAAATTTTTCCTTACTCTCTTTTTACTTTGATATTTCGTTAAAATAAAAGTATGTGTCAGTGGTGTGGATAGCAGAGAAATTTTCAACGTAAACAGGGGGTAATCCTCTTTGAAGAATTTTTCTGAAAAAAATTGTTTTATGTGTCAGGCAATTCATCATCGTAAGTAAAGATGCCCTGTCTTTAGTCTGTGAAAAATTCAATGCGATAATCTGACCTAAATTTTCTCATGCCGTCTTCATTGAAACATCATGTCGCGCATATATCTGTATCAAATTTATCGATACGTTTGCGAAACGGGCAAGTACTTTAGAAAATAATTAGCAGTTTTATCATTTGTAACTCGATTTTGAAAATTTAAAGTCTTTTAATGAAGAAGAATGATACTATATATAGTGCGAATATCTAAATAATTTCCAGAAAATACAAATTCCGTACGAACATTTTTCTATACAAATTTCATAATTTTAAAGCTAAAGGTACAAAAATTTGACACAGTACAGCTAGGTTCTTCTCCTAACTAACAAACTAGTTTGTTTAGTTCTGATTATGTTGACACTTATATCCGAGGCCCGTCAAGGAGGGTATCAAAATTACCTAAATTGTACATACTACAGTACCATGTGTCCGGACAGATATGTAATAATGTTGATTTAATTCAGATAAAAGCTTTGGTGTTCTTTTTTTTATTTTTAACATGACACACAATATTTCAGCAGCAAATGCTGAAGTTTTGGATATTCTATTGTTTACTTTGCAAATAATTATTGCTGTTATATGAGGTCAGGCATTGCTTTCTTGACCCCCAAATTTCAACGTCAACATTCTTGAAATAGACATTAAAATATTACCATTTACGGAGGTTGAAATAAATTTATTTACTTAATTATAGAAGAAACATGCATTTATTGTTGATAAAAAAGTGACTGACAACCACTGAACAAAGAAAATTCTAAATCAAGCATTTTCGGGGCCGTCCGGGTTTGGTGGTTGTCCGGTTTTGGTGGTCCCCAACCAGTAGACCTGTTGTCATCGTCGATAAAGAAATGCAAAGCTCCTCGGCGCTGAACATACCGTAAAATGACTTAACGAAACGCATACCTTACTTGCAGCTTAACCATTTATAATAAAATTTTAAAAAATTAATGTTCAGAATACATGACCAGTTTTCCTAAGCATGTATTAATAAAGGAATAATACTTTATTTCAATTTAAAATAATAAAGCTCATCTGTTCTCATCGATTATGAAGAAAATTAATACAATACATGTATATATAAAATCGGCTGGTAAAAGACATAAGTAATAACGGCATTGTCGCAAGTTGTTGTTAATTATAAGAAGCCATGCAATTTGCGTATATGAAAAATTAACCATCCCAATTAGTTTCGAACTCACGGGAACAAGTTTATAAGCATGCTAAGGCAACACTAAAACACGTATATGGGTGTGCGATCACGTGTTTCAATGTATTTGATACACCTTTTTCGGAATTTGTAGATGCTTAAAACAGGTGCTAAAATGCGACCGAAAAAATGAAGCCTGATTTTTATTACAATTTCCATTCTCGTGGGCCCAATTAGTGACCTCTGCTCTCGACTTCAGTTGCATACAATATGATAAACAAGATCAACAAGGAAAGGCGGCGTTCAATGAACGCAGCCCCCATCCGACCCAGTAACAAGAGCCAGTGGCAAGGAGCCTAGGTCACTTGTGCCCATTCATAATGATAAAAAATTTGCAGACAAAAAATGTTGTTGGACGTTACTAGTATACTTAACGCATAACTTATATAATAGATGAACCAATATGCAGCCAGCAATGAAAATACAATTGCATCGTATCATATTTTATTTTCAACTGCGTCGTTTCATTTTATGCATATGCAATTTATTATTGTCTTGGAAAATAAACATCTCTTTTTAATGAAATTTAAGTAAATGATGCAAAATTATAAGTTGAAGTTAATGGTGAACTCTGAAACGAGTCTGTTACTAATTTGAAGGAAAAAAAACGATAAATAAAGCAATATGAACTGCGTCGTATCCCCAAAACTTCATAGAAATTCTGGTCCGCTTCGAGTTTCAAGTTCGCTATAACTTTTGTTATACAAAATAGTTGTGCAAGCTACATATACCGAACGAAACGCATAAGCATACCTTTTTCGTTCCAAGAGATACGCCCGTATTACATCTGTGAATGCTGGATTGCTTGGTGTACATGGTATAGACTATCTAGACATCTAATGAAAACTGTTAAAGCATTGCATGATCTTAGAGCATGATCACAGGAAAAATTTAAGCGAATCTATAAAGTGGGTTTTTCGAGTTATCTGTCCTTGAATGGCAGATAATTTACTACTGATAGATCCAATTGAATTCAATGAAATTTCGTACTGTGAGTAAAACATAAACCAAAAGTTAAACAAGTGCGATTAGTGATCAAAATTGCCAATTGCATGTTGTCGCAGGAGACACAGAAATCATTAAAGGCTCATTATGCCCAAGACATAATGTTATTTTTATTTCTCAAAAGCTTATAATTTCTGACGTCCTGGTAAAGTTTTAAAAACGTTTCTCATTGGCCAATTACCTGAACCATCTTTTGCGCCTATTGCTTTTTGGCAATTATTACATTTATAATGATTTGGTATTTTGTATGAAAGTCAAAAAACTACTTTCTTTACATTTTGCTTCTTTTATGACAATTACTTTCACATATAGCGCTACTTTCTTTAAGTTATAATTAAGCATATTACAAGCTTTTAAACCAGTATTTAAATGTTAAAAAACTTACGTATGCCCTTTCCAAAGACGAAAATATCTATTCATTTCTGAGGCATAATGTACGTGCCTGTAGCAGACCAAAACGCGTTTATTTTATTATTCCAGGGCCATAACTGAGCCATAATCATTCAACCAGATAACCCGTTTAATATGCGCAAGACAAAGCACTTGACTGTAAAGTTTCATTTTAAAATTTGCATTAGAAGTATAAAAAAAAAACTTTAAAAATTAAGAATCTTTAAAGGGCCATTACTCTGACAAAAATTAGTGAACCGGAAAATGCCAACCTTATGAAACTGCATCAGTAGTTTCTGAGGAGTAGTCCACACAAGTTTTGCCAAGGAAAGACAGACCACAAAAAACCTATATGTTAATTGTGGCTACTTTAAATTTGTAGCATGTTTCAGCTTCTGTGTAGATGGTAACACTAAAATCATTAACTGGCCACGGCAAAAATACATTCAAGCAGAAAACAGTGTCATATGTGCAAGGACTTCAGCTACCGACCAGTACTGTAAAGTTTCATTAAATGTATAAGTGATATAAGAGGAGTAGACCGGACAAACTTTTAAATTGAAATCATTCAAGGGCCATATCTCTGGCAAAAATCTTTGAGCCGGAAAATACCGAGGATATGCGCAACCAGAGTTGGTTCTAATCATTGTAGTGTAAAGTTTGGATGAAATTTCACCAGTATCAGGTATATATATTAACGTTAATATACGTACCTGCCACTGATGAGTATTCCGGACAAGTTTTGTGACGGACGGACGGACAGACGGACGGACGGGCGTTCTTATTGAGTTGACATTATGGGTTGCTTTTCTTTGATCTTCTTTGATCTAGCAACGTATTTGCTCCCCATAAGGGACCGTTCTTTCCCCACAAGGCAGAGACATAGATATAACTATGTCTCTATGTCTCTGCACAAGGGAATGAACATGGATATCCATCCCATATACAGTAATGTCACTTGAGTTCGAACGGACAGACAGACGATAGAGAAGTAATCACTACTAAATACTGAGTAGCGGCGATACAAATATAACGTTTTGCAATTCTGTTTGACCTCACTTCCCCTTTAATTATTTATTTTTGCACTGTTACGGATGATAAGATCCGAACTATTCCGAATGCGTTTGCAGGGATTTAATTAAGTAAAATTGTGAAATATCCTACAATTATTAAAACAATGCCGAAGTTACGGAAACTAGAGATTACACTGAATAGTCCACAGGTTGTATATTATCCTGGACAAGTTATACAAGGACAGGTTATCATAGAGTTAGCCGAGGATATGAAAATGAGAGGTGAGTGATTGATTAGCGGTGTCTGGGGATATCCGTTAAAGGGATATCCGTGTGATTTGTGCACTTTTCGTACTATATACCGCGGACATTACCTATTTTTGCAAAACTTTAATTATCTTCCGTATATTTATGGGGCAGCACGAAATACCCAAATGTTGCCCAAATATACACAAATACTGTCCAAATATACACAAATACTGTCCAAATATACTAAAAATAATGTCAAAATATACTAAAAATAAATGTTTTATACAAAAAAGTGCTGTTTTATTATGAATTACAATAGCCTTCGATCTGAAGGGAGCACTGTTCTAAAAATAGATTTTACCTTATCACCACTTCATCACCTGTACTGACTTTCGGACAAGGGATTAGGGAGTACACATTATACATGATGTTAATCAGCGTACATTTACTTTGTTTACATGCAATATTTTAAGATATTTAATACAATTGTAGAAAGCAAACAAGTTGGAAATGGAATTTAGTGTGAAAAGAAAAGGGACACTACACTCTGTACTTTTTTAAGTTAAATTTAAACATATGTCACAATCTGCTCTGACCTCTATATATATATATCTTTACACCTTGTCAATAAAACAAAGTTTAAAAAATGCACCAGTAATTGGCGATGATTTTAACAACAAATATTTTGTGTGAGACATAAAATAAAAAACAAATGTATTTTATTGTCTATACGTAAACAGTGTATGTTAAATCACGGACCTCAATTGTCAATTCAGGTAAGTATACATGCAAGCATGCATGTACATATACATTATTTCTGATAAAATAAATACTAGAATCAGCATTTTTATTAGCATTTTTCTCAAATTGACATTCAGGGAAAGTATTGCCCCGAAAATTCTTTTTTTTCACCATGTCATCTTTTTTAAACCATTTCAATCATGCTTTATGCAAGTTTAACTCCAGGAACATCATTTCCATTGAGAGAAATGTGAATAAAAGTATTCGTAACCATTATGTTGTATAATCTACATGTAGATTAACCAGTTTCCTTGTCCGAAACTTATCGCTATGTGGCTATTTTTAGAACAGGTCTCTTATCAGTGACATATACGATGCATATCTCAGATCGTTCCCTATTACACATTCACTCAGATAAAATCAAACATACCCAAATATACATTTTCCTATCATTGTGTTTTGAACCAAAATATACCCAAATACAGTATACTCCATTAAAGCTATATTAAATTTAAAAAAAATACGACAGACACTTGTATGAAATTTGAACAAAGTTACACAAAAAAAAAAAATGTAGACATCAAATATTATCATATCTTCCATATCTTTATCTTAAATTGCAAGTATACTCATTTATGAACTTACTGTAGATAAGCAAATGTCACAAGTTTATTTTCTTACAACATCTGAACTGCCCATTTATACGGTATTACGGAAAGAATGAAAGTTATAGCTGCTATTAAGTCATAATATGTTATAAATATTAATTCATTTTCTCATTATAATCTGTATTTTATACGAACAAAATGAATATTGCTATATTTGGGTATATATGGGCTATATTTGGGTGTATTTGGGTATATTTGGGTATTTGAAGTGCCGCCGATATTTGTGTAGCATATTTATATAGGAGGATTGCATATAATTACATGTTTACTACATCTCATTTTTATTAAACAATGAATGCTTTTCATTAGTCTGATTTATAAATTGTAAATACATGTGCTATCTACAACAGTGATCTTAACTTTATTCATTATTTCATGCTAGTTTTGCTAATTACACGTATAAGGTATAGGTTAAGTAATAGAAAGAGCACCGAAACACAAGGCTATCTGATTTGTACGAGGGGGCGCTACCCCGAGTATAAATCAGATTGCCGAGTGTTTTGGTGTTCTTTCTCTTTTGTATCATAGTCAAACATAAAAACACGTTCCCTGTTGTCACAGTTTTAAACCCCGGGAAAAAGTTACCAATTACCTCAGATTGCCGAGTGTTTTGGTGTTCTTTCTCTTTTGTATCATAGTCAAATATAAAAACACGTTCCCTGCTGTCACAATATGAAACCCCGGGAAAAAGTTACCAATGAACGAGCATCTGAATATGATATTTCTGCCGCGACAGAAATATCATATTCAGATGCTCGTTCATTGGTTACTTTTTCCCGGGGTTTCATATTGTGACAGCAGGGAACGTGTTTTTATATTTGACTATGATACAAAAGAGAAAGAACACCAAAACACTCGGCAATCTGATTTATACTCGGGGGCTATGCCCCCTCGTACAAATCAGATAGCCTCGTGTTTCGGTGCTCTTTCTATTACTAGTATGCATTTACAAAATTAAAATTGGTCATGCGCAGCACAGCCGAACGACCAATTTAATTTTGTAAATACATACTAATAAATTTTAACCGGCTTACTGTTTTAAATTATTTTTATTAACAGTGGACTTACTAGACTGATAAGCAGTTTGCTGATTTTATATGAAAGTAAATGTGTTACGATTCTTTTGAAATACTGCAATCCTATAGTGGGAAAAAAAATAATTTCAAAAACTTACTTACATGTTTGTTAGTTTTTAATCCATTAATGGCATTTTTTTCCATAAAGTTTATAAATAAAGACTTGATATTAAAGTGACATTATGCTCATTTTTAGCTCGACTATTCGAAGAATATGAGAGCTATTGTAGTCGCCCCGGCGTCGGCGTCGGCGTCCGCGTCCGCGTCGGCGTCTGCGTTGGTTAAAGTTTTTTGTAAAGTCAAATATCTCAATTATTACTTGAGATATTCAATTGAAACTTACAATACTTATTTATAGTAACAAGGTACATCAGATTGACAAGTTGGATAACTCTGCCTACAATATTGACAGAATTATGCCCCTTTTTAACTTAGAAATTTTGGTTAAAGTTTTTTGTAAAGTCAAATATCTCAATTATTGCTTGAGATATTCAATTGAAACTTACAATACTTATTTATAGTAACAAGGTACATCAGATTGACAAGTTGGATAACTCTGTCTACAATATTGACAGAATTATGCCCCTTTTTAACTTAGAAATTTTGGTTAAAGTTTTTTGTAAAGTCAAATATCTCAATTATTGCTTGAGATATTTAATTGAAACTTACAATACTTATTTATAGTAACAAGGTACATCAGATTGACAAGTTGGATAACTGTGCCTACAATATTGACAGAATTATGCCCCTTTGGAACTTAGAAATTTTGGTTAAAGTTTTTTTGTAAAGTCAAATATCTCAATTATTGCTTGAGATATTCAATTGAAACTTACAATACTTATTAATAGTAACAAAGTACATCAGATTGGCAAGTTGGATAACTGTGCCTACAATATTGACAGAATTATGCCCCTTTGGAACTTAGAAATTTTGGTTAAATTTTTTTTGTAAAGTCAAATATCTCAATTATTGCTTGAGATATTCAATTAAAATTTAAAATACTTTTTTATAGTAACAATGTACATCAGTTTGCAAAATTGCATAACTCTGCCTGCAATATTTGCATTATTATTTGCCTCTTTAAAACTTAGAAATTTTGGTTAAAGGTTAAAGGTCTTCAAAGATATTTACTTGAAACTTTACACATGCACTTAGGGTCATAATTGGAGGGTCATAATTGTATGTCACTGACCAAGTTCCATAACTCTATCTTGCATTAAGGCTGATTCATATCCCCTTTTCTACTTAGTCTCTTGGTTAATTTTTACATGCAAGTTTTACATATCTCAATAACTATTCAAGGTATTTATTTAAAACTTCACATATGCATTTAGGGTCATAATTGTAGGTCACTGACAAAGATCCATAATTCTATCTTGCATTTAGGCCATAATTCTGATTTTTTGTCATAACTATGCACCTTTTTAGGCTTAGAAATTCTTGGTAAACTTTTTGCTTGTAAGCTGTTATCTCAATAACTACTGAAGTGTTTGTGCCTTTTTTTGGGACAATTTTATGCATTCATAATAATAAAGCAGTGATTTACTTGATAAAACATCTTAATAACAAGCCTTTGTACCTTTCTGTCAAATTTATGTATTCATAGGTAATTAGTATTATTATACTCAATAAAACACCCTTGTGACATTACCTTCCGAATAGTCAAGCCAATACTGTATAATAACACTCTCTCTAAGGCCTATAACATGAATTTATCCAAAAAAAATTAGACCTTTTGTGAACTTAAAAAATTTAACATTATCAAGGCTCTTTTACTATCAAGCACTTAGAATAGTCGAGCATGCTGTCCTACAGACAGCTCTTGTTTCATTGTCAAGTTAAGTTGAATTGACTATATATTTCAAAAGGGTGAAATTAGCCAACAGTTGATGCTGGAGAATGTTTTGGATACATTATAAATCTGCATAAAATGTAAAAAGACTGCCCCACACATTTAATAAATTGAATGTCACAGGTAAATTCTGATAGATATTTATAGAAAATTTCTTGGGCCACACAAATTATTTTCGTTCATACAATGTAAATTATAAAATTAAAGGGAATTATGTCTAAATGTAAACATATTTTGACTGCCACCTATTCACTCAATATATACCCATATATGGGCATAATGTCACTTTAAGTCATTTTCTCTCTTTTTTCCCTCTGTCTTTAATGTTGTTTTTTATATAATTTGACTTATCACACTTTGGAACTTTATGATAGATAAATATGTTATCTTGAATAAAACTACTGAACTTTGAAATGCATATATATGCTTTCCTTTAATTTTCAATGCACATAATCTTAAGTGAACCTGGGTAAATAACTAGGATGTTAATTGAATAAATAATTGTGATCACTGAGTGTCCGTTTGTCCATCCTGTTACATTTACAATACCTACCCACTCGGACAAAGTTCAAAAATTTAGTTACTTGTCTTAAATTATTGTGAATGAGGTCTTAATTTTTTACCCCACAACAGTATACAGTCAACATATCAATTTGCAATTTGTAAAAAATAGCAGGAAAAATAGCATCACATTTAAATTTATATATTTTATAATTCTATTTTCTGTTGATATTTCAACTACAAATGTATTTAAAAAAAAATATCCAGAGTCAGTGGCCTATTGTCATGATGATTCTAACTACCATAATCGTATTTTATTAAAAAAAAGAAACGTTATTGTGAGTGGCAGTCTTTGTAAACACAAAGTTGATGTTATTTGTTCCTGGGACCAACCAGTACTTAATTATCAATGAGTGAAAAGTTTTTTGCTTACAGAAATAAAGACTTTCCCCTTATAGTATGCATCATTACAATATTAGTAAGATTTGCCTTGCTAGAGACTCTTTGAACTCACCAGGTTCTATAGAATTATAAACTTGTGTCTGATCCTACATGTAAATGTATTAAATTCTGTTTTCTATCTTAATATATGTATATTGCTATTTGCCAATATACAAAATGTAAATAAAACACAATCTGTATACTGACTTTGCTCACCTGCTGTAAGTGGTATTTGTACATACACAAACTGCTTTTTTAAAGGTACATGTGCTAAATTTAATACTACAAGGAAGAGAAATGTTGATTAAATCACATTCTTTAACCGATTCATAGGCTGTAAACATGATGATGTTAATCATATCATGAATATTTTGATTGAAGAGAATTTATGAGAAATTTGAATAAGTAAGAAAAAATTGAAATAATGTAATTGAATATTATAAGTTTAAAGTTAAAAATCATGACCCTCCTGGCAGAATTGGTTAACATATTACCTGGTAAACCAATGGTTTACATATTTAATACAATATTGAAAAGGCAGATAATCCTAAAAACATTTTTTTTCAAAAGTTATGCACCTTTTCTAAAGAAATATCAAAGGTTTTTCTTTTCAAACTTTCAATACTTGTTCAGTATCAAAATTAAAATGCATTTCAAAAGGGCAGGCAACCTTTTTGCCCAGTAATTTCCTTTTTCATCATTTGGGTTTAAACCTTTTTAAGCTACATTTCTCGATAGAGTCCTACTTGCCACGTTTTTTGCTAAGAAAATCTTCCAGTGGTTATATCTTGACAATTTAGTTAAATCATTAAATCTGTTCAACAAGAAGCTGACTGGTGGTTTGACTGCATGAAGAGCTCGCATTTTTATCTGGTGATATAATATACATGTATACGCATGTATATGTAAATAAAATGTGAACCTTTTCAGGCATTCATATTCTATGCAAAGGGAAAGGACACATAGAATGGGAAGATGGGGACTCAACAACTAAGGATTCAGAAACATATGTAAATGTGATGCTCACACTTTATAATGGCAATGGTAAGAGTTCTCATTTTTATTGTTATAGCAAAATTACATTTATGCATTTTGCTTTAATGGTTTTAAGGTGTGCGTGTGAAATGCCGTGGAAAAGGTCACATATATTGGTCGGAAGGATCAGGGGACAACAGACGGACATATAGTGCCTCGGAAGATTATGTTGATGTTGTGCTACCACTCTATGGCAATGGTGAGAGTGGAGTTTATTTATTTTATTTTTTTTTACGCCTAAAGAAACTTTTGGAAGTATTGTGGTATAGTGTTGTCCATTGGTCTGTCTGTCTGTACTACCAAAAAGGGATAGAGGGCCATCTAAATGTAAACAGAACAAAAGAAAAAAAAAAGAATTCATTAATATAAATCCATAACAATAAAATAAGGGGCCAAAGGCCCTCTATCAGACAAAAAATAACAATAGAAATGGCTTCTTATCCCAATTTGGATGCACATCCTGTCTGTCTGTCCATACAAACACAGAGGTACTTGTATGACTAGGAAAACAATAGGTAATAGTACATTTTTTATATGCCCGAAAGAATTTCGGGCATATTATGTTATACCCCCTGGCGTCCGTCTGTCCGTCCGTCCGTCCGTCCGTCCGTCCGTACGTCCGTCCGTCCGTCTGTTAGCAATTTGGTTTCCGGAGCATAACTTAAGTTCCATTTGGCCCACAGTATTCAAACTTCATAGGATGATTGCCCATATTGGGTAGAAGACCCCTATTGATTTTGGGGTCACAAGGTCAAAGGTCAAGGTCACTATTAGCTAAATACTGAAAATGGTTTCCGGAGCATAACTTAAGTTCTATTTGACCCACAGTATTCAAACTTCAAAGGATGATTGCCCATATTGGATAGAAGACCCCTATTGATTTTGGGGTCACAAGGTCAAAGGTCAAGGTCACTATTAGCTTAATACTGAAAATGGTTTCCGGAGCATAACTTAAGTTCCATTTGACCCACAGTATTCAAACTTCATAGGATGATTGTCCATATTAAGTAGAAGACCCCTATTGATTTTGGGGTCACAAGGTCAAAGGTCAAGGTCACTATTAGCTTAATACTGAAAATGGTTTCCGGACCATAACTTAAGTTCCATTTGGCCCACAGTATTCAAACTTAATAGGATGATTGCCCATATTGGGTAGAAGACCCCTATTGATTTTGGGGTCACAAGGTCAAAGGTCAAGGTCACTATTAGCGAAATACTGAAAATGGTTTCCGGAGCATAACTTAAGTTCCATTTGGCCCACAGTATTCAAACTTCATAGGATGATTGTCCATATTGGGTAAAAAAAACCCTATTGATTTTGGGGTCACAAGGTTAAAGGTCAAGGTCACTATTAGCTAAATACGTAAAATGGTTTCCGAAGCATAACTCAAGTTCCATTTGACCCACAGTTTTCAAACTTCATAGGATGATTGTCCATATTGGGTAGAAGACCCCTATTGATTTTGGGGTCACAAGGCCAAAGGTCAAGGTCACTATTAGCTTTATACTGAAAATGGTTTCCGGAGCATAACCTAAGTTCCATTTGGCCCACAGTATTCAAACTTCATAGGATGATTGTTCATATTGGGTAGAAGACCGCTATTGATTTTGGGGTCACAAGGTCAAAGATCAAGGGATGACTATCACCTTTAAACTGGAAACAGTTTTCACTCAATAACTCAAGTATTAATCGAACTACAGCTGTAAAATTTTATAGGATTAACAGCTTTATACCCCTGACGTCTTGGTGTCCATCCGTTTTAGCATTTTTACTTACAAGATAACAACTTGATGGTGGTGCTTTGAAAACAGCAACTGCATATATACATGAATGTTCTTCAGCTATAAAGGAGGATTGCTTTTTGAAGGAAGTAATACTGTATTTAATTCCAATGTCTTCCTCACAAAAAGAAAGAGTACTTTCGGGCATATAATGCTCCGCCTAGCGGTGCTCTTGTTTTTTTAACCTGTTCATTCTGATTTCACTTTTGTGTCTTTTTTAAGGCCTTGTGTGACTAAAAATGACTAAAAAGATCAAAAGAAAAATCACATAAGTACCATTTTGTAAGTATGTCAGTCCTAAGACAATTGGTTTCCACAGGATAACTTTGAAGGGTTTCAATGACTGTGTTTATATTTGGCATGACTGTGTTTAGTGTTTATATTTGGCATGACTGTGTTTAGTGTTTATATTTGGCATGACTGTGTTTAGTGTTTATATTTTGCATGACAGTGTTTATATTTGGCATGTAAGCATGACTGTTCTTTCAAATTCAGGTTTAGTTATATTTGGCTGCAATCAACTGATTATTAATAGTTATGCCCCTTTTTACGCAATTTATAACTGAAATTATTGGTTTCTAAAGGATTTCAGTGTTTTTGTTTATATTTTTCATGTACACATGTATATATTATGTATCAAAACTCATGTCAAGTCCAATTTTGTCTGCAAACAGCTCATTATTAATAGAGCTATGCCTCTTTTTAAGCAATTTTTTAGTGAAAATTATGAGTGTCTGCAGCATAAGTTTTGAAGGATTTCAGTGAATGTGCTTATATTTGGTGTGTAAGTATGTTATATTAAAAAACCTTGTCAAATTTGATAAAAACTAGAAATGTGTCCAAAGGACACGGGTGCCCACACACTCAACTGATTTGTCAATCTTATGTCTCTAGTGAGGTGTGGTGTATTGGAATAGATGTCACACTACCTATCTAAAGGTCTCTGGTTCAATTCCTTGCCAACACCACGTTATGAATTTTTTATTTACTTGCAAGAATTAATTTGAAATTGTTTTACTACACTTGGTTTTAGAATACCTTTTAAGTGGCGTTTTTATACACAATTATATTTTTTTATTTCATTACAGTATCTTTCAACGGTTCTCTTTGTGACTTTATGTAATATTATATGCTTTATGCTTTAGGGCATACACGTAATAAAGGCAGTTATCAAAAATACTACACTGATAGTATACATAACAAAAATATTTGCAATAGTTTCTAGAGAATGCCAGTTTTATAATTAAAAGAAAAGAGAAGTAGCTGAAATAGGATTCTAACCTACCAGTTCACACCCACAAGTGAAACCCCTTTACCAACTGTGCTAAGAGAAATCTTAAATTTACACCATTCTAATGTCACCGGCCTCTCAGCTTCCGTATAACAGTATAAGGTTTGTAGGTTTGAGTAATGACAAAACTAGTTCATAAAGTTTATAATTGGGGTTTTATATAATTACTTTATCAATAAATATGATAAAGAATAAAACAAATCTGAAAATATAAAGAAAATAACATTATACAAACATAACATATAGAATTATCATTTGACAGATGACAGCTGTCAAAAATGTAAACAAACGAAACAATATACATGTAGGTGTGATGGCGCGTTACAGTCCGCTAACAAAACACAAAATTGATTTCGTTAATACTATTACATTATATAATTATCAAACTTAAGATTTACAGTATATTTAGAAATATGTTTATAAAATACAAAAATCTTATTTACCTGAATAAATATTTAATATATCCAGAGATATTTGGTATTTTAATTTGCACTATAAAAAGCGTATACAATTTGAAAAACGGGTTTGACTAGAAAAGTAAATTATGATTGGTTGAAAAGTGTCACGTGTATAAACAGATCAAAGATTAGTTATTGAAAATATCGGGAAAGACTACGGAGTACAAGTCGGGTCATGATTTACAAATAAACCAAGACAACGGAATACAACGGATCGTTTTTCTCATTTTTTTCCAGTTATTTTTACATCACAATTTAGATTTTGTATACCAGTACCAGGAATACGACTTTCGCTTCCATTCTAGACTGCGTGCTTACATGCGGTCTTATAACGGATGATGCTAATTAAGAATACACCTAAAGAAAATTCTTCCAAACATGGATGAAATTCTAAGAACATTTAAAATCAGCCATCATAAAAAACAACAACAACAAAACCCAACTTACATAACGGTGTAACTACATGTACTACTATAATATTTATTCATAGAACCCCATATTTTACTTTCTGAAAAAAATGTATATTTTAATTATATAAGAAATCTGTTTACCAGGAAATTTATTAATTATAAAGATAAAGTGTTCCGTTTTTATGATTAGAAAACATTTTTATCTTCCTCAGTATTTGTTGATATTATTAATATGTTATGTATTCATATATCAAAATAATTATCTTACCTTGCCCTACTCGACAAGTTCTGTTTTCATTTTCTGTGACTCAACTCAACAAGTACATTACCTAATGAAACCCCACGAAAATCATGAGAATTTTCAAATAACACCTGATTTGTGAACGAATGAATTACAAGAGCGTAGCGGATGGTATCTTTGCTTGGCTTTGGAATGCTTTCTTAAACATGATAAAATACATAAATAATATGTTTCTTGTGAGTAATATTAATAAATACTGAGCTAAAAACTGATGTATGGATAGAAAAACAGAGGAGCATGTAGGTAAGATAGTTACCGCACTCGGAATAGGTCTGCATAGTATTTACAGACCCGATGCCTTTTAAAAACCTCGATCGCTAAGCTCTCTTGGTCTTCAAATCACCACCTGGGTCTGTAAATACTATGCAGACCTATTCCTTGTACGGTAACTATTACATACCGACTTCAGGGTCAATGGCAAGAGTGCCAGGTCAATGTTGTTGGACAATACCATGTAACTAACAAATCTGTACTGTTACAGGGTAACAGTATTTTTTGACAGTATAAAATCTGGTCACATGGTCTATTTTTTAAAGAAAATAAAATAAAGTTATCATAAAAATCATCACAGTTATTGTTTGTGGAAATAAAATACTAGTAAATAGCACATGGGTTTTTGAGTAACAGTAAATTTAATATCATCCCAAGAAAAATATTGTTATCCGAGGCGTACAAACAAACGCAAGTGTTATTTATATACTGTTACCCTCAAACCCATGTGTTATTTATATAATATTCATGACAAGCATGTACAATGTGTACAATGTTTTAATTCTACTAAAAATTTTAGCTTTGTTGCACTGTCGATCTGTAGCCTCAATTTGTGGTTTTATAAGTATCTTCTTTTTATTTTAGCTGGTGAAGATATTACCCTACATGCTGGGAACCATTTGTTCCCATTTCAATTTGTACTTCCCATTAATATACCCGGGTCGTTTGAGGGGAAATCCAGTTGCTATGTAAGATACTGGCTGAAGGCAAATATAGATCGACCATGGAAGTTTGATCCTGAATACAAGATGCTGTTCACTGTTGGCTCAGTTTTAGATCTGAACACTCAAGCAAATGCCATGGTTTGTTTATATATTTATTATTATGTTTATTGTATTGGCAAAGAATGAATGATTTGAAATCTTCCATACTTTAAAGAATCGGTATTCTCAGGAAAAGTTTAAATTGATTTTATGTTCACTATATTGAATTTACATAAAACATGTGCTTTGCTATTGTAATGTAAGACCACTGTTTTTAAATTGAACAGATTAAATATTAAACTCTTAAATCAAATAGGTAACTGTTTACCTTTTATTCTTTTATTGAGGTACAGATGATTATCAACAAAAGATAATTAAAAAAAAACATGTACCTTACATTTTATTTAGTGTTTCACAAAATCATTTATGAATTCTATTTTTATAAAGATGGAAACAATAGAATAGGTCATACATGTTGTATATACAAATGAAAGTTGAAACTGGGACATACAATAACGTACTATATTATGTCCCAGGTTGAAAGTTTTTGTCAAATTTTACATTGAAACTAACTTACTGTTACTATTGACAGCAGCAGTGAAACAATTTCCTAATGAAATATATGCATTAATCTAACAGATCCATAGGGAGTCTGATTGTTGCATTTTAATAAATAATTAACAGAAATAGCTGGAAAATGTGACTGTTAAAATCCCATATAACTGATAATGATATATGTATTAATGTGAATGCTACTTGTATGATCTATTAAGTTTATTAAGTTATGAAACTTGTTGAAAAAAAGTTGAAAAAAAACCAGTATGTAACATTTATGCATTAGACATTATGAATTTATTAATGAATCTATTGATACATAATTATACTTTTATACAAAAGTGAGCTAGAAAGTCTGCCTACTAAGTATATCTAAAATTCTATCGAGACATTTAAATTCAAAACGATTTTGAATGGTTTTATCAGAAGAACTCATTCATTAAAAGGAAACAATAGATAGACTATTTTGTAACAAATTTTTATGAGGTGACATAATTTTACTTAAGATGCAAATTACAGGCAAATATACTTGTTATGAAGACCAAAATATGCATTCCAAATATTTTGATAATTATTATTTCTTCTTGCAGTCACCACAACAAAGTAATGACTCTAAGACAGTTTGTTGTTGCTGTTGTGAGAGCCAGCCAATCACAGCAACATTTCGTATTGACAGGACAGGCTACGTGCCGGGAGAATCTATTTGTTGTAATGCTGAGATAAATGAGGGCACTGGTAGAGGAGTCCACAGTTCAAAGGTCAAACTTATGATGGTAAGTTACAAACACAACAGGTTCATTTTGTATGTTTCAAAATTAGCAACAATCAACTTCTTATTTTTAGCTCGACTATTCGCAGAATAATCGAGCTAATGCAGTCACCCATTTGTCGGCGTCGGCGTCCCAGTGATTAAGTTTTTGCATATAACTGGTATCTCCATAACTACTGAAGGGTATGGATTGAAACTTCACACACTTGTTCCCTGTGATTATCTAAGATGATAAGCACAAGTCCCATAACTCTGTTTTGCTTTTTTACATAATTATGCTCCTTTTTGTACTTAGAAATTCTTGGTTAAGTTTTTGCGTGTAAGCTGGTATCTCCATAACTACTGAAGGGAATGGATTGAAACTTCACACACTTGCTCCCTGTGATTATCTAAGATGATTGGCATAAGTCCAATAACTCTGATTTGCTTTTTACATAATTATGCCCCTTTTTCGACTTAAAAATTCTTGATTAAGTTTTTGCGTGTAAGCTGGTATCTCCATAACTACTGAAGGGAATGGATTGAAACTTCACACACTTTTTTCTGTGATTATATAAGATGAATGGCACAAGTCCCATAACTCTGATTTGTTTTTTTTGTGCATAATTATGCCCCTTTTTTGACTTACAAATTCTAGGTAAATTTTTGCTTGTTAGACGTTATCTCCATAACTACTGAAGGGTTTGTACCTTTTTGGACAATTTTATGAATTCATATAGGTAAGCATTATTATACTCAATGAAACACCCTTGTGACAACTTTTTGAGTAGTCGAGCGTTACTGTCCTCCGACAGTTCTTGTTAAGAATTAAGATTACAAATTTTTGTTGGCTTTGACTTGTTTTGCTGCCCTAACAGGGTCCTAATTTAATTAAATCCAATCAAAGATCGAAGCAAGGTTCTAACCTAGAAAGCTTCTGATATCCTAAGGTTCTGACTTAAAAAGATCCTGATTTGATAAGGTCCTGACTCAGTTAGCTTTATTTTACTACTGCAAATTACATTGCAGGGGTTTTAAGTCCAATCTGACTGTTAATATGTAAATTTCCTCTGAGGGCTTAATTAAGCAAAAAAAAACAACTATGGGTTTTATTCTTAATTTACGTGTGCTGAAATGTTTTAGAAAACCACTTACCGCACTCATGGTGGCTCTAAGACGAAACAGACTACAGAAGTTGCCCGTCTAGAGCATGGCAGCATTACACCTGGAGGCTCGGATATTTGGAGTGGTGAGAGGATTCAGGTGCCACCAGTACCTCCATCTTTCTTACCTTACTGCAATATCATAGAAATAGACTATTACGTAGTGGTAAGCAATATTTGGTAATCATATTTTTTTTACAATTTAATGTAGCATGATTAACTGCAGTTCTAGCTTGTAAAGGTTCTCTATTATTTTGACTTGTATTTAGTGATGAATTAATACTTTTGTTATAGTATCAATTTGAAAACCAAATACATGTACTGTGGTAGTAAATGTTAGTGTTACTCTTTGCCTTAGACACACATGAATGTTAATTGTTTGACCCATTTTAAGCTGTATTTGTCTTCAACTATCCCCAAGAAAACTATACGTTTAGCTTAAATTTATATAAATTTAGTTAGTTAATCTTTTCAGAGCAATAACCTCTGTAAAATCAATTATGTTGTGTTTTGTGAATAATGTTTGCTAAAAAGAGAATTTAAATGTAGTAATAGGAATGTAACACTTCTTGATCAATGGAGGTATGTTTGAAGTAAGGTTGTATACATTTAACATGATTAATGAATATGGAGTTATAAACCTTTGGATAGTTATTAGCCCTTACTTTATGCTAACCACGGGTAATAATATTTCCCCCGGGATGATATTTTTACTGTTACCCACAAACCTATGTGTAATTTATATACTAGTAAACATTTAACATCATTAATGATTCTAGTTATGAAAATCTTAAAATGTCTCTTAAATATCACATTAGCCGCCTCTGTGGTCGAGGGGTTAGAGTCTATGACTTCTAATCCAGTTACCTCTCTGGCGTGGGTTCGATCCCCGGGAGATGCTTTGGTAGTTAAGCGCGGAGGAAGGTAGTCTAGTACTGGTGTAACTCTCCAGGAACGATGGTTAGGAAACTACCCGCCTATATGACTGAAATACTGTTGGAAAACGGCGTAAAATGAAACAAACAAACAAACAAACAAACAAATATCACATTGATAAGAAACTTAATTGTTTTCCTAATTGAAGTGTAAGGTTCTGCCTGAAACAATGGAGCTGGCAACCCCATTGATTTAATTTTATCTGTTTATTTCTCTAAGTCACAGTGGACTGTTTCACTTTTGACATAGAACACAAAATTGACCATGATAAGCGTAAAATTGTAGAGTGTGGGTATAAACCATGTTAATAATCACATGATATGTTACATACTACATAGATTTACCAGTCTTACAAGTTAATGGGATAGAGAACCATTGGATTTCCAAGTTTGTGTACACTGACTGTGTGCAGCACATGTCATTGTTGTATTGATTTGTTGGAGATGATACTTATTTTTGTTATGACAGCATTTACTGTCTGCTCCTGGTGGAGTGATATTATTGATAAACTTGACTGTTTGATCATATTTGTACTTAATCAGAATAATTGATAACTGATTAGATATTTGCTAACCGGTGTGACTGAAGTGCTGAAACAAAGTTGTACTTAATATAACCATAGTCATCAAAACAAACTTGAACAAGAGTGGGGGAATGGCCTAGTGGTTAGCGCATCAGACTAGTAATCTAATGATCGCTTGCTGTATGGGTTCAAAGCCTGTCTAGGGCAAGTCAGTGTTTTGAAAGTTTGTCTATAGCTTCCTATAGCTTTGTCTATAGCTTATAGCTTCCTACACAATCAAAGTAAAAAAAAATTCTGTATAAATCAAACATAAACAATGCTAGATTGTTTTTTAATTTCCAGCTAGCTGTTGATGTCTCGGACACACCATTTGATCTGACATTAGAACTTCCTGTGGTTATAGGTTCTATACCTCTACAATCAGTTGTAAGCCAGTACATGCCTCAGATGCAGCCAGGAACCATCACTAACCAACCAATGGGATTTAGTGCTCCTGTGAACTTTGACCTACGTAAGTTTTATATTTGAAATGACCTGTCTTGTTTATTGGACTATATTTGAAAATAGTTTCTTGTATGCTGAAGAAGCTTCAGGACGTATTATTGTATCGTGCTTGTTTTACGCTCTACAGATAGTAAATAGACGGCCGCCAAACTTTAAACAGAGCAAAAGAGAACTAGAAAAGACCACAACAGTTATGAAGAAATCTGATAACTATAAATATATAGGTTACTTTGCAGTATACAAATATACATGTTACATCAGTTTATAACTCTGATTACTATAAATAGAAATGATTTTGTAGGTGTCCATGACCGAGTGGTTAAGGTGGTTAACATCAAACCACTTGCCCCTCACTGCTGTGGGTTTGAGTCCAAACAAAGACTGTGTATTCTCTCATGTGAGGAAGCTATCATTCTAGCTTACAGAACGTCAGTAATTCTACTTAGTACTGAGTTGTCAATAATTTTGTGCCTGAAATAATGCATGGAAGGGCACCTGTCTTTCTTCACCAGTAAAGCTGGAAAGTGCCCCCCCCCCAAAAATAAAAATAAAAATAAAAAAAATAAAATAAAAAAAATATATATATTTATAATAATTTAACAATTCTTAAATAATTCATTGCATGCTTCCACATTAGAGTTAATTAAATAAAAGATTTTACTGTTTTATTAATACATGTTTTCTGTGTTATTCAATCTATACAGCACCACCAGCCTATCATGAGTGTGTCTTCGGAAAGGTCGATACAACAGATGATGATGATAAAAATGCCGGAGGGAATATGAATTACGCCCCATCCTACACCTACTACGACTGGATGAGTCAGCCTCCAGCCCCAGCCCAGTATTAGTTCATTTGACCAGCATCACCACAAAACCAACATAATGGGTTTGCGACCAGCAGGGATCCAGACCAGCTTTGGCGTCCGCGTAGTATGCTGTTCGCTTTTAATTTCTTTACTTGTTATAGGGTCTGTAAGTGAACAGCATGGATCCTGATCAAACTGCGCAGATGTGCAGGCTGATCTGGATCCATGCTGGTCGCAAACACATTATGTTGGTTTTGTTGTGACGCGGCTCATTTGATGCTTACACAACATGACAGATCTGTTACTGCTTTAGGTTCTTGTTATTAAAACTGTACATCATTCTCTAATTATTTTATGTGAGAAAAGTCTTTGTGCAATAAAGTGTTTGGTGAGTGAAAGGACTTTGGAAAGGTCTTATATTTTTGCTCAAACTTTTTATCTTTCTACATTGTTTTACAGTTTTGTTAATTTCCATGACATGTTTTTAACTAAGTATGTGTGTTCTTTCTAGAACTATGTCTAATAAAATATTTTTTTATGAAATATTCAATGGTAAAATTAGGTGGTATCTGTAATCCAATGATTGATTCTCAAACGGGTTGTTAACATAGAATATCTCTATTATGTAACAAAGATGAATAGTGTACATGTATATAAACAGAATGTTGTTAAACAACATATGCTTCTGTTTTTAAAAGGTTTTTACTTTAAAGCAATGAGTTTGTTACATGTTTGGAAACTACTTGATAAAGTTTAGAAATGTTCAATTACTTATTTTGAAATTTTTAGAGTATACATTAACAATGTAACTTTTATCTATCCTCATGAAGTTCATGATTTTATATTGTCTGTTCCATTTAGTTCTTGTTTTTTAGCTCACCTGTCACAAAGTGACAGGGTGAGTTATTTTTATCGCTTTTCGTCCGGCGTCCGGCCATCGTCCGCCCGTCCGTAAACTTTTGCTTTAAGTGACATCTCCTCATAAACCACTGAGCCAATTTCATCCAAACTTCACAGGAATGTTCCTTTGGTGGTCACCTTTAAAAATTGTTCAAAGAATTTAATTCCATGCAGAACTCTGGTTGCCATGGCAACCAAAAGAAAAAACTTTAAATATCTTTTTTTAAAAAAACATAAGAGCTAGAGCTTAGATATTTGGCATGAAACATCTTCTAGTGAGTGTATACCAAGTTTGTTCAAATAAAAGCCCTGGGGTCAAAATTGGCTCCGCCCCTGGGAGTCATTGATTTTCCCTATATGCATATAGTAAAAACTTAAAAAATCTTCTTTTAAAGAACCGTAAGAGCTAGAGCTTAGATATTTGGCATGAAACATCTTCTAGTGAATGTCTACCAAGTTTGTTCAAATAAAAGCCCTGGGGTCAAAATTGGCCCGGACCCAGGGGGTCATTGATTTTCCCTATATGCATATAGTGAAAACTTAAAAAATCTTCTTTTAAAGAACCCAAAGAGCTAGAGCTAAGATATTAAGCATGAAACATCTTCTAGTGAGTGTCTACCAAGTTTGTTCAAATTAAAGCCCTGGGGTCAAAATTGGCCACGCCCCGGGGGTCATTGATTTTCCCTATATGCATATAGTAAAATCTTAAAAAATCTTCTTTTAAAGAACCATAAGAGCTAGAGCTTAGATATTTGGCATGAAACATCTTCTAGTGAATATCTACCAAGTTTGTTCAAATAAAAGCCCTGGGGTCAAAATTGACCCCGCCCCAGGGGGTCATAGATTTTCCCTATATGCATATAGTAAAAACTTTAAAAAATTTCTTGTAAAGAACCAAAGAGCTAGAGCTAAGATATTAAGCATGAAACATCTTCTAGTGAGTGTCTACCAAGTTTGTTCAAATTAAAGCCCTTGGGTCAAAATTGGCCCCACCAAGGGGGTCATTGATTTTCCCTATATGCATATGGTAAAAACTTAAAAAATCTTCTTTTAAAGAACCATAAGAGCTAGAGCTTAGATATTTGGCATGAAACATCTTCTAGTGAATGTCTACCAAGTTTGTTCAAATAAAAGCCCTGGGGTCAAAATTGACCCTGCCCCAGGGGGTCATAGATTTTCCCTATATGCATATAGTAAAAACTTAAAAAATCTTCTTTTAAAGAACCCAAAGAGCTAGAGCTAAGATATTTAGCATGAAACATCTTCTAATGAGTGTCTACCAAGTTTGTTCAAATAAAAGCTCTGGGGTCAAAATTGGCCCCGCCCCAGGGGGTCATTGATTTTCCCTATATGCATATAGTAAAAACTTAAAAAATCTTCTTTTAAAGAACTCAAAGAGCTAGAGCTAAGATATTTAGCATGAAACATGTTTTAATGGGTGTCTACCAAGTATGTTCAAATAAAAGCCCTGGGGTCAAAACTGGCCCCGCCCGGGGGGGGGGGGTCATTGATTTTTCCTTATATGTGTATAGCAAAAGCTTAAAAATCTTCTTTGGAAAAACCCCAAATAGCTAGAGTTTAGATATAAAGCATGAAATATCTTTAAGTAAATATCTACAAAGTTTGTTAAAATAAACGCCCGGGGGTCAAAACTGGCCCTGCCCCAGGGGTGACATTGTTTTTAACTATATGTGTATAGTAAAATCTTTAAAAATCTTCTTTTAAAAAAGCCAATGAGCTAGAACTTAGATGTTTAGCATGAAAATCTTCTTATGGGTGTGTACCAAGTCTGTTCAAATAAACAAATAAAAGCCCTTGGGTAAAAATTGGCCCGGGGGTGGGGGGGGGTGCCTATATACAGGTGAGCGACCTCAGGGCCATCATGGCCCTCTTGTTTGTTTTTCTGATAAATCTACAACATTACTACCTCTATAATTAGGAGGGGAAAAATGTCCGAGAGGCTAATTGTCAGGGATTCTGTATTGTCATCCCAACTTACACAGAATTAATAAAATGGACATTTTATACAGGAAATGGTTATACCAGGACAATAAATCTTACCTGTAATTAATTAGATGTTATACTAAGTTCTCATTTATATATTTTTTAAAAATCTGCCATTTTAGGCCATTTGAATATATGTCATGAAGTATCCTGTTGAAACCTGTGTTATTTCGTTTACAAAAATCATGTGGTAGCCACATTTTTCTTGAAGTTTAGATATTTAGTATGGAATAATAATTGTTGGAAGGTTAGTGTATTGTCTAAGGTTAGTGTATGTTTTAGGCACAGTTGAACAGTTATCAGTTTTAATCCGCATAAAAGCTTCTATTATTATTTTGATCCTAAAATTCCAAATATAAGAAGGCAGTGCCCTGCATTGTTCTTCAAGTCTGTATAAAATAAGTTATGACAATCTGAGTATGAAAAGGCATGATAGCTTGTTATTAACATGCAAGGAATAGAATATTCATTTAGGGGTTTATACAGTAAAACTTAAATGTGTCAAGTTTTGATGTGTTGATTTCCCTGCCTGTTTCCTATTTATTCTTATAAATACATGTATTTATGTCCCACTTTTCAATGTTTTTAAAATGTCCGTAAAGAATAATTTGTGTAGAAAATAAAACAAAGTCCTTGAATTGTTTTATTGACTCCTTTAAAGGGAGACACAGGCAAAATTTTCATTTCTTAGTTTTGAAATTTTCATTCATTATTCTGTAAATGTCCTCAAAATGAATACACTAAACAGTCAAAGGAACAAAACTTTTCTCCATATAAAGAATAAAATGGTGTTTTTCTAACTTGACCCGCGTGGGTCAGGTTAGAGCGCTAAAATTTCACAATAGTTGTCACTCTGTACTCTGGACGCGTTAAAAAACATGTCAAATCAATTACTTAGACTTGTTTCAATCATACAATATCCACAATATTTGTTATTGTAACTTCCAGGGTTTGTTCAAATCGCATGACTTGTTTTTAAACTATTCGGTGATTCTGTTCGCGTCAAAATTTCGTTCAACATATATAGATATATTTAAACTTCAAACCCAAAATATATAGAATTTATACAGAAATTCATGTTGGGACTTTAAGAAATGTCATTTTAGGGTGATTTGAGTACAGAAAATCATTTTTATATTTTTGCCATTATTTTGCCTGAGTATCCCTTTAAATCTCAAGATATATTTCAGGTCGTTTCTAGCAGTGATAATGATTGCTATTTCAACATGTAAGACACTGACAGATATTAATTAGACAGGTGCTTGTTTTATCAGACTCCTTTATAGGGGTACTTAGGCAAATTGATGATAAAATATCGAAATGATCTTATGCACTCAAATCAGGCTAAATGATATTTTATTAAAGTCCCAGCTTGGATTTCTCTAAAATTCTATATATTTTGGGTTTGAAGCATAAGTTAGGAAAGCACCATTTTATTCTTTATAAGCAAAAATGCTTTGTTCCTGTGACTGTCCAGTGTATTCATTTTGAGGACATTTACAGAAAAATAAGTAAAAAAAAAAAAAAAAAAAAAAAAAAAGAAATGAAAATTTTGCCTGTGTCTCCCTTTAAATTTGGTAAGAAAATGCTTTTTTTGAAATCATGTTTAACTCCTGTGAAACTTTACAAATAGTTGCATTTTGATTATTTCTACTGTACATGATATGTTGGTTAGTAAAGTATCCGATGTCAAGTGATAATCATGGTGGTTGTGTTTTAAAAAATTCTCTTCAGTTTTTCCTATGGATCATGATGGTAATCACATAGGATATATTTTATATGGTTAATTTATCACCCTTTCCTTTTGAATGCCAGTGTCTGCAAGTGTTCACAAAAATTACTGAATGTCTACTTTATTATACTATGTAATGAAAGAAAATATGTAAGGTATAAGCTTTGCACACACATGTTCTTGTATATGTAAATACAATTGTTCATGTCATTGTGTACTTATTACATATACGTGTAATTTGATGATAAATATTGTTTTTTTGATATTATTTTGATATGATGAGCTTATAGCTATTACAGGTGAAATAGTTGGGGTTTTTATTCATAATCTGTGCAATAATTTTGTTCTCATTTTCTTATGTTCTTATTTTCATGTCTAGAGTGACAGAGAGCTAGAGAGAGGGAGGGACAGAGAGTTTTAACAAACAGTGTCTTGATTATTGTCTAACAAAATAATTTTATAAAATTTTAAAATAGAAAATTTAATATGTTGTTTCCAGATGTTTTCTTACGGTCGATTGTCAAAACAATTGTAACCTAGAATGTCCCAGTAATTAAAAACATACATATTGTTATTGTATGTAAATCAAATAAAATGTTCTGGAATAAAATAATCAGCTGCTATTTTAAGTAAGGTTTTAACTATTTAGCAAAAAAATTAGGCATGCATTATTTGCTTTAAAAGGAAATGTACCACCATATCTCTTTCAAACTGGTATTTGGAATATCCTTTTCAAAATCTAAATAAAACTGTTACACACAGCAGGTGGCAGATATGTAGTTTAATGTACACTTAAATGTTTCTGTTTTATCTAAGGAAACTGAATAAAACAGTCCCTATCAAAATATTATTTTGCTAATTTTAGTATCTGAATAATTTCTAGGTTTACTTGTCAAAATAAAACATCTTTTTTCCAATTTAGTTACATGTATTTTGATATAAGATTTTTATGAAGATACAGACAAATAATTTACTGATTACAGACATGCCTTATATAGTTTTATAACTTTTAAAATTTGTGCATATATAATATAGACTTGTGGTCCGATTCTGCCTTAGAATTACATTGTATTATGTTTTAAGAATATCCGTTTTAATATTAAGGAATTCCTTATTTTAATAATATATATATAAAGATAGGTTTTGATTCTTATCATTTGTTTTTGAAAATTACTTCAGGCTCTTTACTACATGACTGCATAAATCCATCATTTTTCATTTTGTTACATTTGGAATGACAATGACTACAAGTGTCATCTGTATAAAACCTGGCCTTTCTGCTTATCCAGTCAGTCATAACCAAAGTAACGATGAGCATTAAGATATTCAAAATATGTTCAGATATTTCTTTATGTCCAATTTCTTTTTACTTTTTTTTTTCTTGCCATTTTATATTTGCTTTGTATTGTCTTTACATAACTTTTTTTTCATCTTACACTAAATAAGTCCATGTGACTTGTTATATCCCCGCACAACAAAGTTGTAAGGGGGGTATACTGGAATCAGGTTGTCCGTCTGTCCGGCCGTCCGGCCGCACTAATGAATAGGGATAGGGGGCCATCTAACTGTAAACAGAACAAAAGGAACAATAGAATTCATTCCGTAACAATAGAATAAGGGGTCATGGCCCTCTATTAAACAAAAGAAAATAACAATAGAAATGGCCCTTTATTCCAAATCGGTCGTCCGTCCGGCTGTCCATCGGTTTTTTCATGTCCGCCCAATAACTTAAGATTCCTTTGACCTTTAGTCTTCATATTTGGCATGGAGGTTAGTCATGATTAGTAGATGACCCCTATTGATTTTGAGGTTACCAGGTCAAAGGTCAAGGTCACAGGGGCCTTGACTTCAAAAAGCTTGTCTGTCAAATAACTTAAGATTCCTTTGACCTACAGTCTTCATATTTGGCATGGAGGTTAGTCATGATTAGTAGATGACCCCTATCGATTTTGACGTCACCAGGTCAAAGGTCAAGGTCACGGGCCTTGACTTCAAAAAGCTTGTCCGCCCAATAACTTAAGATTCCTTTGACCTACAGTCTTCATATTTGGCATGGAGGTTAGTCATGATTAGTAGATGACCCCTTTTGATTTTGAGGTCACCAGGTCAAAGGTCACAAGGGCTTTGACTTCATAAAGCTTGTCTGCCCAATAACTAAAGATTGCTTTGACCCATAGTCTTCATATTTGGCAATGAGGTTAGTCATGATTAGTAGATGACCCCTATTGACTTTGAGGTCACCAGGTCAAAGGTCAAGGTCACAGGACTTGTCTGCCAAATAACTTAATATTCCTTTGACTCACAGTCTTCATATTTGGCATGGAAGTTAATCATGATTAGTAGTATGCGGGGGTATTCACGCCATGATAGTGGCAGTTCTAGTTATTTCTGATTAAATGTTCTTTGTTTTGTTAACTTTTGTAGGTTTTCTTAATGTGAATAGTATGTTAAACTAACTGAATAAGTACAGTATGTGCTGAAATAGTTCAACATTGTACCAGTGAAGTTAAAATTATATCAATAAAAAAGTATTATAATAATATGCATAATAAAAATCTTTACCAATGAGTAAATCATGTATCTGTATAGTAAAATATGTACCATTTTAGTAAAATATGTACATGAACCTTTATACTAAAATATGTACTCGTATAGTTACTGTAAAATATGTACCAGTATACAGTAGTAAAATTATAATAAATACATATATAATTATATATAGATACATATGTACCAGTATAGTAAAATATATACATGTACCAGTGTAGTATAAGAAATATCAATTAAGTAAATGTTAATTGGTATGAAGTAGTGTGAATAAAGATTCATGGAAGTTTGCTCTTTAAATTGCATAATCCTAAAGATTAATCCTTTTTCTGGTTTATTGATTTTTATGTAAAATGTGGTATAAAATGTGGTAGCTTACCATGATTTGGTTGGTCTGTATGTCCATCATATGGACATACTTCACTTCTTCTTTGTCCCATCAATAATTTGAGAAGGAATAAGCTTTGGTTAATGTAATTAGCCATAGTCATTTTGTGTCAGCAGTCAAGGTCTCAATGGCATTTGTTTACTATTGATTAGATATTTGTTTATGGTCAATAACTTTAATTACAACTATGAAACTTGATATTCGGTTACATTTTGATGATTTGAAGTGAATTGTACCTGCAACATCCATTTTTGTGTCAAAAGGGTAAAGGTCAGTGTTACCTTTAATTTGAAAATATCTCGATATTCAGACAAAGGGCAAGTTTACTATCCAGCTCAGAGTAAAGTGGGCAACCTGCTTCTGGTACATATTTTGTTATACATTTTGTATAAGAATTAATATGGTTATTAAAAGTTTTATAATTTGATTTTGTCATCCATATTTTATGAATCTTATGCATTTGTTTAAACATTCGTATACTATTTTTTCGTTGATTAGAGGGTAAACTAATAAAGTTCATTCCATGCAATATATTTTTGTTACCAATTTAAACAATAGGAATAGGAATTGTTGCTGCTTCTGATATATGATACTTTAACATTTACCTAGCTGGAACTGAAAGTGATGAGCCTTGCCACCAGTATAGAGACAGGCTAATCTGTACATCCATGCAGTCTGACCAGGCTCTATACTGTTAGATGACAAACCTTAAATTTTTATCTTGATGAAATCCTTAAATTGACAATAGGCTCCAAAAATGGAAGCTGGACAAGACTTTCTTTGAAGAAATTCCGCAGAGTGGGTATATAAAACCTTTTTCCCAAAGTTTTGATATGTTGAATAATTGATGTTGTAAGTTTTAATAATTTTCTAAAGCTTGTTATAATGGATGAATATTCACATTGAAATAATAATATGATAATTATAGGATGTCAGTCTGTATTTTGTGCCTAGACCACGATAGCTTTCAACAAGGTTTAGGTAATTAAACACCAGATGGAGCTTATATTGCTATTATGATACCCTAGTCTGTGTGTAATCCACATTTTATACCATATCCATAGTCTGGTCTGTATGAGGCAAGACATGATAAAAAATGATGGTATCTTAGAATGTCTTTTTACTTGACTAGGTGTATATCCGTAATGCTATTGTTAAAACTGTTTTTATATAATTCTATTTTTTAGACTTTTTTTTTCATAACTATTTTACATTTATGTATTGTATAATGTATTCTCAATTGTGATGTTAAGGCTGCATTTTATCAATTTTATTAAAACAGAAATAGCTATATTTTGTCATTTAAAAGGGTTCTTATTGACTCCCATTCTTACTGTGGTGTCTGGACGACTAAAATGAGTGTTGTAAGCGTAAATGACTGCAATATCGTTGTGGGGAATTTGTATGTACAATTTCTGTTTGCATGAAAAACTCCATCTTTGGGTAATTTGAACATCAATAGAAAATCAACAACTTGGCTTTATTATAACAGTACATGTGACTATATTCTTATATTATCGAACAGATGTTTCCGTACGAATTTTATCTCTCCTTTTATTAGATAATTACTTTTTTATAAACGTCAGAACGCTGTAACAGTAGAGGGTTGTTTAGATGGGAATATACCACATTTGCCTTATTTTAGATATTCACAACTGTAATGTTTTAATTGCCTATGCAACAAGGCAAATATATTCTTCATATTTTGCATGTTAAAATCCATATACGAACATTTGTTTTACCGTGGGGTGTTCTTTCTAAAATAATTAATTTATGAACAATATTTGCTGAGATTTTCAATACTATTAAAAAAGACTAATGAATCTGTAGAATGTTTGGTTTTAGCCCAACAACAAAATATTTTTACCTATTTATAAAATGCAGCTTTGATATTAGTAGAGATTGTGGGCTCTGCAATGGAATTTGTTTCATACCATTTATATAATGAGCTCTGAAACTTTCATAAATTAAATGTTTGAAGTCAAGGGTTTGTTATGTGATGATACTGACTCAAATTAGTTCTCTATACGGCATTACTGTTGCTAAATATTGTTACTTTCATATATACAAGTAAAATAAAATACTGTAAACTGAATGATTTCCTTTGTTGTATATTTTATGTCACACAGACACAGTATAGGTCATTCGGCGACGTTCCAGCTTTACTGGTGGAGGAAGACCTCGGGGTGCCCTTCCGTGCATTATTTCAGGCACCAACGGCCACCGATGTACCGTAAGCTAGCTGGATAGCTTCCTCACATGATAGAATCCAAAGTCCCTGTAGGGATTCGAACCCACCGCAGTGAGGGGCAAGTGGTTTGAAGTCAACGACCTTAACCAATCAGCCACGGACGCCCCTTTCAAAAGTTTACCCTTTCTCTTAGATTCTAATGTACTTTGTCAAGTACAAATTATACACAGGGTGATTTGATATTAATAAATGAAATCCAAGTTAAATCTGAATTTTTAATAAGCTTAATACTTAATGTTGGTCATAGCATAAGCATCAAATATAAAAAAAAAAAAAGAGAGAGAAAAAGAATACAACACGGTTTTAGAAATAGTATATTCTTTATTTTTACATAAATATTGATAATAATTATCACAGAATTTGAGTGAGAAATACACAACTGAAAAGCACTGGTACATTAACTAGTTACACATCACCCTCTAACTAATATTGTTACTGGCAAGATTATCTATATGCTAGGTCAAAACTTTGTTTTCTATATAACTACCGTATAAATTCCCCTACATGTCAGTATCATTTTATATATTTATGAACCTAAGACAAAGTAAAGTGATCTTCATTTACAATGAATTTATAGAATAATGAAATGGACAAATTTAAGAAATTATTCATGCATGTATTTCTTTAATGTTGACTTTAACTAGAGTAATATTCTAAGGCCAAAAAGGTTTGGAAGTGACATTTTACATGAAAAAGAATCAATTATACTAAACTCTGCTTCAAAACATGCTAATACTTCAATACATTAAAATCAAAACATTTTATACCAGCCAGTACAGGTATTACTTGGACTCCCATACATGCTTGTGTATTTCATATACATGTATTTCCTCTAGTCTTCATCAACATGAAACAGACTCTGCAATATACATTTATATGACGGATCCCATTTTAAAGTTACAGACATGCAAATAAAATTTGAACAATAACTTAACAAAACATTTAAAACTCTAGTTACCAGTAAATCTTCAAAACCTTCTCAACCACAGATAAAACTAGAAACATCTTCAGTTAAGCCTATATTTGTCATTAGAGATATACAAAATTGTCCTGAATAACTAAATAATTTGAGAGCAAAATACTCAGGAATGGTATCATAATGATTCATAAAACTTTTGAAATAGTTAAAAGCTTTCAAAATATTTTAACTAGTTATTCCATTGTGCGTGTCTATAGTTTTTATAACAACATTCCTCAAAATAGTATGTCAACATTTATACATTACCACATTAAAATAATTCTTAAGGAGGAAAATAAAATCATCCCAAATGTAGAGGATAAACATTAGCTACAACAAGGAATATACTGTTTTCCTAGATTGAAACAATATGGCATGAAATAATGCATTAATGCACACACATAAAATGCCACATATAAGGTAAATAAAAAATTTAATTCTAAGACTAAAAAACATTTTTCAAACTAAAAAACTATCATCATTCTAAGTAACTGAGGTAAACAATAATAATAAATAAAACAAACAGTGACATAATCTACTTGCAATGTGCTTTAACATATATGCATAAAAAAAAGAAAATAAATAAGATAGAAAAAAAGTATCACAATATATATGACTTTGTTAATCAGAATTCTAAAACTAACTAGAAATTCAACAATACATGCTTCGAGTTATCTTATGTTCACAAAACCTCCCAAAACTGATTAAATTCTCTTAATACATTCAGTCGCGACAGAAAGCCAGTGTTCAAATCATGAGGCCAAAATCTCAGGAGATCAACATTTTGGTTGAATATTCATGGAACTTTTTAACATTTACAACTTTCTAAATTTTTGACAAAAGTTTCCTTATTTTATCATAATGCCACTTTAAACATAACAATAACAACAACAAAAACAATTGCATTTGAAAGTTTTTCTTATATTCTACTACATGCAAAATTAAGTCAAAACTTTTAAACTTTCGTTTTCAATTCTGATTAAGACCAACAAACTTATTACATGTCCTGGTACATTAAACACTTTGAACATATACATCAAAAACAGGCAATACCTCCAATCTATAATTTCTGAGCAAAATTAATAATTAAAACTTCTAGGGTAGAAAGGTTTATGTGAAATGAAAGAAACTTTAAATAGCATTTTTGTTTGCCATGCTAATATTGAGTAAAGAAAGATGTTGCCATAATGAAAATGATGTTCCGATTCCACAAAAATTTAGTTAGCTACAAAAACTGACTACAACTGTTATGTGTAGTATCATGCAACATGAGTTGATATGTCGATTTCTTTCAAAGTTACCATCTTTGAGAAGCTAACTTATTTCTTGCTGAAAAATACTTAGTACTTTGTAAGTAAGTAGCTGCCTTGACCTTACAACCCTATATGTTTCACAACTAATGACCTTTAATTCATTTTTCAAACCCCCTACTTGAGCTACCTAGTTGTCTTAATCTAAAACTGCATTGGCATGCCGGTTGAGGATCTCAACAAAGTATTTCTAGGACTGCCCATACGAGACTGAGAGTGCGCCATCGTGTGTGACAGAGTACGCATACTCTCTGCCAACTTCTCAAACTCTTCCCATTTCTGACTCTGTGACGTATGTTCAAGGGAGTTAAACTGTTCCAATTCTCCAAACCTCTGTTCAAGTGAGAGAACTTGACTCCTCAGGTTCACTACCTCTTCATTTTTCAGTTCAAGCTATAAGTAGAAATATCTGGTGATTACTGTCAACAGTTTGACACATTATTTTTCTTAATCTTATAACCCAAAATTACTATAACTGATGAAAAGAGCTTAATATTTGACAAAACAATTGTGGGTATTGTTCACAAAAAAGAATGAGAGAGCTACCATGAGCTATTGGAGTTCTCAGTCTGATTCCTTTCTGCTTTAATGTGTAAATTACCTACATGTGTATACAATCATCTTGAATAAAAATATACTTTTAAATCAAGTGATAGTCTCAGTGATAGTGACTCTGACCGCTCATACCTGAAACACCCAAGAAAGATGCTACACACTGAATATTTGAGATATTAGTTAATTAATAAAAGTGTTATGAGAAAACAGTCTTAAAGTGTGATGGAAAGTAAGCAGTGCAGCAACTATATCCTCAATGAAAATATTTCAGGTAGCATAGAAAATTTGCCATACCTTTTTCTGTATGTCAGCAACATGGTCCACAAGCAATGATTTGTCTTTACGTAACTGTGTGTTTTCTTTCTCTAGATGTTCATGCATACCAGTAAGCTCGGTCACTCGGCTACGTGCTGTGTTCAACTGTAGTTCTTGCTGGGTTGATACAGAATCTTTAAATGATAGCTGTAACAAACATAATGACATTGAAAATGATATAATCACACATCCCAGAGACAGATGTGTATGGGTTTTTTTTTTATTTAATCATTAACTACTCTTTTTTCATTGGTAACTAATGGGAGACTCCACAAATGAATGTTACAAGTTTTTCAATTAGTTTCTTTAACAATTGTACAAGTAAAAAGATAACTGTTCACTTCAACATCTTTCATGGGTTCCCTGGTACTCAAATTTCAAAGCTTCTAAACAACACCTTGGTATCAAAGAAACTTATGACCTCCAATACTACATTGGACAATGAAACTTTCTCTTTCTGAACATACATGTATATTGCTCATTTCAGTACGAGTGGAAAACATATTTCAATACAGATGTAAATATCCAAAGAAACCATTAAATATGTTGACAAATATCAAAATGATTTTACAATTCTTATCTTGTTTTTCGTTTTATTTCAACAGCTCGAAAAAAATACAGCAGAATTTTACTGATTTATACTATGAAAGAAATCTTTGTGTATAAAGTTTGGCCCCAAACCTGCTGGAACAGAAAGTAATCAGCCATTGCCACCAGCATAGAGCCAGACCAGCCTGCACTTTTGTGTTGTCTGATCAGGCTCATAATTTAAACTTAAAAATTGAAATCCCTTTGAAAATTAATTGTTCTCAAAGCAGGAAAAAACATTACAAAGACGTTCTACAAATTCAGCTGGTTAAGAGTAAATTGTATTATAAGGAAAGAGATCAATAAAGGCCCTTACTTTTTCTTGATATTGTTTAAGTCTATCATGTTCTTTAGTCATACTCTCTTTAGAATATTCAAGTTCAAATCTCAGCTCCTTTTCCCTTTCTTTACTCTGAACTATTTCAGAGATGGTCTGTTGATGACGTGACTCTATTTCATCTCGTAGATTCTTCTCCTAAAAGAGTGAAATGATAATGAATGTTTCCATGCAATAACTTTTTTTTTAATTACAGGGAAACAAGGTGAAATCAAAACAAGAGTAACAAAAATTTGTAACAGAGTTACCAACGTCCCCCGCCTCGGGGAAGTTTTATATGAAGCATAAAATTGTGCTATTTCAAAAGATTGTGGTATGGATCTCAGGACTTTCAGTCCAAAATTATGATCAATACTAGATCTGCAAATGCAACAATAAATTTATTACAGAAATACTAGTAAAATGAAACACGGAATTTAAAAATCTATCATGTTAACATTTGACCTCTAAGTGTGACCTTGACCTTGGAGGTAGGGGTGCAGGTGTTGTGCATGACATATCGTCTTATTAATATTACTATTTGTGCCAAGTATTTTCAAAATCCCTTGAACTATGAAGAAGTTATAGATCAGACACAAAATATACCCTATAACAGACTATGTCAATCCTTGACCTCTAAGTATGACCTTGGAGGTAGGGACCCATGTTTTGCGCCTGACATATCATCTTATTATTGCGATTATTTGTGCAAAGTATTTTTAAAATTCCTTGATCTATGAAATGGTTATGGACTGAACACAAAATATACCTTTTAACAGACTATGTAAATCTTTGACCCCTATGTGTGACCTTGGAGATAATGACACATGTGTTACGCATGACATATCATCTTATCATTGTGACTATTTGTGCCAAGTATTTTCAAAATCCCTTGATCTATGAAGAAGTTATGGACTGGACACAAAATATACCATATAACAGACTGTTAGCCTTTGACCTCTAAGTGTGACCTTGACCTGGAGGTAGGGGTGCAGGTGTTGTACCTGACATATTGTCTTATTATTGTGACTATTTGTGCCTAGTTATTTCAAAACCCGAAGAAGTTCTAGGTCAGACACAAAATATACCCTAAAACAGACTATGTTAACTTTTGACCTCAAAGTGTGACCTTGAACTTGGAGGTAGGGATGCAGGTGTTGCGCATGACACATTGTCTTATTATAGTGACTATTTGTGGCAAGATTTACAAAATCCTTTGATCTATGAAAAAGTTATGGACCGGACACATAATATACCCTGTAACAGACTATGTTAATCTTTGACCTCCAAGTGTGACCTTGATCTTGGAGGTAGGTGACTGGTTGTTGCGCATGACACATTGTCTCATTATTGTAAACAATTGTGGCAAGTATTTACAAAATCCCTTCAAAGATAAGAAAGTTATGGACCAGACACGACATATACCATCAAATAGACAATGTTGACCTTGAATGAGCAAGTGCGACCTTGACCCTGGAGGTAGGGGTCTGGTTGTTGCACATGACACATTGTCTTATTATAATAACCATTTGTGCCAAATTATTTCAGATTCCTTTGATAAATGACAAAGTTATGGACTGGACACGAAAGTGTGACGGACAGAGCCTATTACTATATCCCCCTTTTTTCTTCGAAAAGGCGGGGGACAATAATCTATAACTGATCATTTAGAAGTACATTTTGAAATATTTAATATTTATATAACTATCTATTGCACAAAGCTTATGAACATCCAACATTAGTGTACTTCATGTAGAAATAAAAAAAAATCCTAAATTTGATCAAACAAGTCATATATATAAATCATAAACATTTTATTAATTAATTTCAGTATGTCAGATTTTAGTGTTCATACTGACATATAAAATTATATTGCATATAGTAATACATGACATTTTCACAAAATATTAAGTACACAGGTTAGAACAGAGGTCCTTAAAACATAAGCAATTTTTAATAAAAGGATATTTTCCTAAATTCAAATTAAGTAGTCAAACTAAATATATAGTGACTTTAAATAATGTTTTACAACAGAACACCATGTAGAAGTAGACAATAATCATTCGTAATTTAATACATGTATTTCTTTGTTACGTGTATAAGTGCATTTGGTGTAGACAGTACTAAACTTACTCTCTCTAGTTGTTTAGTCATCTCTACAACTTGTTGATGGAGAACAGAGTTCTCCCTGACAATAGTAGAACTATCATCGGACATTTTACTTCGTAGGTGGCGCTCTTGCTCTGCTGACATTTCCGCTTCTTTCAGTTTTATTCTCAGATCTCGAATTTCTTCCTAAATTAAAAAATTGATATGTTCCACTGTAAAGTACATGAATATAAATTATAAGACTAACTGTCTTGTTTATTTAAATCTTTTGAAAGCTATGGTCATTTAAGTTGTAGTAAATCCCTTGAAAATGACAGAAAGAAAGTGTAATGTTTATGTTTTTCAATCAACACTTGCGATCAAAGTTAGTAAAATGTATTGCCATTCAATTACATATCAAAATGAATTCAATAAATAAATAAAATGCCAAGTTTTGTTCGAAATGTATCATAAATGATAAAATCATCTGGTTTGTTTGAAAAAAATAAACTTTCAGCAAAGATAAGATATGTATTTTCTTTATTTAACTGTGTCTGTCAAATTAATCCTATCAATATAAATATGAAACCTTAAATGAGTGCAAAAAAAACATCCAATGGGAAGCAACAAGAATTCATTTCATAGGTAAAACATGAACATATTTTTTTTTGAAGTTGTTTAACATATATATATATACATACCCTAAGGTCATTAACAACTTTATCTTGTAGATTTACAGTACTATTGTAGTATTTCTCTTCAGTCGATTTGAGCTGTGTTTCAACACTGAGAAGGTCCGACCTTTTCTCATCCAAGCTGATCTGAGTCATTTTATGCTGCTCAATTCTTTGTTCTAACTAAAAACAAACATAGCATGATGGAAATTTGATTGATTGCATCCATAATGCAATTTTGTGTATGTTTTAATTCTGTATATATACATTCATTGAATTTAAAGTCAATACAAATGTATTTTTAACACATGTATACTTTAACAGCATAAATAGGATGGTAAATTCATATTATTTGACATGTTAGCAAGTTCTTCCATTCAAAGAGACTTGTGTTTTTCTCTCTCAAAAATTCTAGAAAAGATTTTTCATTAATCTAATGGTATGAAGCAATTTCAAAGTAATGCCTTACCTGACTTTTTAATGATATTATTTTAGTTTCAGCATTTTTTAAGGCTGTAGCACTTTTTTCAAGTTCATTTCGAGCATCCATCAATTGACTGTCCTTGTACGAGATCTCACTCTCGTTTTTGGCGATGGTTTTCTTCAGATCTATCACCTCATCCATCAACAATCTCTTGTCCTGCACTCGCGCCTCTATAATATGTACAATCAGTTTTACAAACTTGTTTTTTTGATACATTGTATATACCTGTTATTAAGTTTCATATGAAAACAGGATTCTATTAGTGAAGGAATATAATCAAATTGTTCAATGCTCTTCAGTAGACAGTGAAATTGTAATAAATATAATTTTCACAGTACCTAGACTATGTATGTAAGCCGATGGACAGCAAATATCATAAATAAATGGAAAATAATTAATAAGAAATACACTTGGTCACAAATAAAATGTGACTGATAACAAGAAGCACATAAATATTTACACATGTCATATTAAAGACAAAACAAAATCCATGTAATATAACAATATCAACATTGTGACTTCATGATTTGTCAAAATGACTTAAAACCACTTAAAATGCATAAAGTAAATAAAAAATCTATTTGTTTTGCGTGTAAGATCAAATTATATTTCACTGGTGAACACCAGCTGTTATATTTTCACTCGCAGCGTATTGCATGTAGTATTAACTCTGTGGAATATATTTTGATATAACACACAAACATCCTCTATAAATTATAACAAATAACCAACCTTCTTATATTTCTATCTTACTTGCAAAACAAACAAATATCTTCTATAAATTATAACAAGTAACAAACCTTCCTCCTCCCGCAGTCTTTCAGCCATATGAGCTTTTTCTCTAGAAATTATGCTAATGCTACTTTCCTTGCGTTTACTCTCTACCTGTAGTCCGTCCATTTCTGCCTGCATTGTCTGTAATTATAAATGATTCCATTAATAACAGAAAAATACTATTACAAAATAAAGCCAAAACCTAGTAATAATTATTCATATAGTTGAAAGAAATAGAAAAAGTAGTAAAAAAATTCGAAACACTTACCCTTAATTTTGCCAACATTCTCTCGGCCTCTGCAGACATCTTTGGATGCATGTCAGTAGCTTTCTTTGCTTGCTCACGCGTGAATTATGTTAAAGAATACAGTTTTATAATCTTAAATTTCACCAACACATTTTAAAAGAAAGAGAGGAGTGTTAAAAAATAAATACAATTCTCTAAGGTCTTTTACAAAAATTTACAGGATAAATGAAAATTCCTACACATAAAAAATTTATATTTAAGTTAAAGCAGAAAACTTGTATTACACTTAGATTTCATCAACACATGTAAAAGGATATAGATAATTGGTCTCTAGTTCTAGGAAATAAATTTGTTGCTGAAGATTCTTTATATATTCTGCCTCTATACCATCAGATGTACCATTCTTTGATGATCCTTTCCTGGAAAACAAGATAATAGGGTTATTTATAAAATACATGATCACTTTAGACTGCCTTTGCTTTAAATGATCAATTATAAAAGAATTACTAGTATATATGAGCTGCGTCACGACAAAACCAACATAATGGGTTTGCGACCAGCATGGATCCAGACCAGCCTGCGCATCCGCACAGTCTGATCAGGATCCATTCTGTTCACTTACAAACCCTATAGCAAGAAGAGAAACTAATAGTGAACAGCATGGACCTTGATCAGACTGCGCGGATGCGCAGGCTGGTCTGGATCCATGCTGGTCGCAAACCAATTATGTTGATTTTGTCGCGACGCGGCTCATATTACTAGTAATATTATGCTTTCAAATATTCACCTTTAAAAATCAATTCCACCAAGGTATATGATTCACCAATTCAAAACTTTTCAATTAGATTTTAAATGGAAACATTCAGGTATTATGAATCTGACATAAATGAGACTCCTTGAAACATTATTTTCCTGATTCAATCAGCTATGGTGGTGACATCCCAAAAAAGCCTGCATTTATATTGATCTTTGTATATCTTGTCTACTTAGTTTTTAATACTTATTGATATATTTAGCAATCATTAATTATACATCTGACACGATATAATTGCTTACGTATTAGAAAAGGCAGCTGCCATGCTGCCAGTACTTCTTCTCATATTATCAGATTTTCGAGTGTTTGAAAGTTTAGTAGTCTGTGACATCTTTGGTCCTTTTGATAAAGTAGGTTTTGGTGCATCCATCATAAGGACACCTGGAGAAGATGGAACTGTGCCAGAAAACACCTCTACAGAGAAAAACAAGTGCAAGTGCATGAAAAGTGACAGTGCTCGTTTAATTTATATACAGTCAAACCTGTTGTAAAGATAAATTCTGAATAGTAAGTAACAACTTTATTTCATGATGCTAGCACATTCGGTTTCCCAATCTTCCATGTGGGCCTCAGCATATACGTACAATGTAACAAATTCTGAATAACATATAGTCAATTAAATTCAGTATTTCAAGTTAACATCTTTATTACTTCTTGGGCTTATTAAGCTATGTTTTGGTAAGCCAAATATTTAAAATGACCACATTTTCATTTCCCAAATCTGGATGCTATAAAAACTACCCAATACTACTCTTGTAAAACAGGTTTGATTAGTATAACTGATATCACAGGCATTATTATACAAGTTAAAGTCAATATCTATGCTATTTCAAATTAAATCTATCTTAATAAATACAGTAGCTCTTCAAATATTTTAAAGCATGTATTGACAGTCTTATTATGACTCTTATACCCTGAAAACTTGATGAAAAACATTTAAAGCAAATAGCCTCAAAGTTATATAGAAGTACAACCTTGAAAATAGGCTCAAGTTTGAATACAAGCCTCAATATTGAAAATAAGCACATTTTTTCCTCCTGAAAATTTGTATCCAAAAATAAGAATATCTTTATTCTTTATTTCTAGCTAATCACATTTTCTAAAAATAGATGTATAATCTGCCATCACATTCAATAAACACACTTAAAAAATAAGTGCTTCAATAAGTGCTTCAGTAAAGCTTCACTAAATGAGCCGCGTCATGACAAAACCAACATAATGGGTTTGCGACCAGCATGGATCCAGACCAGCCTGCGCATCCGCGCAGTCAAATCAGGATCCATGCTGTTCGCTATCAGTTTCTCTACTTGTTATGGGGTTTGTAAGCGAACAGCATGGATCCTGATCAGACTGCTCGGATGCGCAGGCTGGTCTGGATCCATGCTGGTCGCAAACGCACTATGTTGGTTTTGTCATGAGGCGGCTCAAATGTTTAATCAATTTTATTTATAACATGCTTATTTTCAAAGTTATTCTGAATGTTTACAATTAGTACATGTATTTCTTTTATTCCATAATATAAACTGCCAGTGTTGTTGTTGTTGTTTCATTATTTTTACTCAGATGATAGGCAAAATTAAATGGAAAAAAACACCAAAAAACATTAACTTTATCCCAGCAACTGTTTAGAATTGTTAAACACAACAGTACAGTAGATTTGTGTAAATACTGTGCTATAATTATATGCAAATAACATTTCACATCTTAGTTAAAATATTCTTAAAAATATGTATTTTCTACTACTACAAACAAAGCAAGTCTACTATGTGCAATAATTAATAGAAGAGAACTTGATATACTTGTGAATTATAGTTCTAGCTGCTATTTGTTAATTAAAGAATTCTTTATTGTATGTATGTATTTTAACTCAAATTGTAAATTTACTTTTATTAAGTCTTTTTTTTTAATGAAATTCTGTCTTTGAGATCTATAGAACATTCAGACAATATTAACAAAGAACTGAGAGCAAAGTTTAGTTAACAGAAAGTATATTCATTTGATAAAATTATAAAGACATCATTCATACATCTATTTTTTTTAACCACAAATGTAATTTACTGCAAAGATATTATAGTTTACACAATAATTAGTTAAAGAATTACTTTTAAAGTAAAAGAAATAACAAAAAAGCTAATTAAAAAAAGAAAGAAAAAGAAAAAAATGCAAGTGTCAACAATTTTATATTCAGTACATATAATTTCAAATAATAAAGTAAGAAATATTGTCTACACTTAGAAACTATGCATCTAAGCTTTTTTTTTTGCCTAAATATGTAACAGACAAAGAACATGCATCTAATTGTTTATAGATTACATGATGAAAAAAATTACAATCTCTAGTATTGGTTATTAGTGTTAATAGACACTCTGACTCAGAGACAATCTTCTAGCCAGTCACTGTTGTGATAATTTACCTTTTCTAGGAGTTCTCTTTCTAGCACTTGATTGTGCAGGTGAAGGACTCCTAGACCTATTAACATTTCGGACTGGAGATGGACTTTTTTCTCTCAAGGTTTTTTTCCATTCCAGAACTTCTGCAGACTGTATTCCATTTGGTTCACTTATTTTTTCCCCGTCACTCATCTTTAACCAACAAGAATCTATTATTTTTAAAATCCTTTCCTTTAGTACAAGTGAATGTAAATGGCTATACTGAGTCTAAAATTGTAGACAATTACAACAAAAAAAACTTTTCAAATTTAAAACAGAAACATCAACAAAAAACAGCATACTTTTGTAGTAACCAGTGATTAAATTCTTTAGCTTACATTTTTGTATGTCTCATCAAAACACTAACTTACATATCCATTTCACTGGGAGAATTTCAGTTTTATGGACCACTCATTTGTAATCCCAGCCCCACTCATCTTCCCCGCAACCCGCAAGGAATAGCAGGGGATGTGAGGTGTATTTTTGCCTTACAGCTGTAAATGCTTTGCAGAATCATTAGAGTGCTTTATTCATATTGCCTACTGTTGAATTGCAATATTTTTCTTATCTAGATAGTCCCTGCAGGACTGAGATTTCACAAGGGTTTTGTTGGTCCAAAATCAAACTTGTATTTTCTGGGACTGGGGTTTAAATATACACAAATGACTGGTATTACAGGGCTTGAATTTAACACTTGCAAAAAGCAAGTTAAAAATGATAATTTTTTATTCAATTCTATAGGAATGAAACAATTATGATTTTTAACTTTAATTTTGAAAGTACTTTTTTCTAGAAATTGAAAACTTCTGCTATTTGCTCTCCTCTCCAAGATTTTTGATTCTTGTTGTGAAAAATCCTGCACAACAAATGTGCATACAAAACAAGTTGTGCCTTCAAGTTCATTCAATAAATTCAACATCTTTCTCATTTGTTTGTGAAATCTGATTCAACCTGTAATATCATCAAGAGGTTAACACCACTAAATATTAGTTATGTTAAACTTATTCTCTGTCTGATCTGATTGATTTACATTTTAATCTTGAGTACATTTGCTCATAATGATGTCACAGAGTGAGAAAAATGTGTAGCCTCACCTGGACTTGAACCTGGGATCCTCAGATTACCATACTAAGGCTTTACCAATTTAGCTATCTGGTGGCTTACACATACTCTCCCCTAATGAGTAAACAGTTCTTAACCATGACATACTCCCAGGCTATACAGAAATGTAGCGTCAAATATCTAATTGGTACAGAGAACAATGTGAAAGTGGGTGCAAAGCTTTATACTATCATGATGGCCTAATAGCTTTAAGGCCAAATGTCACAGGATGAGCAAAATGTGCAGCCTGGCCAGGATTCAAACCATTGACTAACAGAATACTGTACCATGACTCTACCGTCTGAGCTATCCAGCCTCTTAAACAAGTGGACAATTTTAATCTGTGACAATATTTATACCATTCTTGGCTAGATTGTCAGTGTGTTTGATAATTTATTACATAAACATTCAACATCATAAAGTAATAAAAACATAAATGGATAATTCGCAGATGTAAGCTGTATAATTATACATAATCTGAACAGTGATTTTTAATAACTTTATCCAATGCCTTATCTTATTTCAGTCATTAACTTAACTTATTTAATTTGTTACTTATACGAAATGATATTTTAATTTGTTAAACTGTTATTTTATACATATGTATATACTTTTTATGTAACTGTGATCTACGTTGTTGCAAAAACTAAAATAAAATAAAAAATATTATTGGATATAACTGTTGAATTTAGTGTTGGCTCAAAAGTAAAACACATACAACATTTACAGTTTTGGCTCAAGATGTAAGTCCTTGCACAAGCCGTTACTAAAAGACATTTATTTTGGTCACAAATCAATGTGGATAAGTCATACCAACATAAGTCCTTTTCATTGCAATAGAGAAACGTCTTTACATACCCAAGGGCACCATTCTATTAGCAAAATTTTTCAAGTGCAAGAAAAAGTTAAATTCAAGCCCTGCCTGCATTGACCATGTCTATCCATTGCAATCAAAATACCTTAATAATATCGGTAAGGTTTGTTAGCATATATTTTTTAATCATAACACTACATTTCCAAAAGGATGCATTTGTGACTGTCAGTGTCATAACACAAACGTTGAACTGTTATAAAGTTGACAAAAATTGAAAATGGATGGAATTTTTTAACATTTAAAACCGAATAAATACAATTGCAATACATTTGCATATGAACAATGAATATCTTTCCATGTAAATACCTTCAATGCATACGTTGATTTCAAACTAATGTCATATAACTTATTTTTTGCAATTAGATTTCCAAAATTTCCTGTCTCAACGCGTCATCTGTTGAGAGGCAACAACGGAGTCAGATATTTAATTAGTTTCGAATTTGTAATTTTTCGCCTAAATTATATTTCTTTACATTAAGTAAAAGTAGAACAGTTCCATAATGTGTGTGTTAAGTATTTTTTGTATCAAGAAAATATTGACAGTCAAATTAGCATGTTCATGTTATTCGAATTTATTTGATAATTCGTAAAAAGTAGCTTTACAGGCAGGTGTCTGTAAAGGTCAAGGTTGCTGAAATGGCTTTCTTACAAGTAGGCGGAAATCATACTATATATCTTAATTTTCAATAAATCTACGACTGTTTGATTTCACATTTTGTTTTAAATTCACTGAAATAACACTTATTTCATAAACAATCTAATAATTTTAACCAAAAAGTATAATGTCTAAAACATCTTTACAAAAAGCTCCATATTATATTTGACTGTCAAATTTATACTGAGAGATAAAGATTCGCACAAGTGACCACTCGACCCACATATAGTCATCTGAAACCGACATTATTTTACGAGAAATAACGCTTTAACTTCACAATTTCAAAAAAGTTTTGGTTTCTTTAGGTTCACAAAAAAGTCCAATATAGAATAAGATAAGACCTTAATTTGTTTTATGGATGTGGTTAGCTGTAGCCTGTATGGGCCCGTTCGGCTACCCAAAAGTTCTAGCTGTATGTGAGTCATACGCTAGCCATGACACACTGTAATGGCTAGCTGGCAGTTTCAAAATTTTATAAAAGTTGATTATGCATATGATAGTTTGTGTCTTTAAACGAGGATTTTAATAAAGAACCCGCATTTGTCCTCGTATGTTTACTTAGGTTATATTTGTGATTAAATAATAATTTAAGTTTTAAGTTATATTTATAACCACATTGTTTTTATGCTTATGATTTGTTGTTTTATTTTTATTTTTAATAAAGATGGATTATTAAATCATTTTTTGTTAATATAGCGCATGGAATAGATAATTATAATGACCAAAGAAGCTTCTTTCATAACGGCATGATTTGAGCGGAATTATAAATTAATAGAACATTGAAAAAGAAAAAAACAGTGATAAACAATTTTTTTTAAACAGTATGAGCAAATTATAGCAATTGTATGATTGTATTTTAAATAGATAATTATCAAACATATAAGCACAATTTGAATTAAAGCCTATAAAGGAACTGACTATAGAATTCTAGAATGCGTTTCACGGAACATGCAAACTTTCCTTTATGATGGACAAACTTCTACTATCGGTAATTGACGCAATTATCAGAGCCCAACAACACTTATTTTCGGTGCTTTTTTCATTTTAAAGATGTTGAAAATTAAACTCACTAAAACAATATTACGATAATTCTGTAATCAATTTCATTTGATGTTATTCAACTGCAACTAAACGCTCTTTTTTTTCTTGCCATCTGGTGATGACAATGATCGACTTTCTTTACTGTAGCTAACATTGCAATTTATCTCTGAAAAGTAAACATACGACGACAATTTCTGTTTCTTTGTTAAAATCCTCATTTAAACATAAAATAACATATGCATTTACGACTTTCATACAATATTAAAAGGTGCATACAGCTAGACAATACAGTGTGTCCTGGCTAGCCATACATGACTCAGGTGCGGCTAGAACTTTTGGCTAGCCGTATGGGCCCGTATGACTAGCCACTTCCTTGTTTCATTAAGGTCATTGTTATTCAACATTAATCAAACTTTTAAATCAATTTACCATGAACCTTGCAATATTATTGTGTGAATTGTTTTCTTTTTTTAGCTGAGGAAATTTAATTTCTTTGACAAGGAGACTGTAAAAGATCCAGAGACTTCCCAGATATTTGACGGTCTTAAGGTTTGTCTTAAACATTACAAAAATTGAATTGTTTATTATGAAAATCTATACATTTTAGACAGTCATAGTAGATAGAGATTTTTTTTCTGCATAGACTTTGCATATTTATTTAAGAGTTGTTTAAAAACTTTATATATTTGCCTTTATCATTTTTGTTACCATTTTGTTTCATAGAAAAAACTGTGATAACAAAGCATAAAAGTATTAAAGCTGGCCAGTCTGTCAAAGTGCATTGACCAAAAGCTTTATACTTTGTACATGTATGTAGAAGTACCTTAATGATTTCTACCTGCCACTACAATTTTCAGATCAAAAGGTGAAAGGTCAAGATCAATGGGAACAGATTTTAACAAAACATAAATCTGGCCATTCAGTCAAAGTAAATTGACCTAGGAAGTTCAAACTTTGTATGTAGATGTATCTTGTCCGCCACACCCATTTTCAGTCAAAGGTTAATGTGACTGACATGTTTAAAGTTTCACTTTTCTTATGTAGAACCTATTTAGCATTGACAAAAGTAGAGTGCACAGCTCTTCAAACGACCTTTGTTTTTATTGCAACAAAATAATTTAATAAAATTCCATTAATATCTATTCTATGAACAGTCCTGTAGTCATATAATTATATAGATGGCAGATGATTATTTACTTTTTATATAAGGATAACCCTATTAAGTTTTTCTGCTATTTTCAGGATCTAAATATATCAGCATGTGTAAGTGGAAGAGGTCAGCTGATCATTGGTGATTTTGAGGGTTCTATCTACATGTTGTCAAGGGAACTAAAAATCACATCATTTACAGCATATAACATCAGGGTATCTCATCTGTTTCAGATGAAACAAAGCAACCTCTTGATATCTATTGGTGTAAGTTTTATGATTATGGATAGATAGAACTACAATGTATTAAGATTTATATGATAGATCATAAAAAAATGTAAGAAAGCTAGGTAATTGGCATATTTGAGAATATTTATTTCAAAAACCAATTATGTACAAACATATTATAAATGTAGGCCATTTTATCTACATGTATATCTGTTATAGTTATTACCAGTAAGCAGAGGCTTTTTCATGGCCAAAACATATGAGCTGCGTCACAACAAAAAACATAGTGCGTTTGTGACAAGCATGGATCCAGACCAGCCTGCTCATCCGCGCAGTCTGTTCAGGATCCATACTTTTCGCTAACCAACCCTATTAAGTAGATAAATTAAGTAGATAAACTGATAGCGAACAGCATGGATCCTGATCAGACTGCGCGGCTCATATGTTGTTTTTTTCTTCCAATTGAGAAGCATCAGATTTCAAAATTTCAGTCAACAATAATGTTGTTCTCATTCAAAAGGAAAGCCCTTGAAATTACTTGTAAAGAAAATAATGTAACAAAGTTATAGCAATAAAAGCTGTTCATTAAGTGTTCCAATTGTTTCTATTAGTTAAAAAGATGTCTGATTTAGACATTTCACAATGTTTTTTTTCCTAATTCGCAATCTCAAATGAGATTGAGAAATTAGGAATTTTAAGCAATTGAGTAAAGGTCCCTTGAATTGTTAGGAAAAACTGTCTGCATTAGTAGAAAAATTGAACTATTAACTAGCCTTTTGAGAGTATAAATTTATTTTTGGTTACAAAACTTGTAACTTTTATTACAGGAGGATGAACAAGGTACAAACCCATTAATTAAAGTCTGGAATCTAGAAAAGGTAAAGATTGCATTACTTATATCATGTTGTATTAATGTTGTAAACTTATCTTCTTGAATTTGTAATTTAACAGGATTTTAATCTCTTGTGAGACTGCACAGATAGCAGACTGGTCTGTTTTTATGCTGTTTTCACAGGTGATATCATTGATGAAATGAAATAGTGAATTTTGAATATAATTAAGTAAAATGTACCTTGTAATAGGGAATCTTGTAGAGTTGTGTTTATTCCTAAAAGTAAACAATGTTGAGTATATAACTGAAACATGATTTAGGACACAAAAAGTAATATGTATTTTTTATTAATATAGGTTTCCATGCAAACAAAATGTAATGGGTATTTTTGTTTACAGGTTTTTGTTTATTTTATATTCCAAAAGATATAGCTGTATTTATGTTTGATTACACATACTTTGTTGAATTTTGTATATTTGGATATATTTGAGCAGCTAGAAAAAGGTGTCCCATTTGTTACTAGAATCTGCCGAGCAATACCAGCCAACAAACCAACCCCGGTCACATGTTTCACTGTCCATGAAAATCTCAACTGGATGGCAGTAGGATTTGAAAATGGTAGTGTGGTATTGTTTAAAGGTGATGTCAAATCTGATAGGTTAGTTGTGTTTTTGATTTGTGTAAGATAAATTGTTTGTAAACTTTCACATAAAACAGATTTTTTTTTTATGTAACAGTTATTTCTTGTGGTATTTCAGTCAATGAATTAATTTTTTAAGTAAGTCAAGGTGGGGTTTGTATAAATTTGTTTCTGGGGAAAAAATTGGCCTACTTTTGTGGTTCTTCTTAGACCTATGATAAAGTGTATGTTTTTAAGTTTAAATAACAGCATAAAAACAATATTGTTTTAATGTTATTTCATGTAACAGTTTAAAAGATATTTTATTACATTTTCTGTTTTGCATATGAGCATATACTTGATTCTTACGCATTCTTACCACACAGGATATTCACTTTAGATTAAGAAATATAGTTACTTATCTTTGTGAAAATAGAATAAAATAATGATTATTTTAAAACATAATTAATAACTGTATAACATAATTATGGTAATTATTAAGTTTACAGAGCTATATTTGAAGACATTATTTTCAGGCACAGTAAACAGACGGTGATATATGAAAATCCTAAACCAATTACTGGATTGTCTTTCAAAACTTCGGGAAAGAATGTAATACTGTTTGTAGTTACAGAGTCGGTGATATTGTCTATTAATGTTACAGCTAAAGATACAGCTAAAGATAGAAATGTGGTGAGTGATATACATGTATCATTTATGTTCTACTTTAATAGATTGAAATTGTTAAACTGTATATAATTATAAAAAAACATGCATGCACCAATCTAATAAAAAGCATATTGTACTTTCCTTCAAATATTAGTGCTATTTAAGACTGTTCCTTTTGGAATAAATGTTTATTTTATTAAATCTCTTTGGTAGATTTTTTGTTATCATATTGTTTAATGTTCAATTTATAGTCATCAATATTAGAGCAGAAATTATTATGAGGAAATATCACTTAAATCATATATTTCAGAATACATTGGATGAGATAGGATGTAAACTAGGATGTTCAGTAATGAGTGATGTTAGTCAAGATAATCACTTTGTCATTGGTCGGGATGACGTAAGTATTCTCCTTGTCAATCCTACATGCATGTACTTGTTAAAAAAATGAATATTGATGCTTGCTTCAAACAAATTGTTAGGTTTTACACAGATTTCTTATTAGTTTGATTGTGTTTTAATATTATAGACACACTCTTGAATCAATTTCTAGAACCAACCTGTACTGAGAAATGATTGTTAAGTTTCTTGCTCAAGGAAACAATGGCTTGCCCCAGATGGAGTTTGATAAATAGTCAAATGCATTAAGCACTTGGCCAAGCCAATACAATTATTTGCTCCATGTTTATGATTTTAAAACCAACTCTTTATTTAATTGTCAAATCTATGTATTTGTCAACTTTATGTATTTGTGACCATTATTTGTGAACATTTTACTTATTTGTGATCTTTATTATAATGGAAATATTGACACTTTATTTCTTTATAACATATTTGAACTAACAAGAACGTCTTTATAATTGTAGGTACATATATATTGATATGTGTGTTTGATACATGTATTTGACTGAAAAACTGTCATTTGATGGCAAACAGTCATAAAGAGTCAAAAATGTTCTGCTATAAACCTTACATGGTATGGATGCACTATCTTAATGACAGTAATATTGTTTATATTTTCAGGCATTATACTTTTACCAGCCAGATGGTAAAGGACCTTGCCTGGCGTTTGAAGGGGAAAAGTTTCAGCTTCATTGGTTTAGAGGCTACCTTGTCATTGTAGGCAAAGAAAGTAAATCATTCCCAAAAGTGCCAATGATGTATGTTTACCAGTTACAATATTGTATAGATTTACATTCTGTTCTCAATGGGGAAAGAATAAGTTAAATATTCATATTATAAATCAAAGCCATGTGCAGAAAACATTATTTGCCCTTATTTGTTGATGAGCTAAATACATACAAATTTAGTTTTCTATATCTTCCTTTAAGGTTTTAAATTCCACAGACACAAAGAAAAACATATCTTATCTTCCCAATCATTCTAGAGGAAGACCAATGTCTCCATATTTGCTTCATTTTAGACACAAGTTAGAATTAAATGTTTTGAAATAGTGAAATTATTTCACACTGATATGATCAGTTAGCAAGTTTAGTCACTCAGGAATGTGTTTGAAACAACATGTATCCAGATGTCAACTTTGCGACTTAATTTGGAACTTAATTTGAAAGAGAAGGGATGTTTGTTTTTGTAATAATGATAATACAATAATTGTTTCATCATTTGAATTACAGACGTTCTGGTCACAATATGGACATGCATATAGTGACTGTTTATGATATACAAAACAAGTTTATTGCCTACACAGCACCATATCCAGATGTGATAGATGTTGTTAGTGAATGGGGATCCTTGTATATAATAGCTGGAGATAGGAAGGTAGGTTATATCACAAAAATTATAATTGAAATAATGTAAAATAGGGACAAGCCATGCAATGTCAGTCGATGGATGGAATAAAATACTTTCCTAGGGTTTCTTGAGTGTTAAGCTGAGTTATATCAACACTAGTAGCATTTATTTAATTTTAAAATTTCATTTAGTGTTCATAGTGTAAAGTAAGAACTTATGTTCGACTATTTTTTGTGGGAATAATAAATGATTAGAATTAGTTCTTATTAGATATGCTTTATCATTGTTCATGCAGTGCTACTTCTATAGGTTGTTATGTTTGGGGGAAAGATTGGTCCTGATTGTCAGGATACACATTTTAATAGTTTGATTTGAAAAATTGGTGGTGACCTCCTACTCATTCCTTGAATTTTCACACTTCACATTTTACATTTTATAGAAAGTGTGTTTTAAGTGCCAGAAAACTAATTCCCCTTTCCACATTTCTAAGTCTGCTTTTCTCAGGAGTATGAACTGCATTCAGCGATAGTTCTAGTATATTAAGTTTATGAATTAGGACATAATATCATAATTATTATTTTCGTTTTAAATACTTTTGTGTGAATTTGAGATTAATTAATTATTAATTAATTTATTTGATGATTTAATATTACAGGTGTATCAGTTACAAGAAAAAGATACTCAGACCAAATTGGAGATGTTGTTTAACAAGAAAAACTATACACTGGCAATCAGGTACAGTATAATACATTAAAAATCTAATCTGCTTATACCTAAGTTGATGTCTTTTTAAACTTGATCTCTTTTGAATCTGATTTATTTTACAGGGAGAACATAGATGTAAAGCTACAAGTTGCCTGTACTGTTTTAACTGTCTACCTCAATAGCTATTTGGCAAGAATAAATATTAAATATGTTCTTATCTCACAAGGTTTATTTGTTTTAAAGTTTATGAAATTGTTTTGTTATGTATCTTATTTTATTATACATGTATTTTTATGCCACCGCAGCATCTGCGATGCGGTGGCATATAGCGATTCACCTGTGTGTTTGTGTGTGTGTTTGTGTGTGTGTTATATAGATTATATAGTGAACTTAAAAAATCTTCTTGTGAAAAACCACTAGTCCAATTTCAACCAAACTTGGCAGGATTGTTCCTTGGGTGAAGGGCTTCCAAAGTTGTTCAAAGAATTTCATTCCATATAGAAATCTGGTTGCCATGGCAACCAAAAGGAATTATAAGAATAAATTAAAAAAATCTTCTTGTAAAGACCCAAAAGGCCTAGAGCTTAGATATTTTGCATAAGGCATTGTCTAGTAGACCTCTAACAAGATTGTTCAAATAATAGCCCTGGGGTCAAAATTGGCGCGGCCCGGGGGGGGGTCATTGATTTTCACTATGTACATACAGTAAAAACTTAAAATACCAACTTGTAAAAACCCAAAAGACCTAGAGCTTAGATATTTTGCATAAGGCATCATCTGGTAGACCCTTACCAAGATTGTTCAAATTATAGCCCTTGGGTCAAAATCGGCCCCGCCCCGGGGTCATTGATTTTCACTATATGTACATATAGTAAAAACTTAAAACACCTTCTTGTAAAGACCCAAAAGGTCTAGAGCTTAGATATTTTGCATAAGGCATTGTCTGGTAGACCTCTACCCAGATTGTGTAATTATAGCCCTGGGGTCAAAATCAGCCATGCCCCAGGGGTCATTGGTTTTCCTTATATGTATATAGTAAAAACTAAAAAAAATTCTTCTAGCAATTGACAAATGCTACAGGTTAGATATTTTGCATGAAACATTGTGTTGTAAACCTCTAGCAAGATTGTTCAAACTATAGTCCTGGGGTCAAAATTGCCCCCGCCCTGGGGGTCATTGATTACAATATATACATATAGTAAAAAATAAAAAAAATCTTATTGTCTGAAGGTACAAGGCTTAGAGCTTTAAAGTTTAATATTTGTTAAATAATATCATCTAAAGGTACTCTACCAAAGTTGTTCAAATGTTGCCTCTTGTCTTCTCTAAATTTACAAAGGATAGAGTTAAGATATTTTGCATGAAACATTTGTGTAGTGGACCTCTAGCAAGATTGTTCAAATTATAGCCCTGGGGTCAAAATTGGTTCCGCCCCGGGGGTCATTGATTTTCATTATGTACATATAGTGAAAAAAAAAATTTTGTCTGAAGGTTCAAGGCATAGAGCTTTGATGTTTGATATATAATATCATCTATAGGTCCTCTACCAAAGTTGTTCAAATGTCAAAAATTGGCCCTGCCCGGGGGCAGTGATTCTCATTATGTTCACGTAGTAAAAACAGAAAATAAAACAAATGTTTTCTGAATGGGAGAAAGCTATAGCTTAGATACAATGTATTTGACTTGAAATGTTGTTTGGTGGACCTGTATCAAGATTGTTATTAAACCCTTGGGTCAAAATTATGCCTTGCCCAAGAGGACAGTGACCTACTTTCTTGTCCTTTGATGTACAGCAATGACATTTTGACCATGTGCACAGTTTTAGTTGTAAAATTGAACTTTGACCTAGATTTTGATGATGTGACCTACTTTCTTGTCCTTTGATGTACAGCTATGAAATTTGAAACATGCGGTGGCATAGCATTTTTCTCAAATGCAATCTTGTTTATCTCTATTTAGGTACCTTTATGGTTGAGTGGTTAAGGTTGCTGATTTCAAATCAGTTGCCTTTCACCGCTGTAGCCTCAAAACCCATCAGGGCCTTAGGATCCTGACATATTTATAAAGCTATTCAGCTACCTTATGGGAGGCCGATTGTTCTAGTAATGTGCCAGCCCTTGCCTCAAATAATCCAGAAAGAGGCACATAAAGTTATCCTTTACCTAAAAAGCTTGAAAGTCATCATATGTCTTGTACAATGTCAGTGTATCATTAAACCCAAATATTTAATTATTATCTCTATTGTGTTTTGTAGTTTAGCAAAGAGTCAGCAATATGATCAGGATGGACTGATAGATATATTCACACAGTATGGTGACCATCTATACAAGAAGGGCGATCATGACGGGGCTATTGATCAATATATCAAAACCATTGGCAAACTAGAAGCTTCATATGTAATCAGAAAGGTTTGTGATTTTAATCTGTGTTATTTTGTACATCTTAACATGTTCAAATGTCTAATAGCGTAAATTTGAGATTTTATTATACATTATTCATGCATGTTTTTTGCATAATGTTTGAACTTGGAAGTCACTGTTCAAGACCAATAACTCCTGCATGATTTTCAACTGAATAATGGCCCTTTGTAGAACTTAATTCCTCGTTAAAGTTTTGCTTACTTGAATTTTTTTACATGTCTTAAAGATCATAATTGGAGGTCGCTTTATAAAGCCCTTATGTCTTTACTTGGATTTTGACTGAAATATGGCTCGTTGTGAAGGTAGAAATTCCAAGTTAAAGAAAATTTATAGTTAAATTTTGCATGAAAGATCAAACTTCACAACTACTGAAGTTACTCACTTGAAGCTTTACACTTGTCTTTGTTGTGATAACTGAAGTTTCATTCCAAACCCTAAACTCATGCAAGGATTTTTACCGTACTAAATTAAAGCAGTTTTGAATTTAGAACATTTCTTGATAAAGTTCTGTGTGCAAGTTCAATCTTCAAAACTACTGAAGGTATTCATTTTAAGCCTCATAAGTCTTTATGATCAAAACTAGAGGCCAGTTTGCAAGACGCATAACATTGGCTTGTACATGTATTTTAAATGAAATCTCCAGTTAGTTAATTTCTATATTATCCTCTCTCTTGTTTCACTGTTTAGCACATTGAATAGCTGAGCATACTACTGACAGCTCTTGTTATATTCTATGCTGTTTTTTATGCCCCCACAGAGTGGGAGCATATAGCGTTGCACTTGTCCGTCCGTCCATCCGTCCGTCACACCGTACGTCTGTCCGTCCGTCCGTCTGTCCGTACGTCCCGAAATCTTGTGAACGCAACTCCTCTTAAACCGGATGGCAGATTTTGCTTAAACTTTCAGGGATGAACAACCTTAATGTGTAGATGGTAGTAAAGGAAGGAATTTTCACTGCGACCAAATTTAACAGAATTATGGCCCTTTGTTGATTTTTTCACAATATACTATGTAGAAATTTTGTGAACGCAACTCCTCTTAAACCAGATGGCAGATTTTGCTTAAACTTCTAGGGATGAACAACCTTAATGTGTAGATGGTAGTAAAGGAAGGAATTTTTGCTGCGACCAAATTTAACAGAATTATGGTCCTTTGTTGATTTTTTCACTATATACCATTTAGAAATTTTGTGAACGCAACTCCTCTTAAACCAGATGGCAGATTTTGGTTAAACTTTCAGGGATGAACAACCTTAAAGTGTAAATGGTAGTAAAGGAAGGAATTTTTGCTGCGACCAAATTTAACAGAGTTATGGCCCTTAGTTGATTTTTTCACTATATACCATATAGAAATTTTGTGAACGCAACTCCTCTTAAACCGGATGGTAGATTTTGCTTAAACTAACAGGGATTAACAACCTTAATGTGTAGATGGTAGTAAAGGAAGGAATTTTTGCTGCAACCATATTTAAAAGAATTATGGCCCTTTGTTGATTTTTTCACTATATACCATATATATGTTGTCAGTGGGGGCATCCGTGTCCTTTGGACTCAGTTCTAGTTTATTTATTATTTTAAAGGTATGTATAATAAATGAATAACTAAACCTAGTATTGTTTAAATGTTTTACAACAATACTAAAAATATTTAGATTACTTTGATATAAACATGTAAGTTTTGATTTATTAAAGTAGGAGTGTTTACTTGGTTAATTTATTTAAAATTATGTTCTTGAATTTATGTTTTCAGTTTCTAGATGCTCAAAGGATTCACAACTTAACAAAATACCTACAAGCATTGCATACAGCAAGAATGGCCACAGAGGAGCATACTACACTGCTTCTTAATTGTTACACTAAACTCAAAGATGTCTCAAAACTTGATGAATTTATCATGGTAAATAAAAACATAGTACAGTAAAATTTAATTTAGTATAATGTATCCCTCTTAACATAGTGCTTATAAAGATGCTGTTTTGGCAGTCCTGACTCTTGTTTACAAATAAGTTGCCTCTCTGATCAGGATATAACAATATAAATTTGGTGTTCCCCTGAATATTGTTATAAGCCAAATTTACTGTATTTCTGTTTGTATGTTCTATGTAGAGAGCATGTAGCATGTTCGATTTACATAAGAAAAAACTAATACTTGGAAATTTTGTCACATGCAATATATTTTTATTACCTTATTAATTCCCTTTAAAAAAAAACTTGGTTTGGTCATTGTCCAAATGCTCTGGACACTGGAATCGTATCCTAACAAACCGTCAAAAATATTAAGAGGATATTTTTTGTTTGAGTGAAATATGGAATATATTTTCACGAAACATGATAAAATGCCACATATTTTCAAGAGCCGGGAAATGGTTACGAATCTCCTTGCTTGAGCTACGCAACTGCAATTGTACAGCACGCTGTAATATATAATTTATTGATGCGTCTTGTTTTGCACACGATATTTGGCTCTACATTGTGACGTCAAGTAAACAATTTTTAAACGTCTGTACAGCGTTAATAACTGAATTAAAGATATTGGTGTTCGGATTTATTTTCTTAGATAGACCATTTTCTATCATTCTAGATAGTTTTCAAAACAAAATTCAACAAAAAGTTGTTTTGTATTTATCAGATTTTTCAAACAAAATGGCAAGAGTTTTGACTCTGCCCACTTTCATATTTATACTTCACATTTATTTTTAAAAAATATGAAATATATTTGACTGATATAGCACTATATTTCATGGGTAAAATTAAATAATATGTAATATTTGCTACAAACATATGTAGAACTGTAATGTATTTGTGGTCTTGCATAGTGATTGATTAACAACAGAGTTATTAAAATCTGTTAATGATACATCAATTCATACACTGTTAGAGATTGTTAAAGAAATTAAAGGGCCCATATGTTTACTTATTAAATGAATTAGAAGTTTTCAGCAAAGACATAATTACATGTACATTATTGTGTCTTATATATTTTTGGAAAAATAATGTCTCTTAACATGATGGGAAGTAACTAACTGGAGTTGTTTTGATTATAGACAAAGGATCGTGAGGTAGATTTTAATGTGGAGACAGCTATCAAGGTGTGTAGACAAGCAGGCTATTATAAACATGCTTTATTCCTGGCCAATAAGCATCAGCTACATGAGTGGTACCTTAAAATACAACTTGATGACATCAAAGATTACCAAAAAGCTCTCGAGTATATCGGAAAATTGGAATTTGCTGAGGTAATAATTAAAATATTTATATATTTTTTTTTTCTAAAAATGACTTTAAAACATGTAGCTTCTAATTCCCAAACATTTTTAAGTTAAGTTTACATATGAAGGAAAGGACTGTTTTGTTGGGCACAGTGTTTAACAAAGGTAGGTTTGTACATGTATGAAAGGCATTTTGTGTTACTGAAAAAAAGTGCTGGTTATTTTTGAGTTTTTTATGTGTCAAAGATATATCCATTTAATAAGAAATATATTTCTTGCATATCAGACTGGTGTTTCTGTTAGTTTTACCCATGCTGGAAATTTAAGAATGAAATTGTGTGTCTAGTATGACATCATTATGAATGAAAGTTTCACACACTATTGTAAGAAAATAGGAACAGATGAAATTAGAAAATTGTTTTATTGAGGTATAGGATATAAAATATGAGAGAATACTGTAGAATATTCAAGAAAAAAATATCAGACATAAGTATGCGCTTCAATCAGAATATCTGTCCCTCGGAAACCAAACCAATGGGCAAGTCCCCTCAGGACGGATGTTATTCCGATCGGAACAGCAACTTATGACCGATATTATTAATCAAAATATGAATAGGATTAGATATGTTTGAACAAAAATAACAATATGAGCCGCGTCACGACAAAACCAACATAATGGGTTTGCGACCAGCATTGATCCTCGCAGTCTGATCAGGATCCATGCTGTTCGCTATCATTTTCTCTACTTGTAATAGAGTTGGTAAGCAAACAGCATGGATCCTGATCAGACTGCACGGTCGCAAACCCATTATGTTGGTTTTGTCGTGACGCGGCTCATATATCTTATGTGATTGCCAACTACTGGTATATAGTTTATAATAGGCTGAAAGAACTTTTTGTTTCACTGAATATTTAATTTTGACAATAGGCAGAGGAGAATTTAAAGAAGTATGGTAAGATGTTTATGGCTGAGAGACCACAGGAAACTACAGAATTGTTGAAGAGACTGTGTACAGACTATAAACCCACTGACAGTTAGTAAAACTTTATATAATTGTGTAAAATTATATTGTTTCTTTTTAAGATGTCAAAATTCCTTAACTTTTAATGTAATAAAAAATATTCAAGGTTTGAATTTTTACAAATTATTTAGATTATTAGAGTTGCCACTCATAAGTGTACAGACATAAACGAAGAAATTAAAACGCATGTAAACTTGGATATTTAGACACATCATAATGAGAACAAATTTAATATAAACTTGACACTAGATCAATTATTGTTTGAATATTTCAGGACCCCTTGTGGAGGCAGTTGAACTAGAAGGTAATCATCATTCTTTAATCATTACTGTAGCCAACAATTATTTTAAGCAAGTGCACTTGCTTTTAGATAAGTTGTTCATAAGTAATACTTCAAAATAAATGATAGCATATGTACAAATTTAAATTTGTCCAGAGTATTGCTGTATATTCAAAACATTACCTCTACATTACAAGCTGCTGTATAAATACTCAAATACAAAAGGAATGACCGGAACTATTTGTTAAAGTATGGTTCTTCCTTGTAAATGCGAGACATCATTTTAATGCTTGCCGAATCAATACTCTCCTAACCTCAACCCTATTATTTATTAAATTAACTATTCCTGCTTTAAATTTTAAACAGTTAGTTTTTAGCACAATTCATATTATGTAATAGGGAAAGCTATCCTGCTCACACCACCATTATAATTATGTTTTTCCATGAATCTCATGCCCCATTTTTTCAATCATAGTTAATGTTTTATTTCATCATTATTATTTCAAGTAGTAATTATAGTTAAGGATGCTATCTGTCACAGACAGCTTATGTGCAAATAAGGAAATTGAGTTGTCAGAGTTTAGTAAGATCAGAGGATCAGGTATGCTGATGCTTGTTCTATATAGGTGGCTTAAACTTGCCATCATTAATTCTAGCTTTTAGATTCTACTACTTGATATGTCTACATTTCAGGAAGCCGGTCACCAGGTGAAGTGTGCAGGGCACCGGCAGAGCAGTTTATTCATATATTTGTGAATAACTCGGCTAAACTTATTGAGTTTTTAGAACATATGATCTCTGTAAGTTAAATGATCATGTTCTCATATTGTATATGCATTAAGTTAACATAGATGTTCACACTTTCCAGATATATGGTAAATTTTATAAGATTTGTTTTGAATTATGTTTCAGACTTATATAATGGGAAAAAAATCTATAGTGACTTAATGATTTTTGGAATACAATACCAAATATCTATAAATGTAAATGCTTCTGAAATGATAAAATACATCTATTTGGTAAGAAATATCTGCAAAACATAAAAATGCATTTGTAAATCATATAAAATCTTCCTTTCTTGTGTATTTCTACATTATCCAGGCTCTTGTTTAACTTTAAGCAATGAGAATAGTTGAGAACCTGTTCCTGCTGACAGTTCTTGTTTCTATCTCATATATTACGTTAAGCAAGTGAAGTTATGTTTCTATTCAGTGCCTACACTTCCTCACAAATAAATGTGAACCTAACATGTAAAATAAACCACAATCTGGTATTTTGATAAATTGAACTTTATTGTAAAGACATACAAAATGTATATCAATTTTATATTGTGATATAACATTAACTATACAAATATATCTTATAGATGTTTATATTATCATAGTTTGTTCTCTGTCAGTTATATGTAGTGTTAATGGAGATGTTCTGTTATTTTGAATGTTCTTGTTGATTTTTGCAAATAACTATTGGTGTAATGTTTGCGATTTAAAATTATTGTTACTGTAAAATTCTGTAATTGTTTATATTTCAGGTGTATAGAAATTCACCAAGTCTACTTTACAACACACTAATAGAACTTTACTTACATGAAAACAAACAGGTAATGTTTATACATCTACAAAACAAGCATAGGCTAATTTTATTTTAATATTGTTCATAAAATTTTAAAAAAATTTTATTTAACAATATAATTTGTATGTTAAACTTGGATTAATATAGCACTATATATGAGCTGTGTCATGACAAAACCAACATAATGGGTTTGCAACCAGCATGGATCCAGACCAGCCTGCGCATCCGCGCAGTCTGATCAGGATCCATGCTGTTCGCTTACAAACTCTATAACAAGTAGAGAAACTGATAGCGAACAGCATGGATCCTGATCAGACTGCGCGGATGCGCAGGCTGGTCTGGATCCATGCTGGTCGCAAACACACTGTTGCTTTTGTCATGACACGGCTCATATGGTGATTGTCTATGTATGAGCTTCTGCTCATTGTTAAGATATTTACAAGAATATTAAACAGGTAAGGATGGGTCAGCTGTCCATCTATTTTACAGAAAGTTATTTGTTTTTATCCTGGTGCCTGTTTATGTCTGAAAACAAAAGTTCTGATTTTTCATTGAAAGATTAAAATGGACATTTATACATGTTGATTTATCTTTTATCAGAATATATATTTTAGTGTATATGTATACTGACTAGGTTATGTTAAAACATTGGTATCCACTTATTGTACATGCAAAATGCATAACCCTGAGAAATGCTCAAGTTTGTAACAATAACTAATTGAAGTGTATCTTTTATTGAATATTTTATTGTATATCTGATTGTAACTGGCTTAAAATAATCAGATTTGAATATTTTGGTATTTATAATTGAGCCGCATCATGACAAAACCAACATAGTGGGTTTGTGACCAGCATGGATCCAGACCAGACCAGCCTCCGCGCAGTCTGATCAGGATCCATGCTGTTCGCTTACAGACCCTATAACAAGTATAGAAACTGATAGCGAACAGCATGGATCCTGATCAGACTGCGCGGATGTGCAGGCTGGTCTGGATCCATGCTGGCCGCAAACCCATTATGTTGGTTTTGTCGTGACGCAGCTCATATTGTGTTGCAGGCAAATGAGAAGAAGATTCTAGACATTCTGAAAAATCCAGAGGTAAATTTTGTTCATTTATAGTTGTAGGCCCTATGCTAATAACAAGCATGTTCAGTCTGAACATTTGTCCCATCTTAACAGACTACACTGTTGCCTGTATACAATATTTTAATTAGGAAATCCATCTTGATATGTATATAAAAATCTGAATGCTGAAATAAACCTGAGACTGAAAATCATTAGATATACTGTATATATATGTATAGAAAGGTTAAGTTTGATGTATGTATCTCAAATTGTAGGGAGATACGCCTTTTAATGGCATGAACTAAAATTGTCAGTAAAAACTTTATTTTAGATACAATTGTCATAATATGCATGACTAAAGTTTCCTTTGGGGTTTGCAGAAAAGTCTCCAGTGCAAAATACTTTATGTTCCTTACTTTAGGATGATAAAAATATTTTTAATTTTTAAAAATGAAATGAGCTGTAATGTCTATCATTAACTGTCCAATGTATATACATGTGTATATGTATATATAACATGTATAAAATTTATACAGAATATTTGCTCCATTGTATTTTTATATGCTATATTATATATGATATATTTTCTGTTACATTACAGGCAAATTATGATTTGGACCAAGCATTAGTACTGTGTCAGATGAACAACTTTAAGGCTGGAATTCTCTGCTTGTATGAAAAAGCAAGACTGTAAGTAAATACCTTGTATAAAAACATTAATTAACCATATACTTAATATATGTAGCTTTTTATCATTAGGAAATGGGTGAAATTGGCAAAATATGCAAAATTCCTAAACCATCTATCATAACTTTCATTTTTACTCAATATCAGCTTCCCCCTTGTGGTTGAGGGGTTGCCTTTAATGCTTGAGGCATGAAGATTGCAGCGACCATTTATCCCTGTGTGATTGTAAGAGGTGACTAAATAGGATCGAATTAATGGACTCTATGCATCTCTAAGCTGAAGTAGGTGAGAGGGTTTTGACCCCCTGGTGCTGCTAAGATTGTAACGCCCGAGGTTAGTCAAAATCATCTTTCCTGTTTCTGCGCCATATAACCTAAATTGTGATGGTGCACTGTAAATACAAAAAAAAACCAATCCATATCAACTTTGATTCATGAAGAAAAAAATTTATGTCTATGGTAAAATATACACTTACTCATTAAGAATTTAAATTTATGTTTACATATTTAAAGAAACATGACTATAGTCTAGAAATTCTTTCACAAACTATGGAAAGTCATTCTGTGAGATTTTAAATTTGTTTTAATACATTTCAGGTACCAGCAAATTCTAAGATACCATATGGATTGTGATGCCCATGATCTTGTCATACAAACTTGCAAGACTTACGGGTGAGAATTCAGTTTTGTGTCATTGAAATTTTACAGATTTTATGAATGAAAACATGATACTTTGACCTATCTATTTTATGCTAACCAGTGAAATACCTACATACAGTATATCACGCACAGTGCCGATGACATAGCCCTGCTGAGTATTTTTGGCATACATTTTAATCTTTATGATTCCTTAAATTTGTACATTTACATGAAAGTTAATCGTTGTGCTTTGTTCTAATGGCATATTTCTTGATTAAAATATTATATCTGTAGAGTTGTGAAAAGTTACTCTGAAATAATCACTAATGACTTGAATTATTTGTGTTTGTGCAGCATTCTAGGTAGTTTTCTATATAAACATGTATGTCTTTTTCCCACGCTTCAATAAAAAATTGCTGCTATTGTACTTACTAGTGTAAGGCATGAAATGAAAAGAAAAGGTTGTTTGATAAAATATGGTATATATCACACATCGAAGTGAGAAAATATCCACATTTTCACTTGTGTGAGGCTTTGTGAAAATATTGCATTTTTCTCACTTCGCCATGTGATATATTGCACTTTCACTCAAAACAAACAAATATCCTCTCTTTATTAGTTTGGTTATGTTTTGTATTGGATAGGTTGCAGATAAAACAGAGTTTTTGAGAGTTAAATCTGTTAAAAACTAATATTCTATATAAAAAAAACGTATGTTTGATATAAAGCACCAAGAGGTACATGTGATCTGTCCCTGCAGCAATTTTGTAGCTTTGTGTCATATAGGTTGCTGCATGTATGGTTCTAAGCAAATATAGGGAAGACATAACTCCTCAGGGATTGGAAGCAATGTTTTGTAGATTTATAAGTTACAATATTTTTTTCCAGAACACAAGACACAAATCTGTGGGTGCAGGCATTGTCATATTTTTCCAAAAAAGAGAACCTGAAAAGCCAGCTAGGAATTGTTCTTCAGCGTATCCTTATCATAGTTTATTAACTACTCATATTTGCTGTGTAGTTTATCTTTGCAGAATGGAGAGGAGCTCCTTTGCCAAGTGCAAATTATGACTCTTTACAAATTGTTTGCTTCTAAACATTGTTGTTGGGGTCTTGCTTAGGATGTTTTATTTAAATCATGTTTAATTTTTATTTGCACTGAAGTTCATATTTTATCATCTTGAAAAAATTGCATGTCCTAGTAAGTCTAAATCGCCAATACGACCACATGCATTAGGCAACATTTGTCTGTAGTGACCAATTTAAATTCCCCCCAATCATATTTCTCTAAATTTTTGATGTATGAAGCGACTTTTGCTCAACGCAACCAGCAACCCATAATTAGTAAGTTTAATGTGATCAATCTTTTCATCAAGTTTACCCTCATTGTCTTATGTGTTAATTTTTATGTGTTCGGTAATGTTAATTAAAAGAAATTCAGATTTTATTGAAGTTTCTCAGTTTAAATACTAAAAACAAGAAGTCAAGATCCTTCAGTTTCTGATATCAATTGATGATTAACCCAAGAAACCTTACCACTAAGCTTTTACACAATGATATAAATATTTGAAACATTTGTCCTTAACAGCATTTTAGATATTGATAAAATGAACTTGCTGCCACCATTGCTAGTTATTCAGACATTAGCTCACAGTTCCACGGCAACCTTGTCTGTTATCAAGAACTATGTTATACGTAAACTACAGTCAGAAAATGAACAAATTGCTGAGGATGAACGTCTTATAAAACAGTACCAGGATGATACTGAGAAAAAACGGCAACAAATTGAAGAATTAAAATCTACGTATGTCTTGTTTTTTCTTCCTCTTTTGATATTATTCAAATTTGAAAATTTCTTTAAAATAAATTTAAGAAATCAATAACCACCTAAACCATATGTGTTTAAAATATAGAATTAAGTCAGAAACATATTCATGATTTATGGATTAAAATATTGTAAAATTATTGAATAATTTTTTAGAAGAGTTAATTAATTTAGATATATTAAATTGAATGTTAAAAATACATTCATGAATTATGGATTACCATGATATATTGTAAATTTATTGAATAATTTTTTAGAAAAGTTCATTAATTTAGATAAAAATGATTTTAATGACCTGGAATAAGACTTAATAAAAACTTTGTATTTTTGTGTCGCCTTGAAAAGGTGACATATAGGGATTACTTTTGTCGGCGGTGTCGGCGGCGTCTGTGTCGGCGGCGTCGTTGTCGGCGTCGGCGTCCCCTAAAGCTTGTCCGGAGCATAACTCAGTCACTATAAGTCTGATTGACTTCAAACTTGGTATGCATGCTTCTTTCAATAACCCGAAGTGCAGTGCACAAGGACCAGTACTCTGCACTTCTTATTTTTTGAGTTATTGCCCTTTGTTAATTTTCATACTTTAATTTTGTCCAGGCCATTTCTCTTCAACTAAAAAAGCTATGGACTTGAAACTTCATAGGATGATGGATCTCATTAAGAAGAAGTGCAGTGCACAAGAACCGGTACTCTGCACTTCTTATTTTTTGAGTTATTGCCCTTTGTTAATTTTCATACTTATTTTTGTCCGAGCCATTTCTCCTAATGTATAAAAGCCATGGACTTGAAACTTCATAGGATGATAGGTCTCATTAAGAAGAAGTGCAGTGCACAAGAACAGGTACTATGCATTTCTTACTTTTTGAGTTATTGCCCTTTGTTTATTTTCTTACTTTAATTTTGTCCGGGCCATTTCTCTTCAACTAAAAAAGCTATGGACTTGAAACTTCATAGGATGATGGATCTCATTAAGAAGAAGTGCAGTGCACAAGAACCGGTACTCTGCACTTCTTATTTTTTGAGTTATTGCCCTTTGTTAATTTTCATACTTATTTTTGTCCGAGCCATTTCTCCTAATGTATAAAAGCCATGGACTTGAAACTTCATAGGATGATAGATCTCATTAAGAAGAAGTGCAGTGCATAAGAATCGGTACTCTGCATTTCTTAATTTTTGAGTTATGGCCCTTTGTTAATTTTCATACTTAATTTTTGTCCGAGCCATTTCTCCGAAAGTATAAAAGTTATGGACTTGAAACTTCATAGGATGATAGATCTCATTAAGAAAAAGTGCAATGCATAAGAACTGATACTCTGCATTTCTTATTTTTTGAGTTATTGCCCTTTGTTGATTTTCCTACTTTATTTTTGTCCTGGTCATTTCTCCTCAAGTATGAAAGCTATGGACTTCATAGGATGATAGATCTCATTAAGAAAAAGTGCAGTGCATAAGAACCGATACTCTGCATTTCTTATTTTTTGAGTTATTGCCCTTTTTTGATTTTCTTACTTTATTTTTGTCCTGGTCATTTCTCCTCAAGTATGAAAGCTATGGACTTTAAACATCATACAATGATAGATCTTATTGATAAGAAGTGCAATGCACAGAAACTGCTGCTCTGCACTTATTATTTTTTTAGTTATTGCCCTTTGTTATTTTTCATATTTCATTTTTGTCCTGGCCATTTCTCCTAAACTACATTGTTCACAAGGCGACACATCCGACTCGCGGAGTTCTAGTTTGTAAGGTTTTGTGCAACTATGAATGATTTTAATTGATGTGTTTTAATTTCATAGGGCAAAGATATTTCAGAATACAAAATGTAGTGTGTGTCATCATCCACTAGATCTTCCTACAGTACATTTCCTGTGTGAACCTCACTCCTTCCATCAACAGTAAGTTCTTTTATAAATAAAGAAGAACTTTGCAACCTTATATTTTTCTGGTCCTTCGTGTTCATTGATGCCAGCACTATTAAGTGTTGGGAATTGAGTACCGCTCAGCCCAGTGCTGGGGGGGCGTGAGGGATTTTGCACTTTTTCATTATCCCTCATGTACAGACTCAGTCAAACCGAGTCTGCAATTTTCATGTAATTTTGTTGTGATTAATGCTGCTGAGGGATCACTTTGTTTCTAGATTTTTATGCATGCAGTAGAGCTTGTGACCTTAAGCTATGTTTGCCATTTCTATAATTTTGGTCCATAAACTCTATATAAATACAGCAGAACTTTCAAACCTTAAGTTCTTTATTCATACTGTAGAACTTCGAAAACTTCTTTATACATATACATGTAGTACAACTACAAAACCTTAAGTTTTACATGCAATTAATGCATACAGTAGAACATTGAAAATCTTTATGCAAACAAACTAATTTCTAACCTTAAGTTATTATTGAATATAGTTGAACTGTGAAATCTTATAAATCTCCTTATACATAAAAGTAGATCTTCAAAACCTTTATGTGCATACAATAGAACTGTGAAACCTTCAGTCCTTTATGCAAACATTTGAACTGCAGAACCTTTTACGGTCACCAAAGTGGGCAAAAATTCTGAAAAGTATGTTTAATCCATGTTTTCTTTAATTGCAGTTGTTTTGAAAGTTATGCTGAGAGTGATACAGAATGTCCTGTATGCAGTGTAGAAAACAGGTTAATATATTACTGCCTATGTACTATTATATTTTCATATTTTTGTCAGTTGTGCAATAAGTGTACTAGGTTGATAGTAGATGTGATACCTTACTTGGCGTAAACAGTATGTGAAATGATGGTTTGTACAACAAAACATGCTTGTGTGGGTTATGTATTTAGTTAAACAACAAATAATTAAATTGTATTGATCTCCACAATTACACTTCAGATATTCTGTAGAAGTATTGTGGATAGACTTATTAAATATATGGAGAGCTGTCCTACTCGCCCTGGCTTCTGTATACAGATTTCTGGCAGTAAAATATCTTTTACTGTAGTTTGCTGATTTCTTAAGGAATCTATTTATTTATCTTTTAATTTACAGCACAGACATTTATATCGATATATTCTGTTTTCCTTTCATTTACATGGTCTTGTGCATGTTAAGTGGTGCAAAAATGTTAGGCATTTAAGTGTTTTCTTAATATTGATAAAGAAAATTATTAATGTTATAAGGGATTTTTTCATAGCATTGTCTATACTGTGATCAGTATTTAATAAATCTAACTTGCTGTCACCTCTGACAGTTCTAGTTATTTTACAATATTAAGGTTTAGAAAAATGGAAATGACCATAAGTATTATTATTTATAAAATTTTAATATTTCAGGAAAATCATGGATATGATAAGGGCGCAGGAGCATGGTAGAGATTTACACGAGACATTCCATAACCAATTGGAGAGGGCACCTGATGGTTTCTCCGTAGTTGCTGACTACTTTGGGCGAGGTGTATTTAACAAGGTATATTATTGTGGTCAGGAGGTATCAGCGTTTAACATGAAAATAATGTTTATTACATACCCATGCCAATTTTGCGACTTTGTAAAAATGATATTGCACAGCTGTGCATATATTTTGATGTGATGTCATTTGTGTTATACTGTAGAAACATAGCGTAAAGAAGCACTGTATGGTTACGTTACACCATAGGCTTGTCAATGAAAAATTATATTTAAGCACTAGAAACAGTCTTTATTTTGTGTCTGTGATAAATAGAATATTATATTCGAGTAGGTTAATTACTGAATTTATTGAAGTTGTTAAATAAAATAATATTATGCTCGCAATAGGCTTGCACAATATAATTTCTTGGAACTTGTTCAATAAATTCAGTATTGAACCTACACTCATTCAATATCTTATGTGTAATAAAAGGGAAATGCAAGTACATGTACATGTGTAGTTTTATTAAGAACAGATGAATGTTCTCCATGCGTAATCATTTATAATGATTAAAAGATTTTTTATTTTTCCCAAGTTTAATAAATAAAATAATTGATTATGCTGTTTACAAATTTATTATTTTTAAATTTTTAACCAGTCCTTTTTGGTGTGTGTTTTTTTCTGGCAGGAACTTGAAGGAATTATTTAAATAATCACATGTACAATTTAAAAGGTATTTTTAACTTTTTATCTATTTCCAGGTTACAGTTATCACAGACTCCCCGGCAAGACTTGCTAGCGTGGCAAACAAATACTCCTCGTAGCACTCTACCTGTAGATGTACATCTATCCAAATATATTGATTAAAGTAGTAACAAATTGAACAAGTGCTGGACACTAAATAACCAGACCTATTTTGAAATGTCTCAATTTTATTCAGTCAGGGTTATGGACAATTGTGCCACAAGTTTTTTATACAAAAGATACATCTAAAAAATATTCAATCCAAATTGTCAGACAATTAGATAAGTGCAATGACATGTTGTTAGTTTAAATTTGTGTTTTTAGTTTTGACAATTTAAAAACTATTTTTTTTACATTAAAATAGAATAACATGTACTACTTCATACATCTATCATATACATGTTAGATGTTTTGTTTTATAGCAAATAAAATGTTTGTGATGTGAAAGATGCATATCATGCATTTAAATTGAGTCCTTCAAAATGTCAAAAATGATTAACTTAACCAAATAATTTTATTTGCTGCATTACTTAACCTGTTCTGAATTTTAGACTGTCCAGTGAAAAAAATATTTCAGGGATTTGAAGATCAAAATAGTAAAATATCTAGCAGTTAATATATAAGGTAGATTTGTTAGATTGCTGTATGATGTAAAATAACTTAGCTTTATATGGATGACAAAGACTTTCCTATAATAGCCATTTGTATTCGAGTGTTATGTTTACACTTGTGTAATGTTTACACTCGCTGTGTACTGACATTACACCAACATATGTATCGAGTATATAAATGAGCATATAAATATATATGGGGAATATAAGAAATCACCAAGGCAACATCTGGCAACAAATATTTCTATCCTACACAGCCTCTGTTTCCACGAAGGACATTATAAACTTACATTACCAGTTGCTAGTTTGCAGCTTTAAAACCTTTGGTGCCATGTCTAGGAATGTTTTGAGCTAGGGCTGTGTTTATTTCTCTTTCTAGTTCAATAATATTGCTTGGCATTCTAGTTTTGTCAACTTTATACAGGCTATGTTATATTTGGAAGCTGTTTAATAAACACATATGTGCAATATCTAGTTAATTATGTTATATTTACAATTTTCTCTTGTAAAGAATTCTGTTGCTTTATAGTTTTTTTGTATTAAATGCAAAATCATATTCAGTATGAGTTGTTGTTGTTGATGATGATGTTGTTTGATACCCTTTTTTCATGTTCAAAAGTGACAGCACTATAGCTTATCAATTGCCAGTAGAAACAATAATTGTTTGGGCAATTCTAAATTAATCTTTGGCAATGTAAGGGAAAAATAAATTATTTTCAAGTACTTTTGAAAACAATTGAGCCGCGTCACGACAAAACCAACATAATGGGTTTGCGCCCAGCATGGATCCAGACCAGCCTGCGCATCCGCGCAGTCTGATCAGGATCCATGCTGTTTGCTTACAAAACCTATAACCAGTAGAGAAACTGATAGCGAACAGCATGGATCCTGATCAGACTGCGCGGATGCGCAGGCTGGTCTGGATCCATGCTGGTCGCAAACCCATTATGTTGGATTTGTTGTGACGCGGCTCATTTAACCGACATGAATATCTTGTAAACATATGTCACTATTTAGAATGTCAAACAAGCAAATGGATGGCATCAGTGTATTTCTTGATGAAAAGAATGTTCAATAACTGAGACTTGTTTTCTTTAACAAAATTATGATTTATGTCATCATATTACCAAGGTTTAATAAAACATCAAAAAGAAGTTCTTTGAACAATTTGTTAAAATAGGCAGCAGATAAATTTGAGAAGGTAGTGAAGGAAATTTTAGCTACTACATGATCTCCAGAAACTTTTAGCAAATAGTTGATGAAATACATTAATATATAACATGACACATTCGAAATTCTTTAAGTTACATCTCTTAAGCAAATTAAATAACCTAAATTATTAATATGTTGCAAACTTTCGAACATGGTTTGAGAAAGTAATGTGACTTTTCCTCCACATAATCATAATTTCTAATCAAGAAAATACTAGTAGTGTAATGGATTATATAGAATATGTACAGACATACTTGAAATTGGAAACGGATCCGGTACGCTGGGTACCCCAGCAATTAATTAAGGACAATGTGAATGATATAGAGATGTGAGACTTCCATGGAATCAGCTTGCCCCGAAATGACGGCGTGACTTGCTACCTCTATACTGCATACAAGTCATGTAGTTGCAAATACCTGTTATTTGTAAAGACATTTTATTAAATGTTTAAAGTGGAAATTATGTAAAATATCTGAATGAGTTAAGTGACATATTCTTTAATCTTACTTAATATACAATGTACTTAGTTGCAAAAGAAAGTGTGCATTTGGTTACTGGGAAATAACACTTTTTAGCAAAATATTGGCAATAAATTTAACAAAAATACAAAAGACGCTGGTTCATTGTTATTGAAATTTGATAATAACCATGTTTATATAAATATCTTAAGGTTAAAAGTGTTGCAGAATTGTTTGCAATTGATTAGTATCTGTTGCGTCCATTTTGTCTACGGCTCAACGCAAGTGTTCGAGACGTCTTCTGTAGACGGCTGGAATGGTGTTCCATTCAAATATTCAAGTTTTCAAAAGCAATTTAGAAAGGCTTTTACAAAATCACAAGCCCGCACATTTTACTTTTCACCCGCCTGCTATTTGTAAACACGTAAAGCAAATTTCTGATAATAATCAAATTTCATTCAAATATAAATCATCTTGCAGTCAATATATTTTTCTGTAAATATTGATAACTATTATGACAATATTTGCTTAAACAAGTATTCAAATTTGTCTGTAACCAAGTGCGCACTACCTTTTGTAACCTGGTATTTGTTATGCGAAATGGAACAATAGTTACTCTGTTACTGACGTATATAAATTTATGAATATTCTGGCACATTTTATATACTGTACTGTATGAGGATGGTATCTGACTTAATTAAGCTTCAATTTCTTTACTTATATATAGACGCACAGAGATCCGTACTATTAATCTGTGGTAGACGGGAGTATTTTTTTTCCTTTTCTTACTTGACCGAGAAACAAAGTCATTTAAATTTTTCACTTCTTTATTTATTTATTTATTTATTTATGTCTTATCCATGAATACATCAGTTTACACATTTTGTATATACATATTCATAAAACAAAATAAAAAGGTATATAATTATACATGGCCATTCACAATAGAATTATAGGAGACAGTGAAATTTATGTATGTATTTTTTGGTGTACATTTCTAATTTCTATTTCTTTATATTACAATGCTATTTTGTATTTATTTTCTTCTGCATTCCATTACAGAAGCTATTGTATGTGCGGGCAATGGTGCGTCTTGAATGAAGCATTGAAAATTAGAAATAAAATAAAATAAATTTTGATTTCGTTGCTCTCATGGACCTTTCTTGTCTTAAAAACATTTGTAGGACCTTTCTTGTCTTAAAAACATTTGTACAAAAATGTTTCTCATTATTTAAATGCACTCGGAGGAAAGTGAAACTTCTACTTAAACTGGGGCCCGATTTGAAAGTTTAGCTAGGAATAAAACTTGTTCAATGTCAGTCTATCTAGTCTATAGATCTATATCTATTTGCCAGCTTAAAATTACCACACCTTCTTAAATTCCATACCGGGTGCTATTTTAACTAATGGAAAACATCCTTATATTACGCTGAAGGTTTAATGCACGTGTGTACGTGTAATTACAAGATTCGGAACGAAAACAGTGCTGAGGAAGATAAATTAAAAGTTCTTCAACGCACGTGCACATTAATTATAGATATCTTCAAACGAAACCCGATCATCTGCCTTGTCAAGAAATTACATGTATACTGTAGATACTGCCCCAAAAATCGTTAAAAGAAAATATGTCTAATTAAAACCCCCTTTTTCCGGGAAAAATAAAACTTTTGCTTAAAGTGCATACGCCGGGTAAATTTTAAAAAAAAAGCGAAAAATTTATTCTAACTAAAACACATAAAAAAGGTAGTCCCCAAAGTTGCCATTTATGTGACGTGAATGGCTTTGATTCAATTTGATTTTAAGGTGTTTTGGGTATTTGTGAACTCTTCCTATAACTCATATTTATTTAATGCAGAATATAGTTTCCATTTGTATTCATAACCTGGTAATTGTCTTTAAGGACAGTTTAATTGCCTGCCAGTATCCTTTTAATGAAGGGGGGCTCGTACAAGGAATTTGATAGAATATCCTAGCAGATGCATTGACTTTCACTCCGACAATGGTCTGTGTGATTGTTGTTCACTGTTCAATGCCTGGGTTGATATATATAGCAGGGTTGTTGAAATATACGAACGGGGATGTTCCCCATTTGGGTGAGGTTGATGCCCTTGAATTAAATTTTTAGAGGAAGAATGATGTTTATAAGACGGGGTGAACTAGCTAGTAAGTGTTCCCGTCCATCTTTGATAGGTTTAAATCCCTATCCACCCAAAGATTTGAGAACACCTATTTTACCTTTTCAATGGACATGGAGAATTCCAGAAACTCTCTGGATCTAGTTCTTGTGGCTTTAGCTAAGACTCAGTACCTATAACTAAATCAAGTTTTGGAGGAGCTAATTAATAAGGTTGCTGATTTTTTCATCATACATGAAGTTCTAAATATGGCCTTCAATTTATAACTAGATAAGGCTCGAATTACTCTCAAGTCATAGGACAAAGCTATAATAATTAGGCTTCAGAGGACAATCGTGAGGAACCTGTAGTATATGTTCAATGTCTAGCGCACACTAATGATCAAAGACCATGGCGATATTTTTTGATGATACTTTAGACAATTCCTTGACGGATATGACGTAAAATCAGGACATCGCACCGGTGCTTTAAATTTTCGTAAATTACTCAACTATTACTTTGAATTTTCAAATGATAACATAGTATTTATATAAAACTTCAATTAATATAGTACAATTTCCTAAAAGCCTAACATTAAGTGTTTTAGTGTTTGTTTATGCAACGCCTGGTTACGATGAATATCTGACTTGCGCACTGGCGAGAGAAGTGTTTCCTGTCGGAAATAAAACAGAAGGAAATAGTTCCTTTATTACCAGCCATTAGTGTAATTTATAAATGTTTACAAAATAACATCGCACACACTTTGTGCCCTCGTGACTCTTTTCTTGATGAAACTAGAAGAAATGATGATTTATCTGCAAATATTGAAATAATTAAATAAAAGTTATTAATGTGCGAAAGTAGTTCCCTTTGATGGACAGCTGAAATAATTTTTCGAGAGAAAGAAAAATTGGATTATAAACTGACTTCTCTCGTTTCTATATTATGTTAATTAAACATGGGCACAAAAAGTAGAATTTGGCACTGGTGAACCTGTATTTCCATCCAGTTTTTGTGTCCAGGGAAACGTGAAGGCATGTTAACTTGAAACCATGAACTGTGAACCAGTGTGTTGTATAGAGATAGCACACTACCATCTTTCCTTTCCAGTTGTAGGCTTTTTAAAGTAATTGAATTGAGATTTAAAGTAATTAGAGTATGCAAAAAAGAGAATACGAGAAAGCTGACGACTCCTCTCGCCGAAAATCCTCTGGTAGATCAAGCATGCATGGGTCAAGTCGTCAAACGGGTTCTGGTAACTCTGGAGTGTTGATGGTTGGACCAAATTTTAGAGTTGGAAAGAAAATAGGATGTGGAAATTTTGGAGAACTTAGATTAGGTATAAAGTCAAGTCATAATGATACGCCTTTACTTGGGGAGTTTGTAACTTCATTGTATTCATGCTGTCATATTTTAAAAAAAAAGAATGTTAAAAATTTATAAGGTTTATCTATTTTCAGAGGTTTTGAATATAAGTGAATTTTGTGACAGAATGAGTTGTATCTTATAACTTGTTATGTGGTATAGTATATGTTTTGTATCTTTAAATACTACATACTATCACAGGAATCGTAAATTCCACTGCCCCACTCATATAAAAGTTGAGATCGAGGCAGGATGTACTGTACCGAATTGTAGTATGCTTTAAAATTTGCTGATGTATCGGACTGCTAGAATAATCAGTTTGTTTACATACTGGAAACAAAGCTTACAAGTGTTTTAGAATTTATATAAATTGTGCACTTTATAAAGGTCTGAACACATTGGTAACTGGATATGGGTGTGACTGGAATGTGGCTGACAATGCTCTATAAAGTGTGATTTATACATAACCTCAAACACAAGCTAAGCTGCTTCGTTTCCGGTTTTAGTTCGTTAAATTATGTAAACAAACACTTGTAAGATTGGTTTCATGTAAAAACTGAATTAAAATGGATTTGATCATCATCAAATCAAGTAATATTAAGACAGTCTTGTATATAACATATATGATAACACTCAAGAGTTTTAAAATCCAACATATAAGGCAGTATACCGTAACAAAAATGCACTCCACCATAGCAGTCCATATGGGCTTCTAGTTACTTGAGAACTTTACTTTCATTTGGTCAAATTCTAGTTATTATTAATTGCTTTGAACATCTACTTTCCCTCAAATTGAAACAGGCTGCAATATCTTAAAATTGATGTTCAATTATGTTTACAGCAAAATCTATAAAGTTGAAGGAAGATCTCACCTGTTTCATTAACTTGAACGAACAAGCATTGTCACGCCTTTATAGACATGCATCTTTCCAACAACAAGCAAATTCATTAAGTTTAAATTGATGTCCCCACGCATTTAGATACAAATCATGTTAATATAAAAACATAAGAATATGAAAGAATATTAATCTGGTGTCTTTACTTGTAAAGATCTACAAAAAGCCTGCAAAACTGAGCAGTTATTGTTTAGGCCATCCTTGCATCTGAGATGAAATGAAATTGTACCAAATTGTTAAGTGCATTTTGAAAAAATAATTGTAAGAATAAATGATTGTTTACTCATACTGTGTAATATTCATTAATTTAAAACTTATTTTAGAGACTTTATTTCACTTTTCTCATAAATGATTATTGATAGGTTAGAATGATGTTTGTATCTTACTATGTTTTGTATGGTTAGTTTGTTTAATAACTTCACTTTTTTACTTGTGAGTAATGTTGACCTTTATAAATCCCTATCAACAGGGAGATGAAATGCTGTATTATACGCTTTTTTCATGTCTGAATGTGATTGATAAATTATAATTAAGTAATCTGAAATTACTAAATATAATATTTTTACCCTTTACTTTCCTTGCAGGGAAAAATTTATACAACAATGAACATGTGGCAATCAAATTGGTAAGACCATTTTGAGATTTGTTTTTCAAAAACACATTGACATAAAAATTTGATATGGTTATTAAACTCATTTTGTTAGATGCCTTTTTTGATAATTTTATACAAGTGGTAAACATTTCTTGATTTGAATACAGAAACTAGAGATTATTTAGTAATATTCACCTGTTCTTTTTGCTGCAGTCATTATATAATTGAGTTGTAAAACTTGTTAAGTTGTTTAACAAAGCAAAATGTATTTCAATTAATGTCCACCTATTTTGCTGATCTGTATTGGTAGTGATTATTAATATTATCAGTCTGATTATTAATCTATTACCACATACATTGTAACAGGCATTAGTTAGCCATTGACTTTGTCTTCAAGTTTATACCTTAATTATGATATGGGCCAAATTTAGGGAAACATTAGTTTGTCTGTAAAGATCTTTTTATGCCCCAACTTATAAAATGGGAACTTTCTGTGATAGGTTATGTCTGATGTATGCACCCACATAACTCTTCCTAGTCCTATCAGTCACTTGAGAAGGAATAAGCTGTGGTTTATGTCACTTGGTAGGGACATTGCCCTGCCCCATGACCATTAGATGACCCCTTTTGATTTTTAGGTCACTGTCGAAGGTCAAGGTCCTTGACCACTAAAAGCTTATCCTGAAAATAGCTGGGGAACACTTTTGCAATTGCCCAGTCTTATGTTTGGTGTTGAGGTTAGTCATAACTTGCAGATGATCCCTATTGGTTTTTAGATCAGTTGGTCTGAGGTCAAGGTCACTGTGGCCTTGACCACAAAAAACTTTTTTCCTCCCTGTGGATATTGCAGACTCTGCGCACTAGATGTATTATGGTGCCACAAAAGTTAAACTGCACTTACAGGATTATTTTTTTTCTTTGCTCAAGGAAATATATTTATTTAGAGTACCACTCTATGTATGTGTTGATACTTGAAATGTAATGCTGTAGACAGTGATTAGGGAGGACCAAATAAATAAAAGTGCATCTAATAGACTATATACAAGTCATGTATATTACAGATTTTTATTATTTTCAGTAGTTTATTTTTGAACTTGATTTTAAGACTTGGGTGTAGACTAGTTGTTATTTTCTTTTTCAGGAACCTATGAAATCTCGAGCTCCACAGCTTCACTTAGAATACCGCTTTTATAGACAACTAGGACAGTCAGGTGAGATACTTTTGAGCACATTAGTTTTGATCTACATGTGCACTTACCTTGATGACCATAAATAAATTGATAACTGCGTAAGAGAATCAATTCTGTGGCTTTCTGTGGTTTTAAGTATTGCATTTATTTGCTTGTAAGTAGTTGATTTGGAATTCCACTAAAGAGTGGAATTATTTTAGATATATAAAAATTCTTTTGATAAATTTTAAATTTGAATAAAATGGAGGCTTGTCAGATGTCTAGGATTCCTGGTCCTGGACTTTGTATTAAAAAAAAAAAAAAATTCCAACTTTAAAAATAAGAACAGTAACAGGTGACTTACTGAAGCTTGGGGATTGCATATGAGTAAGCACCTTCTTATGCTATAGGCATGATAGATAGTCTGACTTCTTATAAACTGAAAGCAATTTGATTTTCATCTGACCTTCGGTCATTCCATGTCTCTAAACTTCATATGTTGCTTGCTTATAAGTTATATATCATGCAGTTATTTATTGGCTATACTTTAGGGTTTATTTGTCAACAAAACAGGTGGATAAGATGTATCAATGAGACATTAAGTCTGAACCATAGAGCTTTCATTAAGACGATTTTATTCAAATAATAATGTGGCATCCCTTGTCACCCTAATCATTGATATAATATTTGAAACAAGTTTTTATATATAATTAACATGATTTATATATGCAACTTCACTGATTTTATGACCTCTGATTGGTTAAAGAGGCGCAACTGGGGTGGAAATTTGGAGTAACAAAGGAGCATACAGTAGATGGTCATTTAAATCCTCATTTGTGTCCCTGAGTTGTGATTATGTCCCTAATCAAAGTTAATTACTATACTGATTTACTACATGTATGACTCTAAATATTTAGCTCTAAGAATTGTTGCCTTGGCAGTGTTTTTTCTCATTTAATTGGGAAGAGTCTCTAGCCTCTTGATTTTAAGAAGAATTATTGCTAAAATTGCTAACTTTGGATTAGTATGAAAGCTGTATGATTTTAAAGAAAATTTCCATTGCGTGAAAATTTACTGATTGGCCATATTTTACATGTGTCAGTTCGACTCAGTTGCTGTTGATAATACTTTTACTTATCACAAGAGCCACCTTTGTTGAATAGAGATTTTTTTGTGGAGTTTAATGTAATTATGAAAGAAAATCTATGAACTTTTAGTAAGGAAAAAACAAAATAATTTTTATGCCCCCACAATGTGGGAGCATATAGCGTTGCACTTGTCCGTCCGTCCGTCCGTCAGTCAGTCCGTCCGTCAGTCCGTCCGTACGTCCCGAAATCTTGTGAACGCAACTCCTCTTAAACCGGATGGCAGATTTTGCTTAAACTTACAGGAATGAACAACCTTAATGTGTAGATGGTAGTAAACGAAGGAATTTTCGCTGCGACCAAATTTGACAGAATTATGGCCCTTTGTTGATTTTTTCACTAGATACTATGTAGAAATTTTGTGAACGCAACTCCTCTTAAACCGCATGGCAGATTTTGCTTAAACTTACAGGGATGAACAACCTTTATGTGTAGATGGTAGTAAAGGAAGGAATTTTTGCTGCGACCAAATTTAAAGAGAATTATGGCCCTTTGTTGATTTTTTCACTAGATACTATGTAGAAATTTTGTGAACGCAACTCCTCTTAAACCGCATGGCAGATTTTGCTTAAACTTACAGGGTTGAACAACCTTAATGTGTAGATGGTAGTAAAGGAAGGAATTTTTGCTGCGACCAAATTTAACAGAATTATGGCCCTTTGTTGATTTTTTCACTATATACTATGTAGAAATTTTGTGAACGCAACTCCTCTTAAACCGCATGGCAGATTTTGCTTAAACTTACAGGGATGAACAACCTTAAGGTGAAGATGGTAGTAAAGGAAGAAATTTTCGCTGCGACCAAATTTTACAGAATTATGGCCCTTTGTTGATTTTTTCACTATATACTATATAGAAATTTTGTGAATGCAACTCCTCTTAAACCGGATGGCAGATTTTGCTTAAACTTCCAAGGATGAACAACCTTTATGTGTAGATGGCAGTAAAGGAAGGAATTTTTGCTGCAACCAAATTTAACAGAATTATGGCCCTTTGTTGTTTTTTTCATTATATACTATGTAGAAATTTTGTGAACGCAACTCCTCTTAAACCGGATGGCAGATTTTGCTTAAACTTCCAGGGATTAACAACCTTAATGTGTAGATGGTAGTAAAGGTAGGAATTTTTGCTGCGACCAAATTTAACAGAATTATGGCCCTTTGTTGATTTTTAGTTTTCAACTTGTGGCACATGTAGTCCCAAAATATTTGACCTAGAGTTATAAGATTGACAGAACAGTGGCGTGTGGGGGCATCCGTGTCCTATGGACACATTTCTAGTTTTTTCATAGCTTGACAAGGAAGCTTGTGAGTCCCAGAATGATTAAAGTTTAAAGATCATAACAATTTTATTTTAAAGTTGAAATTTTGACTGAAGTTTTGATCATCTTGTATGTTGTTAGAAAATGTAAAGACATTCTTTTCACCAATAATTTATATTTCACAACTGTTTGGTTTATAGTTTTGTTTTAAATAACCCAGTTTGAGCTTGCTAGAAGAGCAGTTACTAGTTTGTCCTCAATATTTGTAGTGTAAACTCCTTGCATTTTGACTAAAAAACCTTTGACTGTTCTTGTTCAGTGAACTTATTTTGGACAGTGTGAGGCCTATATACGTCTGGTTAGTGTCAAAGAATCATGTTTTTAGAGTGAAAACCACATGTCTAATGCAATTTATCTTCTGCAGCTGATAAATTGAAGAGCTGATAATTACTGGTGTATATGTTAAAAATGGTATAGACACTAATAATACACCTGAGGAAAATGTATGTGGATAAATAATGGAAATATATCTGTATTTTGCCACTAGACCCTAAACAAATGAAATCATGTAGATTTTTATAAAACAGTTTTTTCGTAACAGCACACTTTCTAAAATAAACCCTTATTTAACAGAAATAATTTATGACATACAAGTAAAAGGATAGAGACGTGATTTTGTTACGTTTTTACTGCCTAAGTAATTTACTGAGCCACTGTTCATGTAAGATAATTTTTTTTCCAATTTACGCGAATACTTACTAGCTGTTGCAAATATTTTTGTTCAAGATTTGCTGTCAAGTGATTATATAGCGTATCCCCGAGTAGTGTATATTGATTATTGATTAAAGACTGGGAAGAGATGTTGCTGTTGGCAAGTAACACTTCCTTTCTCTATAGTACCACTTGCCCAATAATTCCTTATCAAATCAGCTGATGTCACTCGATTGTCTTCAAGTTGTAAGATAAACTCAGTTGTCAATGTTTTTGGTGTTTGTGAGATTTTTGTTTCCTCGTAAATATGCAAACAGTTTTAGTTCTGTATCATGGTATTTTCTGTTACAATGGGCTTACAGGGGATGAAAAATCTTTAGATAGTTAAATTACACATTAACGCATGAACTGAAAATGTTTATAAACTTTGCTGTTTAGAACAGTTCCTGACAATAGTTAAGTTTAATACTTAACATATCGGTTACTTTAAATCCAACAGTGTGTCAAAATAAAATATCAGGTTTCAATTTTATACATTACTATGTATATGTTTATTAACGAGCTACATATACTATGGCCTGTATGGTTTATGAAGGATGAATGGTTCTATCCAGTAGCTATTAAATTTGTAATGAGAGGAACTGAATTAAGGTCTTTACCAGGAAAGTGGCATGTACAGTATTTGTGACGCTATGTAAAAACATTTGAAAGTGGTCAATTTTAAATCACTTATCGTAAATTGAAGATTATGTTAAATCTGATTGTGTAATTTCGAAAATGATAGAATATGAGTCTCAGATGTTGGCAGTGACCTTAACTAGCTTATACAGTATTGCCCTGCTGATTACTGTTGTTAGCTTAATTGTAGAGTCCCATAGTTGAAAGCTGGATACACCATACACACAAATACAAAAAAAACATTAGAATAAGGGTTAACATATGACATATTTGCACAAAAATTATGTCTCTCTCAGTATAAGAAAGTCTAATGATAAAAGGGAAAGTAAATGTCAGCAATTGATTTTTTTGTAATGTTCAGTGTTTGTAAGTACCTTGTATGAGGTGTTGCGATATTTCGGCTCCCACCACTTACTGTACTTGTTATACTGATAGTTTTATCTCGGCTAAATATTGATTAGGTCGACCTTTAAAAATTGTAACATACTCTAGGTTTTAAGTTGGTCTCTTCAGTCTTGATATAGTGTTAATTTTTTTCTGTTGCTATTCCAGTACAGATAACTAAGAAAAATTGTTTCCTTTCAAGCAATTGTTGACTGTTGCATGGACTCGAGAGTGAAAAAAGATAATAATGTTATAAACTGATTGTTTTATTAAAATGAAAACTTGTTGTAATCACACCTAAATAATGTAGCTTTGCTTAACCCTGAACACCCTAAATATCTTTAATGGACTAGTCCATCTTTCATTCTGGACTAAAGTTTGAAAAAACATTAATCATTTTTAGGTTAGGGAAAGTTTCAAAATATTTACTAACCGGATAGCAAACAGTGCTGACCATGATTATACGGCACAGACATGCTGGCTGATTTTGGTCTGCACTGGTAGCATTGGTAGAAGCAGTTGCTGCCAGCAGACAGACACCAGGTCAATGAATGATTTGATGGCAAAAAAAATATTGCTCTTGTTTGAATTTTTGATGTTACAAATATAAATTAGAGATATATTAAGTAACATTTCAATACATGATAACTGTACAGTATTGCAACGTTGATCCGTTTATGTTAATTTATATTATAGAGCACTGTGTCTATGGAACTCTGTAACGTACTAAAGTAATATTTCATACTGATTTCATATATGAGATGATTACAATGAAGTACTATATACCAGTATGAATTTTAATATGAAGAAAACAAACTTCAAGAAAGTTGAATTTATGATAGGAATATCATGAAAGTTTATGTGTTTAATATTTATGTGACTTGATGTCAATCAATTTGGATGAAATTTTTCATATTGTAAATAATTTTTCATATGCTCATTGTAAGGCACTAACAAAGCAAAAAGTCTATCCATTAACTATTTGAACTTTAGGTGCCGTAATTGAAGGCATATATATGCCATCATTTAAGATCCAAGCGAATATTCACGAGTTGTGTTACATATCTTTCCTTGAGAGTAAAAAAAAAATCATGAAAAAATATGATTTTTACTCACAGTTAAATTACTAGTGAAACACTGATGCGAGCTTATTAGGTAATTGCTAAGTGCAACCTCTTGTACATGTTAAATACTACCAGTCCTGAGATTGATAAATTATTAATTAACTTTCTAAAAATAGTTCATTTAACTACTTAATATATAGACCAGGATGTTTTAATAAATATGTTGAGAATAGTTTCAAATCACATCTTTTAAAAGTTTTATTATTTTGATACTGGCGTTTATCAAAATCATACCATATATAGATATTTTGTGTTTTATTAATCTGTTCATTTCTCTAGAAGATAGTACTGTTGAAGTTATTTACAATAATAGTCTGTTATATTGTACAAAAGGTTACATTTACACTGATAATATTTCCATTTAAAGTTGTGATGAACTGGCATTACATTACTCATGCTGTTTGAAGTTTCTGGCAAATATTGACTCATTCATGCATAAATTACTCATAGATTTATATTTTGGACATGTATTTTGACATTTTATTATGGAAAACACTCCTATTTATGAGCTGTATACAATATGATTATTTGTCAGAATCATTGATGTCTCATTCAGCAGAATATGATTTCTTTAAGATATATAGTATCATTTGTATTTAATAAGCTAATAAGTTGGAAATATTCTATGATTTTTGACGTTGGTATGGTGAATGTCATGTTAATCTTATGAACAAGAGGTTGCTAAGTAGCACTTATGTCTGACAATTTGTCAATTTTTCGTCTAGATTAATTGACTCCTTGTCAGTAAATTTATGCTTTCTTTGTATTAAAATAGATCAAAGGTCAAAGTCATGGGAACCATGTCAAAAGGATTGAGTTTTATGACTCTAAAATTCTGTTCTGGTTCTTTTTGGTATATACATGTAACAAGGCTTGTTATGGCACCGTTGTTTCTACTGAATAATAATTAAAGGATATGTAAATAGTTTTTTTCCTATTAATAAGATGCATATTGCAAATGATAGACAAAAGTTCATTAAAATATAGCTTGAAGTGTTATTTTGTCTAAGATAGTCAGAAACAGAGATGTTTGTGACAATTATAAGTTAATATCATCGTGTAAGTTGACATCAAGCATTCCCTATGATCAATATCAGTATCTATATTTCTGTTGACCAAGGCCATAGAGAGGAATGTCATAATCTATTAACATATAGACAAGTTTCACCAGAGTATGTTTCAATGCCAGCGGGAATAATCCTCACTTCAGAAATTATGAATTGGATTAGACAATATTTACCTATTGGTATACAGAAGCAGTCTAATCCCTTAACCTTTGATGCTTTGGTGAATTTCTAGTCCACTATTTCATGAAGATTGCTACTTTTCTCACCTGGAAAAGGATTGATATTTTTGGGACTCCTGTATTTATTTCAGTGAGGACATCCATAACATATCTAGAAGAGTTTATTCCAGTTCTGAAACAAATCTATGCATTTTAACTTTCCTTCTTAAAAATGAGAACAAGATAGAAGATCAATCAGTTTAATATATTTGAGTTGTGGTTTTTAAAATAAATGGTATGAATTTACGTCTTTTGCCTCTATGAGTATTTCCAACTATTTCTTGAGGATACCAATTTGTTGACGTTGCAAGCTGGAAATGGTTACTCTCTACAAATGATAATGAATCCCATATAAGGTTGGACTTGCTTGCATGAAGATAAACTAATGTCATATAACCATGTTAGTTGTAAACAAATGACAAAACAAGGTTTCAGGCACATGTTATCTTGTCATCCTAATATACACACAACTTATGACGCATGTGTGATTTATGTTGTATAAACAAACTTTTGAAAAAATAAATTTTAACTAATTTTTTGCAGCTCTAGAGATTTCAGTGTTGATGTACATTATGTTTGATGTGGTGTTCCTTTTGCTGAAAAGCATTGAACTTTTGTTTTTTGGGGTTTTTTTTGTTCTCAGTAATTAAGGTGAAAATAGACCCAAGAATTTATGTAAAATAAAAATTAGAAGCAAAATCTTTTGGAATGATCAGGATTTTTAGAGCATTTACATGGGATGGAACAATAATCAAACTATTTGAACATGTAATACATGTTTTAATTTTTTATTTCCACACACATTTCCTTTCTTTTGGTTTGAATCTCTTTCATGACAGAGTGGGAATTCTTGCATAGCAGACTGGCGTTTCCGTGAGTTTTACCCATGCCGGAAATTTCATCTGGCATGGGGGGTGCCAGATGAGTCGCGTGCCAAACAACAACGTCATTTTAGCGCACTTTATGGATGAACCGTGTTAAAATGACGTCGTTTTAGAAGGGAAATATGTGCTAAAGATGACGTCATTTCGCCGTTGTTATTTAAGTTGTAAATTCATACATTATTGTTAGAAAATAGTTACGGATGAAATGTCTTTAATTTCCATGAACATATATCATATTGAGGTTAACCATTTTAAATATGAAATAATATGGCAGAATATGCAAGAAAAAATATCTAACATATGTTTGCGGTTTGGATCGGAATATCTGTCCCTTGGGAACCCGCCCATGGGCGGTCACTCGGGACGGATATTCCGGTCCGAACCGCAACATATGACAGATATTATAACTCTCCACTGCTTCCACCATTTACTATGGGTTGTAGTTCACTTCTCATCTAGGTAAAGAAACAAGAGGTTCACCTGCTTTGCTAAATAGGGAAATTATCGGATTTGTTGTCTAGGGGTTACTTGACTGTTTCTTTGGCAAGGCAAAATTTTTGTGTGACAATTGACCGTTGACAACAGCACACAAATAAACAAACACACTGAAAAAAGATTAGGGGCATCTGACATTTGAGAGTCTTTCCACATAGTATATAGCTGGAAAGATGACATATGAGCCCATAAGAGTCTCTTTAAGAATATTAAATCAAGTAAAAAGAAAATTATGTATAATGATGTTTTCTATTTGCAGAGGGCATTCCAAATGTGTATTATTTCGGACCATGTGGCAAGTACAATGCTCTGGTACTTGAGTTACTTGGACCGAGTCTTGAGGATCTGTTTGATCTATGTGATAGAAAGTTCTCCCTCAAAACAGTTCTCATGCTTGCTGTACAAATGGTGAGTATAACAAAATTGTACATTTAACATACTCTTAATCATGATTAAAACATTTATAATCACATGTTGGATCTTCCTAAAGAATGAAGAAAAAGATTGATTTTTTGTTAGAGGTAATGTGCCTTTAAATCTCATATGGTGCAACAAATTTAAGTAAGTTACCCCTAATTAATCAAAGATATCAGTACTGTAAGATACATGAAATAAAAGGTCATGAAAATAAGAAATGGTCTCATTAAGTATTTATCATTAAAAAATGAAATCTGTAGTAGATGACCATGTTAGTTGTTCATGTTAATTTTTAATGAAAATAACTTGACAAGGGTGTCATTCGTTGATGAAATGTTATATTCCAAAACAAATCTTTGTATCATTGTAAATTATCTTGAAACAAACCAAAGTTAGAATGTGATGTTGTTAATATAGTATGATGACCTAATAAAGTCATTGACTGACATGATCTATGTTGGAATGTATTTTCGACAATAAGACATGATATTTCTACCTTGACATACAAACAAACATTGACACCAGGTGATTTTCCTGAAATATTTAGGCTTATCTTGAGGCATGCAGCTTTAAAAAGAAACTCAAGGTTAATAAAGAAAATTGAAAACAAAGAATACCAAGGCTAATTGGATGCACACCATTTGTACGAAAAAATACTTTTTCAAGTTGTTAAGGATATTTGAGATATTTGTAACTACTTGCATCGGTATCACTTTTGTATCAATAGGGATTATAGTTTCATTGATGCTGAAAATACATGATTATATTTCCTATAAGTTTTTGCAATGATATTTACCCGAGTCATCTGGCCGCAAGGTCATCCATGAATATCACAATCTGCTTTGTAAGTTTTTATTATACCACTTCAAACTTGACTGTTCATAATTTGTTGAAATAGTCTAGCAAGTAAATTAGCATCATAGGTGTTTGTATTGGAAGTGGTCAATAATTCTACTCAATCAAATCTAGTCTCTTGTATATAATTATACATGTATATATATCATATATGTGAGTGTGAGAGAGAAATCAATGTCTTGTCATGCAATTCAGAGAAGGCGTCCAATTCCCCTTACAATCTGGTCAATTTAATCAGGCATAAAAATGCCAATAAATATTTAGTGTTTGATTACTTGACACTAAGGACAGGAATGGTTTACATATCGCCAGGGACTACTACATGTAGATGTCTGATTTCTGAGCATAATAATTTTGTACCATGGGTATTTTAATAGGCCAGAGTTAATATAGGGTCATAAAGAGCTTGCTCAGTATATCTATTGTAATGCATTCTTTGAATGGATTATATATTACCTTCCTTACAGTGGCTTATCTTTCCTTTTAAGAAATGTTTTCAATCAGCTGCTAGTTGTATTATTTTGAGTAACACTGACTCTGTAATGGAGGCTATAGCGATTTTCTAGCTTTACTGGGGGATAGAGACGACCTCATTGCCCCTCCATGATTTATTCCAGGCACGGGTTGGGCACCTGAGTAGAACCACAGACATTCTGTAAACTAGCTGAATGTACTCCTCTCATGATAGAATCAAAAGGTTTGTTGCAGGATTTTAACAAATAAGGGCCACAACGTTGACGGAAAAGTAATGAATAGGGGTTAGTAAGGATTTTGAATGTATAATTAGTAATGCTTTAACATTATTTACTATGCTCCATTTCAGCTTCATCGCATGGAATATATACACTCCAAGCATTTAATATACAGAGATGTTAAACCTGAAAATTTTCTAATTGGTCGAAATTCCACACGGAAACAGCATATCATTCATGTGATAGACTTTGGTTTGGCGAAAGAATATATTGATCCAGAAACACATAAACACATCCCATATCGGGAACACAAAAGTCTGACAGGCACTGCCAGATATATGAGCATAAATACACATCTCGGGAAAGGTATATCTTCTTATTTGATTATTCATAAAATTATTTCTTTTAAATCAATATATGAATTAACATCACATCCCTTTAGAAAATGCCATTGACCTACAAAATTAATAGTCTTCATTATTTTTCCCAGCAAATTAAACACATTCATTAGATGTTAGTAGCCTTAAGAAATGATGAAATTCTTTTCCTTGTTTTGAAATAAATTAAAACCTGGTTGTTAGATAGAGGAAATACTTCAGGGTGATAAAAAAGGAAATGCCAGTACTGTAAATTCAGTTGCTATGATATTAATTTTGTGCAATTTTCAAAATGAGTTTAATAAGAAATCTGATAATGAAAATTGCATTAACTAAATTAATTGAGTTTTGTTGATGTAAATGTTAATTAGAAGTTACATGAAAGGAAAGTATGGTAGCATAAATTGTAAGCACAAAAAATAAGACATGAAAATCATTATGTACAGATACTTTAACTCTATCATGCTTTAAATTATTATAAACTGATATTTTTTAACTGTTATTGCAAATATTATTAGGGGTTTGTTAAGCATGATACAGTAAATACTGTAGTAACTTTCTACTCTATGTAAATAGAATTATGTTTGTGTAGTTTTAACATGATTTGATCAGTCATTTATATTCACACTTCAAACTGCTTATACTTTATTAAGTATGGACATATCATATATATAAGTTATTAACCTGTCTAGCTAAGCTAAGAGGTCAACATTCTTCATGTCTTTATGTTCAAGTTTGGACACGACACATTTTCCTCAATGGCTATTGTTGGCTTTAAATCATCATAAAATGTTGATATATAAAGCATCAGTATGTGATGAAACTGTGAAGTCAGTTTACAGATAATTAATTTACCAATCCTAGTATAAAAACAAATGACAAAATAAGGAAAACTGGATTTTCCAACTTGTTTGTCACTGATTGTGTCAATACAAGTATGAGTTCAGTCTTATATTTAAAGTTAGATTACTTGGATAAATCCCAAATTGTATTTTCTATTTTGATGTGGTTTCACTAATTGAAAATCAATATTAGCCTATTTTTACAACAAGGAAGTTTTATATACCCTATGGGATTGCATTATAATGTTTTTTTCCTCTTATTAAAGACTCAACAATTTTGGGCACAGATCATCTTCATAAAGCACATTTATTTTTTGCTGAAGCTTTCATCTATTTTTAGCCCAGATATTTTTTCAAAGAAAAAAAGAGAGTTATTGTTACCGTCAAGATCAAGTTAATGTAATTCTCTTGTTTTTCCTGTGACTGGCTATATAGCATTTTATTAATAACTTGATTAATTCATATATAGACACAACTTCCTAAGACCTGTATGTATTATAAACTCAAAATGACCTCGACTCATGTATGACCTTGACCTTGAAGGTCAAATTATTAAATTTTCACTCATTTTGCTATAACTGGCTGTAACTTTGTAATTAATGAAATATCTTCATACTAGGACAAAAAAACTTCTGACAAGTTTTTCTAACAGGTTGAACTGACCTTGACCGTCAAGGACAAATTACTAAATTTTGGCTAAGTTGTCATAATTTTGTTATTTATGTACCAATTTAATTTATATTAGGATGAAACACTTGTGAACAGACCTACATGTTGTTTAATTTAGATATGACTTTGACCTTTAAATGACCTTAAACCTCTTGGTCAAATGATTGTATTTTGCTTATATTTTCTTAACTTTGTCATTTATTTATGGAATTGATTCATTCTTGGACAAAACAATAAGTGTGTATAAGTACAGTATATTGTATATACTTTGTATATTTTGATTCAATTTCAAAATAAATTGGTTCACCACAATAAATTGAGAATTTTTCACATGCAAGACCCATGTTACTGTCAAAGGTCAAGATGGCTTCAGGATGGGATTAAACCTATTTTAAATCTTATATATTGTATTGAAGTTGTGGTTCATGTCTAGTTCATAACTTCTGCATGTATAAATTTATTTTGAAAAAGATGATACATATAATTGAGATGCAGCTTTATTATAGAAAAGAATTTTTATATTTCATTTGGTTATTTTACTGGCTTGTGTGTTGTATGTATTCAAATACATTTAATTTAAAATTTGATGCTCTCTCTTGGTAAATTTTTAATATTATGCAGTATATTTTGAGTTTTTTAAAATTTATATACTTGTGTGTTACAGAACAAAGTCGCAGGGATGACCTCGAGGCCCTGGGTCACATGTTCATGTACTTCCTGCGGGGGAGCTTACCCTGGCAAGGTCTAAAAGCCGACACACTCAAAGAAAGATACCAAAAAATAGGCGACACTAAAAGGGCAACTCCAATAGAAGTCCTTTGTGAAAACTTTCCAGGTATGATTATACGTATTTTTAGATTAAACATATTCCATATTATACATATATTATTCAGAATATTTTATTAATGATGATAATAAATGAATGGTAATAATAATAAAAACTTGTAAAAAAATTATTTTTGTGTAGATTTAGGATTCCCTATATTATAGAGAATTATGTTTTCAATTTATCTCAAGAATTCACATAATTTTTGTTCACTTATTTATAGAGGAACTATCAAAGTACCTACAGTATGTGCGGCGACTAGATTTTTTCGAGACTCCAGATTACGATTATCTCCGAAAGTTATTTATGGATCTGATGGAGAAGATGAACATTGAATGTGACTGGGAATTTGACTGGGTCGGACGCCAGGTAGTAAGTAGTGTACACCTGACGGTTAAACGCATGTGTACGCTCTTTTTAATTGCTTCGCTTATTTGATTATCCTAGTATATGAAATCTTTTAAATTTTGTTAGCTGAATGAATCTTTATATATATTTTTTTATTCCATATGGTTGAATGAGTTTATAGCTGATGTAATAATTTGTGTCATCATTATTTGTTGGCAATGATTTTTTTCTGTATGATCGATGAATGATTATCTTTTTTGTTGAAAGGAGAAATTTCCATTATGAGAGAAACCACAAACTAATGTTTGTAGGTGGTACTATATTTATAAATTTTATACATTAAGTATTATATAGACCACAACATAAAATGATGCTGGTGTAAGAAAATCTACAAGTTATAAAAGATCATACTGAAAATCTACATTTTTTATCATAATATCTTAGAATATCTTCAATCTTATTATATCAACTCTCAAAAATCTATGGTATAAACATGAAAAACTCTATGATTTTGGCAATGTAAATGTAAAAATCTGTGGGTAAAAACATGTAAAAATCTATGATTTGGCTGTAAAAATGTAAAAATCTGTGGTATCAACTGTAAAAATCTATGAATGGCTAGGAAAATGTTAAAATTAATGGTATGAACTTGTAGAAATCTATGATTTGGCTAGGTAAATGTTAAAATCTAAGGTTATAAATGTCAAAATCTATGATTTGGCTAGGTAAATGTTAAAATCTAAGGTTATAAATGTCAAAATCTATGATTTGGCTAGGTAAATGTTAAAATCTAAGGTTAGAAATGTCAAAATCTATGATTTGGCTAGGTAAATGTTAAAATCTAAGGTTATAAATGTCAAAATCTATGATTTGGCTAGGAAAATGTAAAAACGATGGTATGAAGATACACAGTGAATGAAAATCAATGTACAAATATATGAGGATTAGTTATATTCTGTTAAATAGTATGACAGTTGATACAGGGATTACTGATAATGAATAATCAGCTTTGGTTTTAACTGTAAGGCATGTTGAGATTTGTAAATCATACAAGTGATTAAGATTACCAACCGTAACTCTCAGAGGGTATAGGTCTAGTTTATCTGTATTGATATCCTATATTCACATACTTGTTTTATAATCAGCCCTACTTTTCAAACCTGCATGATGTTTATATTTATTCAGTGTGTTATTATTGACTATTATTATCATTATATAATAAAGAGACTCATTTTATAATTAAGTAATGGTTTACCATGCTGTAATAATAACCTTGTAGTTTTCCAAAATTAGATTAATTGGGGAAAAATAATTGATTTACTGACTTTATAATATTATGATATCAGTATAAGTTTATACGTTGGATTCTGTTTGCTTTTTAACAATCAATTAAGTTATCCTCACCCCAGGCTAAATCAGGAAGGCATATATTTTTTGGTTTGTCTGTTTGGAAATTTTAACTCTGAATCATTACACGAAAGTCCTTCAGAAAACAGCCTCTAAATTTCACAGATGAATGCACATTGATTAACTTTACTCATTGTTAATCATGAAAAACAGTTACTATATTCATTATTATTATTGTTTTCATATACCGGTATACGAAATTTATTGAACTTTCAATCCTATTTGTATTATCATATCTTTCTTTTATTTTCACTACACCATTATTTAGCAACAGTATTGTTTTCTAAATTGGCTGCAAAACTACATATAATGATGCATTTAAAATTCTTTTTGCTGGCTAACAATAAATGTATACTTTCAGCTTTTAAACACTGCATTTCATGTTATGCATGCTTTAAGCTTGTAATGCTTGATGAAAAAACCAGCTTATGAATCTATATTAGGGGTCATTTCATCATTTGCATAATTTACAATTATCATGATTTAAGGGGGTGGTCTCAATATTAGTATAGGTTATGATGATGACAATTTATGGGTGTGATTTAATATAAATATAGCTTATGACTATCATAATATAATGGGCTGTCTCAAGATTGTTAGGGGTAGTCTCAGCGGTTGCATTTCACTTGTTCTTCAGTCATGTTACGTTGTTACTGCACTTATGTTATTATTATGAAAGATTTAAACTTAACACATGTAGATCATCAGGAAGGAAATGTTACATTTTTTGACAGTTGGTTGTTATGGTAACAAGCAAGAAAATTGGTTTCGCTGTTTGTGAATCTTTATCTTGCTTTAATTCGATAATTTCTCTTTTTATAAGATGCTTTTGAACTTTTGTGTGTGTGTGTGTGAGTTCCGAGTGGTAATCAGATAGTTTATATTTCTCCTTCCTCTAGCCAACACCAGTATCAAATCGTGATCAGGACACGACTGTTTCCCCACATCGAGATAATCAGAACATGAGAGAACGACATGCAACTAATGCAAAGGTATGTCTTCTTGCATGTGTCAGTCCTAATGTCTTGGCTGATATCTACCAAATAGCTGCTCAAGCAATGTCGATACAAATTGGAGACATTTCATTTTGAGATTTACAATCTCTGTTTTAGTTAAATAACACTATTAAATTGCTGTCATAAGCAAGAAAAACTTTCATGACTGCAGTACTTGGTGAAAAAATAGAAATACAAGATTTTCTATCTTGTTTAGCACATTCATGAGTTATTTACTGATGAAGTGCCATGATTTGGTGATGTAATAGCAAGACTTTAGGACCATCCTTCGCATGTAACTGTATTAATGCTTTTATAAATTGTGCAATATTGGTCTAAAACATAAATCCATACATTTAAAACAAAGTTGTGTCCTTTAATTCTTTGTTTTGATAGAATGATTTTGTTGTTTAATCAAATATTGTAATTAGACCAGTTTATTGCACAATTTCACTCAGCTACCAGCTTTTTACCAGGTTTCTGGTTAAAGACGATTTTGTTGCAGCCTGGACTTGCTTAAGTTCAGATTTACTTTGGTGCAAATTTTATTTGGCAGTTTTGAATATTGGTGTATTCCAACACTTAACTTATGCAACTTAGCAACCTCTTGGCAAAATATTTATCCCTATTTTTTTTCCTTTTATAACTGCTAGATTAACTGTTCTTAAGTGGCATTTATTTGTTAAAAATATAAAAATGAAAAACATTTCAACATTGATTTCATGATTTTGTTTCTGTATTTTATGTTAAATGATATACTTGAAGTTAGTTTAGATCAATGGGACAATAAGAATAGATAAACTAGCAGTTATGCAGGTATTTACTGCTGTGTGTTTGCATGGTGAAACTACGCTATAGATGAGGCAGATGCTTTTTCTCTATGCTAGAATATAAAAAGTCTCGGGTTTTATGTATCTCATTATATCTATGATAATTGCACAGTTTTATCCATTAATCTGCTAAAATAGAAAAATGATAAGTCTTTGCCACCAATATAGAGCCAGGCCAGCCTGTCTTATAAGCCTTTGCCACCAGTATAGAGCCAAGCCAGCCTGTCTTATAAGTCTTTGCCACCAGTAGAGAGCCAGGCCAGCCTGTCTTATAAGCCTTTGCCACCAGTATAGAGCCAGGCCAGCCTGTCTTATAAGTCTTTGCCACCAGTATAGAGCCAGGCCAGCCTGTCTTATAAGCCTTTGCCACCAGTATAGAGCCAGGCCAGCCTGTCTTATAAGTCTTTGCCACCAGTATAGAGCCAGGCCAGCCTGTCTTATAAGCCTTTGCCACCAGTATAGAGCAAGCCAGCCTGTCTTCCACTATAGAAAAAGGCCAGCCTGTGTTACAAGCCTTTGCCACCAGTATAGAGCCAGGCCAGCCTGTCTTTTAAGTCTTTGCCACCAGTAGAGAGCCAGGCCAGTCTGTCTTATAACCCTTTGCCACCAGTATAGAGCCAGGCCAGCCTGTCGTACAAGCTTTTGCCACCAGTATAGAGCCAGGCCAGCCTACTTTTAAAATTTAAAGCACAGCAAGTTGATTACTTTAAGGGTACAGTTGGTAATTTGTATTCTTTGTCCATGTTGCTGTTTTCTCTGTGGAATTCTTCATTTATTGATGGAGCATTCCATGTCCATGGAATGACAAATATATTGCACAAATACAACAGGGAAAATGTTAATTAATTTAAGTGATGAGTAAGCAGTTTTGTACATCCCAATAAACTGTATACTTATTACCATCACTTAAATTTCTGGCGAGAAATATTTTATTGTAAAGCAATTCTGTTATATGTAAGTTCCAAAATGTTATGAATTTATATTAGATATGTTAATATCTAGATTTAGTGAGACATATAAAACCCAACTAAAGTTATGATAAGTCAGGTAATATATCTATAATATATATATACCTATTTAATTTCAGACCTTTGAAAGAAAAAAAGTCACATAAAAAATTATTCTGTATTGTTTCTTCAGTTTTCAGCCTGTTCTTTTCAGCAACCTGCTTATGTTCTATGAATTTTGTATTGACGTGTTTGTGTATGTATGTATGTTTATTCTTTGTGACGTCTTTGTGTTGCGAGTGAGTTGGGAGAGAGAGAGAAAGATAGAAGGTAAATTACATAATTATCACACAAAAATGAGGTATTTTCATCGATATTTTTCTACAAATCTTGTACCTAAATTGTTTAATTTTGAAAAAATAAATGTAGGGATGTATAGCTCTATGTCATAGCAAGTAAGAATTTAAACATATGTATGGTGTTACATTATATGAAAAGTCATGTAGAAATAAAGTAACCATATATCACTAATCACCATGGGTATGGAGGATAATTTAGTTCTTCCTAGGAGTCGGACAAGATTCTGGTTTCCACGGTCCACATTAGTGCAGTTACTGGCTAAGGCTAGCACAAAGCATGTCTAGATATCTAAATCATAAAATGGGGTTGACATGAGTGAGAAAATTACAAAAAACAAACTTTGTAGAGTCGTCTGTAGCTGAGTGGTTAAGGTTGTTTACTTCAAACCACTTGCCCCTTACAGCTGTGGGTTCATATTGCACCAGTGACTTCGGATTCTCTCATGTGAGGAACCTGCTCAGGTGCCATTTTGTGCCTGAAATAATGCATACAGGGGCACCATAGGTTTTCCTCCTCCAGTAAAGCTGGAAAGTCACCAAATGACCTTTACAGAGTTTGTGTGTCATTAAACCCAACAACAAAATTTAAGCTCTCATATCTACATTATACATAAATATCTAGAGGATATTTTGATTATTAGAATTAATAAAGGTTTCTTTGAAAAATAAACATCTTCAAAAGAAGAAGCAAGGCTATATCTGTGTGAGAGAGAGGTGACCGCATGCAACTGAACAAGTCTCTGCTTCCTAAATGCATGTTACCTCCCCTTAGCATCACATTTATGTAAAAACCTCTTTAGCTTTGCATTCAGTAGTGCCTATCTTAGAATCATTGTCCACTGTGTATAACCTGAACTGCTTTCATCCCTGATCTTCTGCCTTCCTTAGTTTTCAGAGTTCACTTTTCACAAGGGTGTTTATTACCAGGAAATTTGATAACATTTCAAGAAATTTAAAATGTCAGTACTTCAGTCTTCTCATGATAAACAGTTCATTCTGTTATTGTTTGCTACTTGTTCATCTATATTGTTGTTAAATATTGGATGTAAACATCTGAAGTTGTCAAAGCTAAATATACTTCTGGTTGTAAACAACTAAAGTTGCTATTCTTAATATAGTTTTGGTTGTAAACAAACTATGGTGACAAAACAAAGCTAAATATAGTTTAATTAAAAAGAAATGCTCTTTAACAAATTTACTTCCTCAGCATGACATTCCATTATCTTTAAATGTCGTAGTATTAAAATGATTGTATAAAATAATAAATGGGCTACACGGATGATTTTATTATAGAACATGTGTTATTGTGAAATTCATCCTTAAACATAAAGCCTGCTAGCTTTATTGGTAAATGGTTATTGAGCCTTCATTATTTAATGACATGTTCTTTAAGAGGTGTTGGATTTCCATGGTTTCTTGGATACTATTCGTATTTCGGTTGTATAAGAAGTGTTTCTCTTATTTTCCTGTCAATTTAATAATGCTTGAACTTTGCTAAGTAACTATAGCAACCAACTTGTTCACTTTTATTCATCTGGACTGTTATTTGAGCATATGAATGCATGAATGATATCATAATTTAATACTTTATAAAATGAAAGGTTTTTTTGAGCTTGATAATGAAATGAATTAAATTCATTTGCATGTAGTTTTAAAGTTTAAACTAATTTTAGCAGAACCTCCAAGAATAATTTCAAGTTATTAAAAAGTTAGTTCTTTATCTTGAGTGTAAAAATCATAATGACATTTAAGAATTTCTTTTAAGATGTAGTCACTACATTTCAAAGACATTTGAAATTGAGCACTTATCTTTATTCAATTTATTTGAAGTTCTAATTAAAGAAATTGCAACTATTTTAAGTATGTTAAACAGTATTTAATCTGACCACATCATGAATAGGGATGGTAGCAAGTAACTGGAAATTGAGTGTCAAAAAGTCAAAGATTTTCCAGTTTAAAATATTACAACTCTAGCATGGATTTTGACAGAATTACGGTCCTTTGGCAATTTTGTTTAAACTTTGCATGCAACAGCATTCTTCAAAAATACTGAAGGTATTAAGTTCGAAACTTATTACATGTATTTGTGGTCATTATTGAAGATCACTTACCAAGACCCATAACTCTTGACATTGACTTTTTACTGAATTATGACCCTTTGTGAACATTTAAGATAATTTTGGCCAAATCCAAGACTAATTACTATGTCATTTTCTTTTTCTTTTGATGAAATATTTTTGTTACATCATTATCTATGCATTTGGTTACTGTCAAGCTTTGAGAAAAGTCTAGCCTGCTGTCATACTGACAGCTCTTGTTATACAAGTATATTCAAGGTTCATTTGTTGCATTTATAGTACTAATCAATTCTGCGTATCAAAGAAAAAAGATAATGAATGTGTATCCAAGACAGTGTCTTTTGTCCTAAGGAAGCCTTCAAGTTACCCAAGTACTGGTTTGATTAAATGATCAGTGTACTGTCTTACTGTAGTTGGTTCTTGTTGCCATCTCTAATCATAAACCATATTTTCATGTTAAAATTTACCTACAAATAGATAAAATCTTCCTGAAATATTCTGAAAACCAGTGATTATGACAGGTCTAGCTTTACTTAGTATTGATAAATAAACACCTTTAAAGTCTTGGAGTGTTCGAACCTGTTCAGACTCTACAGTTGTTCCCTGCTTGATTTTATGTTATTTTGCTATTGAATTCATGTAAAATAACAAAAAATTTTTTTCAAATTCAAAGCTTTACAAAGGTTAAACTTAACTCAAAGAGTGGTTTTTAAAATGCCAAAATCATAAATATCTCAACTGAAAAAAAATCAGTTTAGTTTACATTTAGTTCGTTACCCTGCAACTGTAATGCATAACTACTTGTGCTAGAAATTTGTTATTAGATTATTCTCGGAAAGGGAAGGCAATGAATTAAGATCCTTGAAATTTTAAGAACTGTAATAAAAGACTATGGACTTAAGCACTTTATATATCAAATAAAATGTTTTGGCTTTACAGATTAATAGGGATAATTGTTGTTCGTACCACTATGTTACATGCTATCATTGTTATAGTGACTTATTACTGGCAGTTAATGGTTTCATAACAGGAATTTAAATTATCTAATCCATTCTCACATCAAAAATGAATTTTCGTTGATCAAATTCAAACAAATTATTACCTGTACAAACCTGAACTTTTTAATCAAAAGTGCTCTCCAGTTTAACAATGAAAATTGTATAGACACTGAAGGGTAAATAGTATGATTTTTACTGCGGTGGCATAAACTTACATAACTTTTTGTATTTTTGAGGCTCAAAAACAGGATTTACATTTCCTTGTTAAAAACTCTCTGTTAAAAAAACAGATAATATGTCAGAATTGGATGCAAAAATGATCATTTTAAGAAAATTACAGCTAAAACAAATTTTCTTTTGCTTAATGTCAGCCATTGTAAAATATTGCTTGCTTTCAACTATAAACTGCAGTTTTGTTTTCAGGGAAGCTCAAATCAGCGTGGCATGGCGTGGTGTGAACCCACGCGGGGCCACGGTGGCAACTATTTGGGCTCAAACCTAGCCGCAGATAGACACGGTGGCTCTGTCCAGGTACGCATATGCCCACATTACATGTTGTGGTATCGATGCTAAAAACAAATCTTACATGATTTTATTATTATGATTTTACAAAAATGCTATCACACAAGCCAATATAATTTGTGTGGAATAATTAAGTTACAGAACTATTGTATAGATGAAATTGACTTATCAGAAATTTTATTAGATATCATATACTAAATGAATGTTGATTTAGGTCACCATCAATTCATGCCTCCATTTTGTTAATGAATTGTCATCATTGAGTAATCGGTCAAAACTCCTGTACTTTGTTATTGATAGAGTTAAAGCCCCTGAATAGTTCTAACTGTTTTAGCATATTAGTGGATGTAACACAGTCGCCATCAAGCATTTTACTCACTAGATGGTTCTCATGTCATTGCTGTAGACGCACATAGAATATAGATGCTACAAATTTTCATGACTTATATAATATTTTAATCAGTTAGTGAATTTTGCCTGCTATAATTATCAATAGATATTGTGAATTTGATACTGATTTACATGTGTTTATATATGTATATGTATCATTTGTTATTCTCATATCAAGCATCATGTTTTCAAAAAGTTTAGGCACACAATAATTTTTTCCTGCACGGTCATCTTAATGTTCTTACATTATATGTTATATATACGTGTATGTTTGTTAGCATAACGGTTTTCAATCATTCATTGTCATGATGTATGGACCTGTAGACAAAATGGTATTCAGAAAAAGTCTGCACATTATAAAAGCAACACATTCACTTCATTTCTGGTCATTTTACGTAAACAATCTTGGCCTGCTGCTGATTTTACCAATGTCAACAGTGCACACCTCCTTGCCATCTGGTTGTGCACTGGTTGCTGTTCTGTCAGTTTCGTCTAGACTGATGAATTAAAGATATTAATTGGGGTTAGGTGTTTCTTCAATAACTAAACTATCCTAAGTTTTATATAAAGTATCCATTGCTATAGTGAGGAGATACCTGTGGAGGCCATAATAGCCATCTTGTGTCATATTAGTGACCCTTGACAGCTTGATTGTTACCCATATAAATACCAATATATTATTGAACCTTGTTTCATTTAATATATCACCTTACTTTACCCCACCATAACCTGTTCTTCTGACATTAAAAAGATGAGGTACTTAATTCCATACCAGAATGTTTTGAAAATGAGAGAGAATGTTTGTAACTCGATAAGACTGTACTAGTATATGAAATACTGGTATAAGATTTTATATGGCATTTTCTTACATGATTTTATATGGGATACTCTGGTAGGACTTTATATGGAATTTCTTATAGGACTGTAAATGGAATTTTGTTATATGACTTTATATGGGATACTCTGGTAGGACTTTATATGGGATACTCTGGTAGGACTGTATATGGGATACTCTAACAGGACTGTATGAGGGAAAGAAGTGAGAGTGAGAGTTGTTTGGTATTTGTATCTTGAAATTATCAAATAATTAAATTCTTGATTTTCAGTAACAAATTGAAAATGAGTGGAATGCACAGAAAGATGAATCTGAATGTATTCATAAAAATTTTGTTTATTTCAGCTTGATTCTTTGAGAAAATTCCATTAAAAGAATACCTGCAGCACATGTTTTGATATTCTCTATTGAATAAAAAAAACAATAACAGTCTGGCTTTACAAACTTTATTTCGTACACGCAGAGTGATTTTGGAATACAACAGAATTAATATTAATCTAGACGAAAGTCTGCTTATATATTATATCAAATATTGTTGTATGTTACAGGCTGAGCTATGTGGAGAAATAGGGGACATTAAGAGTAGGTGTGATAAAAATGTGAAAGATTGTCTGTAAAAAATGCGTGTATATTGTTTCAGGTTGTCAGTTCACATAATGGAGAGCTAGCTCCAGATGACCCAACTGCTGGGGCATCTAATACACCGATCACAGCCCAACAAGAAGTGGAAGTCGTAGATGAGACAAAGTATGTACTTGTTGTTGTTGTTGTTGTTAATGTTTCTAATTATAATTGTATTATTTCAACATATGAGCCGTGCCACGACAAAACCAACATAATGGGTTTGCGACCAGCATGGATCCAGACCAGCCTGCGCATCCGCGCAGTCTGATCAGGATCCATGCTGTTCGCTGTCAGTTTCTCTACTTGTAATAGGGTTGATAAGCGAACAGTATGGATCCTGATCAGACTGCGCGGATGCGCAGGCTGGTCTGGATCCATGCTGGTCGCAAACCCATTATGTTGGTTTTGTCATGACACGGCTCATATGTGTTACTGTACAGACGTTGTTATATCTCTATTATATTAATTCTTACATTGGCTAAAATAAGTACAGATGGTGTCTGAGGAAAAAGTATTTGAGCCGCGTCATGACAAAACCAACATAGTGCATTTGCGACCAGCATGGATCCAGACCAGCCTCAGGATCCATGCTGTTCGCTATCAGTTTCTCTACTTGTAAAAGGGTTGGTAAGCGAACAGTATGGATCCTGATCAGACTGCACGCAGCGCAGGCTGGTCTGGATCCATGCCAGTCGCAAACCCATTATGTTGGTTTTGTTGTGACGCAGCTCATTTGTGTTTTCTGTTGTATGATTCAACTTTCCAATCAGGAAAGAAATATATATGTGTGTTTTCTTTATTTTGGTGCCTATGTGTTACATTATCAACAACTTCTTTCTAGTCGTTCAATTTGAAGAACAACTGTTATCAAAATCTTATTATCGGTTATTTATTTCTTTGCAAGTTTAGGAAATGTTGTCTCCATAGTGATTTCTGTCATGCACACATCAGTGACAGAATCTATTACTGTTTATTACTCATATTTCATATTTACAATTCAAACTCCTTGATACTGATAAAGCATAATACCAAGTTTAAATCAGGACAACACTTTAATGCACCACATTTCTAGCATATACATTGCTATTACATTATTATTCAAATCAATATCAATTTATGTGTGTAGTCATGAAACTATTAAAAAAAGTTGTTTTGAATGAGGCACTGCTTGCGTGGGAAGATAAATCAGATATGTATGTTAATAGAAATCCGTTATGACAGTATAAAACGCGGAAGTGGAAAACTTGAGATATATTTTATGTCTGTAGGGGATTAGTGAAATAATGGTGCCATCCGTCATTGATGCTGTCAATATGTCTTGTCTAGATATCATCCCTCTCTCTCTCTATGATTTATGATAGCATTGTTCCTTCACACTTGTTATAACTTATACTTCTCTATATCCTCAGGTGTGTTGTACTCAGTGTGAAGGTCATTTTCATAGTGTCAAGGTCACATACACTATGTAATGGCTTTGAAATCAATATGCATTAAGACTATAGATAACATTGAAAATATTTTTCCAAGCATAATTATGTCTAAGAGAATGAATCATGAGCAGGAAAAAATAACAAAGTCCGGGGATTAATAGTTCTTATAGTAAGTGTAGGGTTTTCCCTTTTGTATGCAGGTTTTCTGCATCCCTGATTCAGGTTAATTTTTTCCCCAGGACTGCCATTTTTCAACTGGGGAGGAACCCTAGAACCCCTAAAACTTACAAACCATTTTAAAATTTTGAGTCATTTACAGTTACTTGGATACTTTTGAATAGATAAGATTTTATTGTCTGTATTATTTAGGCATTTTCTATTAAAGATATCCATCCTACAAGCTCTACAGTTTGTACTTTCCTTGAAATATAAGTCTAGTACTAAAATGTATGAACAATTTAAGATTAGATTTAATGTTTTCAGTTGCTGAAATTAAGTTTCGATATGGGGACTCCTGTATTTGTGATTCCATTAGTATTATATTGAAATTCTAAAAAAAAGGGGTGGGGGGGGGAGAGAAAATTGTAGGATTACCTTCATTAAGCGTGACTGTAATAAAGCATTTTGTTTCTAGCTTTTATATATTTATTAAGCATGCAATATGCTTGCGAAATATTAATTACAAAGCAACATGCGCGTAAAAATAGAAAACTTCCTGGTTTAACCATAATACATAATTATATTACAACTCAGTGTTCATGTAGGACAGTTCTATATATCAATGTAATCAATTATTTATTGCTATATAGAAACTTGTTTACGTGTTCAGAGAAATAGGAAATAAAAACATTTGTGGAATAACAGCCAATTGAAGTTGTATGAAGATATGATACAGAACACTTCTTGTAAAATGTCATGCCTGTGGTATATAGAATATACATTAAGGAAGAAATCTCATATATACTATAGTATAATAGTATTATTGTTATATTTGTGGTAATTTTATCTAAAATGTTTTATATCACGCAAGATGTGTGGTGTAAATAGTTGGACATAAAATTAAAATCTTCGTATCAAATGTATCTTCATACAAATGAAAATAATATTTTATAAATGTTATTTTTAATACTTCTATATTCTATTCAAGGGCTGTTTTTGAATTGTATCAAGTATCAGTCCAATATTTCCCATATTGGACACTGTATTTTATCCTAGTTAGGATGATTGAGTGTTCTTGACCTTTTCACTTGTAATGCCAATGATATTACCTGTTAACAACAGAAGTATGAAAAGCATGATTTTGAAGAGCATGAAATTTCTTAAAGAAATATATCTAGTCAAACATTGCTTTTCCTCAGTATAATTTGAATATATAAAAAGTAAGTTTTTATACCCCCGCACAACAAAGTTGTAAGGGGGGTATACTGGAATCAGCTTGTCCGTCCGTCCGTCTGGCCGTCCGGCCGTCCGTCTGTTTTTTCTTGTCCGCCCAATAACTTAAGATTCCTTTGATCCTTAGTCTTCATATTTGGCATGGAGGTTAGTCATGATAAGTAGATGACCCCTATTGATTTTGAGGTCACTAGGTCAAAGGTCAAGGTCACAGTGGCCTTGACTTCAAAAAGCTTGTCCGCCCAATAACTTAAGATTCCTTTGACCCACAGTCTTCATATTTGGCATGGAGGCAAGTCGTGATTAGTAGATGGCCCCTATTGATTTTGAGGTCACCAGGTCAAAGGTCAAGGTCACAGGGGACTTGACTTCAAAAAGCTTGTCCGCCCAATAACTTAAGATTCCTTTGACCCATAGTCTTCATATTTGGCATGGAGGTTAGTCATGATTAGTAGATGACCCCTATTGATTTTTAGGTCAAAGGTCAAGGTCACAGGGGCCTTGACTTCAAAAAGCTTGTCCGCCCTATAACTTAAGATTCCTTTGACCCATAGTCTTCATATTTGGCATTGAGGTTAGTCATGATAAGTAAATGACCCCTATTGACTCTGAGGTCACCAGGTCAAAGGTCAAGGTCACAGGGGCATTGACTTCAAAAAGCTTGTCCGACCAATAACTTAAGATTCCTTTGACCCACAGTCTTCACATTTGGCATGGAGGCTAGTCATGATAAGTAGATGACCCTATTGACTTTGAGGTCACCAGGTCAGAGGTCAAGGTCACAGGGGCCTTGACTTCAAAAAGCTTGTCCCCAATAACTTAAGATTCCTTTGACCCACAGTCTTCATATTTTGGCATGGAGCTTAGTCATGATTAGTAGATGACCCCTAATGACTTTGAGGTCACCAGGTCAAAGGTCAAGGTCACAGGGGCCTTGACTTCAAAAAAGCTTGTCAGCCCTACAACTTAAGATTCCTTTGACCCACAGTCTTCATATTTGGCATGGAGGTTAGTCATGATTAGTAGATGACCCCTATTGATTTTGAGGTCACCAGGTCAAAGGTCAAGGTCACAGGGGCCTTGACTTTAAAAAGCTTGTCCGCCCAATAACTTAAGATTCCTATGACCCACAGTCTTCATATTTGGAATGGAGGTTAGTCATGATTAGTAGATGACCCCTTTTGATTTTGAGGTCACTGGATCAAAGGTCAAGGTCATAGGGACTTTGACTTCAAAAAGTTTGTCCACCCATTTACTTAAGATTCCTTTGACCCACAGTCTTCATATTTGGCATGTATGTTGATCATGACTAAGGTGACCCCTATTGATTTTGAGGTCACTGGGTCAAAGGTCAAGGTCACAGGGACCTTGACAAAAAAAAGCTTTTCTTCTCAATTGCTAAAGAATGTCCTGTCCGCAATGTATTGATTTTGACATTTTCACATTTGAAGCATGTAGAATACATAACTTAGCAATGCACTGGCTTAGTAACCTCAGATTTGGCAGGGAGGTTGTCCTTGAGCTCTAAATGGCCACTGTTGATTCTGACAAAGTGGTATGTGGGGGTATTCACGCCATGATAGTGGCAGTTCTAGTTTAGAGTTGATCTGTACAATATGGTTATATATTTGGATGAGTACATAAATGGAAACTTATTTGACAAGCTGCCATGCTATAATTATCTTATATTCTTTACAAAAAATATTTGGACAAAATATTAAAATTACTGTTTGCTACTTGTATATCTAAAAAGTCAATGTATAAAAAAGAAAAAATCAAAGGCAAAATATAGGCAACTCCGATGTGAAGATTTTTTTTCCTTCATATGGTTGGGGAGGGGGGTGAATTTAAGGGGCTGTAATTGTATGTCAAATTCTAGTAAGAGATAAGTGGTGACTAAGGTAAAAACATTTAAATGTGCATTGATTACATGCATCTATTTTGTAACAGCTGGTAAGTCTGTTGAAAATTGATAATATCTGGTAATTAGCCACTTGCGATATATGTCTTAACCTTGGAAAAAATCTGTTTATTTGTAAATTGTACATAGCAAATTTGTGGCTGGTTGCCTATATAATGCCATAAATTGTATACAAAATGTACATGACTGTCATGTTTTATATGTGCTTCATATGTATATATTTATTTATTGTTTTGTGTTTATATGATTTGTGACATTGATGCCAAATGAGGCCTTATGTTCGCCTTAATGTACATCAGTTCACTAGTGTTCTTGCACCTGGGAAAAGGTTTCACAAATCTGCAATAAAAAAAGATTTTTTTTTATATATCATGAACACATAAATTCTAATGCAAATCTCAGAAATATATTCATTTCTGAGCAAGTGTTATTCATTTTGTAACAACCTTTTTTTTCTTCTAAAAGAAAAAGTATGGAAAATGTGGTTAGAAATGTTAGTTTGAAACTAGTTTAGAGTGTAACTATGGAGACTGACTTGCAGTTTTGTCTGCTTCCAGGTGCTGCTTCTTCCGAAGGCGTAAGAAAAAGCGTGTAAGGCGGACTTGAGCATCAATATGACATTTCATCAGCACGTCTCGCCCCCCAGCGCCATCTATACTTATTTAAAGTTTCTGTGCACATGTCTTTCTTTCTGATAAGAAAAATACTATATGCTTTTTAGGCTTTAAGTGCTTTTAAAGCCATTCTATGTTGAAAAAACTTTTTTAAAAATACAAAGTGAAAATCATGACAAAATGATGTGGAACAGGGATCATGTGTTTAAAAAAGTGAATTATTGAATAAAAAGTGATAACACAGACTTCTTAGTGAGAAAAAAAAAAAGAAAAAAAAAAGTTCAAGTATTGTGAAAATGTGTTTGTAGTGAAATTTTAACTTGTTTCATTTTATATTGTGCTGGAAAAAAATAAATATGTGAACTTCTTTGTAAAAGAAGTATGTCCTTGATTGGACAGGTTTTAATCAGTTTTTGCAGCATGTTAAACTGAGGTTATTATGATATTTCTTCTGTTACTTCTTAAGATGTTGCTGCTTCCGACGTACAGTGAAGCGGACACGTCACAAAGAGAAGCGCAGGAAATGACGGCTAGGGTTTGGCCACGACTTGGATACAGCCCCTCTACATTCATCACCAGATGAGGATTCCTCACCACCAGTGTTCGGGACGCGTCTTGCTAATTTAGGATTTGCTAACCAGTCTTTTTTATGACAACAATATTGTCATAGATTATTCTACAAGAAGGAAAAAAATAAAGAAATTTTGCTTATTTTTAAAGCTTCTGGAAAACATAGATATAAAATGATAATAATACATACCCTTGGTTCAGTTGGCATGTTCTAAATAAAAAATAGTCACAAATAAAAAGGAAAATTATGCTAAGGCATTCATTAATTTTTCTACAAAATAATATGGATTGAACAATAGTAAAATCTTGTTGGAAAATCTGTGATTTATAGTGATTGTTACAGATGGACCCAAACCTTATGTATTTGAATTTATCAAATTTGTTAATATAGAATAGTACTGAATTTACACCTTGCATGATAGATGTGCTTTTTTGACTTCAGCTGGTATTGAAACTGGTTTAGTTTGAAAATTGATAGTCATTTTGAACATTTTACTGTAAAGTAGTGTTAAATTTTCATTATGTTTTTACTATTGAAGTGCTTTCTCAAACAACTATTGAAAATTTATTTTTGTTCCAGTTATTTAAGTTGTTTATATTAGTTTAGTTTTAGGCAATGACTTGGATTTTTATACATTTTGTGATAGAGAAAAAAAATGTGTCAATACTGTTTGAAAGTGAGAGAAATTAAATTTGAGTGCTGAGAAAAGGAAGGGAAAAAATTATAATTCACTAATTGTCAAGAAAAATGAAGACATTTTTACCAAGTTTCTTGTATATCACTGTATAGTTTTCAGTTTTCTCCATTGTAACAATTATAGATAAAAGTTTGTTTATTTTGATTCATAATATAAATATCAGATTTTTAGTTTATTACGGAAGGATAAAACATTTATTTTTAAGTTTTGTGTGTGTTTTTCTCTCTTTTTTTGTGCCATACTCTGCAGAAATATATTATGGAAATATGTTCAAAGTGCTACTTTCAAAAAGGAAAGGGTGTGAGTTGGATGCTGTAACATAAGTTTAGAAGAACTAATTACAAAAAAATATATATTACAACAAATATGTAACATTAGTTAAGAGAAACTATTGAAATTTCAAAAAAATAACAGCAATTGTTTCTGCATATATTGGACAGTTAGTTGAAAAGTCGTACTCCAGTAATTTTGAATTAAGATACAATTTCTTAGACTGAATGCTTGTATTTTTAAAGCATCAAGTAATCTGCAGTATTTATTTGATTTATCTATTATCAAAATATGGAACCCCTTGTAGGCCTGGATTATCCAAAATACTTAACAAATTGGGACTTAACAAGCATAATGTGGAAAGTATGTATTCAAATTGTGGCCAAACGTGGGACAACTGATTTTGTAGAGTAATAAAACATTGTCACATTCTCATATTTACACTTATCATATGCTTTAATCATTTCATTATGTATTGATGAACTGTTAATAATAGCAATATGAGTCACTGTCAATATTGAAAACTAAAATGGACATAACGAAAATATTTGCAGGAAAAAATAAAAATTTTGATGCTAGATAGGTAGTGGTTTTAATGTACTAACTGGATTTATATATAGATACATACATCAGAACACTAAATTCTTGATTTTCCACCACATGGAGGAAAATATTTTGTCCTCTGAATTGTTGTTTTTGTGTAGTTCTAGGAACTAATATAGGTTTGAATGAATTTTTCTAGATTTATTTCAGTAAGTTGTTGATGAATCCGAGTCAGTCAGTTGTTTGTATATCGATCTTCATTATTCTATGTATGTTTGTCAGAAATCATTATTATATAGATTCTGTAGATTTACTGAAATAAATATAGAAAATATGTCGGCTCTAATAAATGACACTACCTACAGCCTTTGATGTTCTAATGATGATGTTGTTTTTGCCCCATGCATTGTTGATATGATTACGATACTTGATGATTTAAAAGAAGACAAATTTTGATATCATAAAACAGTGTATTATATTCCATATTTATGTTGTACTTTTCTAATTGGATGAGTGTAGAGCAATGTTAGAAAATACAATAGGTTAAAAATGAATATTTTTAAAAGCTTGTTCAATATTTTACTATGTAAAACAGAATTTCCTATCAGAAATAGTTTATAACAGTTGAGGGTGTTGTTTACTTTTCTCAAGACTTGTAAAACTTGTTATGAAAGCATGGCAAAATTTAATAATCAAAATTCATTTTGTACAGTAAGTAGAAAATTTAGGACAATTTCTTACACTTTACAAAATAAAAGTAAGGTAGGGTTTGTTTATTTTTAGATTTCATATTTAGACAATCTTATCAAGTAAAATGCTTCAATCACCAATTTCACATTTCTTGACATTAAGGGAGGTAATAAGATGGTTACAATGACAAGATTACTTCTTGTCTAGGTAGTTCTACACTATAGTACAAACATTTAGAACAAATTTTGTGTAATTTAAAATTAAGTAGAGTTGTAAACATTATATGTATAATGCACAGTCTTGATGTTCCCCACTTCTATTATCATGTACTATATATGATATGTAAACAATATGTGTTGATTGATCACAGGGTTTGTTAGAATTAAGAAAAAAATAATTATTATATACAGTATACTTTTCCTAATCGAGCTACTTCAAAAAGTTTCAAATTATGCCAATTTTAAAGAACCAAATTGTGAATTAAAGGGCAAAAATTGGTCCACCACTCTCACGACCATTTCATTATTGAGACCTTTAACTATTAAATTATATAGACTGGAATAATATGGACAAGATTATTATTAGTTTTGTTTTTACTGTAATGTCAGGTCGGGATGTATTTACACAAACAATAAATCATCTAAATACTGTTTGTATACAAAATTTTGATATATTAGGGAGAGTGTCAACAGTCTACAATCAGTTGCGTCACTGTGACACTGACCTGTATATACCTGCCCATTTATATACACAATGTTACAGTGGTAGGCAAATAATGTTCATCTATGTACTGTTGTAATTGACAATGAAAAAAAACAAAAAACAAACAATGTGTGTAATCTTTAGTGTTATGTAGAGAGAGATAAATGATTGGGATCTAATGAGTGACCTCTCAGGGATGATATTGTACGTAACACACAGTAATTTACCCATGACCGAACCTGTGATCTGAATGTACAACTTTAATAATATATAAACCTTACAGTATCCATACAGTCTTACATTTTTCAGTTTTTTCTGAGATGGTTAACTTGCATGTGTCACATGACTATAGTTTTCTTAGGTAGAAAAGAAAATGATTAAAAATTCAGTATGAAATGTAAGTAAAAAAGGAATCACAGTAATGCTAAAAGTGTTTGTCCAAATTTGGTATAATCTATATAGAAGGCAAATATCCCATGTAAGGATTGGGTTTATTTTACCAATATTTGCATAAAATCTGTTAAAGAAAAGGACAGATATTCCATTGGCATTTTACTTTCTTTTTTCAAAGTGATGTACATTTCTTTCGAGTTTGTTTGCAAAAAAAAATCACAAACCTTTATAATCATTTTTATATGTATTTTACTTAATTTACTTGAAAATTTATTTGCTTCACAGAAAGCTATGGAAACAAATAAATAAGAATAAATATTGAAAAAAAATGTTTTATTTATTGTATTTTCTTTCTATGTGTTTATATTATATATTATATTATGAAAATATTTAGGAACAGTGTTTCCTAAGTGTGTGTAAATGTGCAAAATTAATAATATTTTTAATGTTTGGGCTTGTATTTTGAAATAAAAACAACATTAAATATTGTTAAAATGGGAGAGGAGGTTTAAAAATAATGAGAAGTGATTGGGTCATAAAACTTTATACTTGATTCATGTGATTGTTTGAGTGATGCATTTTGTTTTATGTTTGGTTTTTTTCTTCTCTTCTACTAAGTTTTCTTTTTTTAACACATCAAGATAGAGTGAAAATAGTAAATTGGTTATATTTGATATGTTAATATTTGTATATAAATGTTTCATTTATATTCATAAATGTATATACAGTGTAATATGTCTTTGTTTTAACATTTAAAAAAATGCTTTGAATGAATGAAACTTCTCACCAATAAACATTTTAAAAGTAAAATCTTGTTGTTGTTTTTGAGTAATAACATGGCAAATTGAGTAAGTTGGTCCTTGCATAGGCACCGACGATAATTGTGTGGTGTACACCAAGGGCCACATCAACCACACAATGTGTTTCATCCATACAGCTAGAAACATTCTGCTTCACTCAAATGCAGTCTTATTATAGCATTTACCATGCAAAGGGACAATAATGTGTCTCTGCTACCACTTAAAAACAACAAGGGGTGCATGCTTTTTGTTACCACATGGAGACACCCAATAAAAATATCTTGCTTTTAGGTTAGGGGCCGTCTCAAAATATTGCTAAATCAACATAGGGATGGGTAAAAATAGGGATTTAAAACACAAGCACCCCACCAGTAAATAAACTTTCTATGGCCGTTAAAATTCAAACTTGTGGAAATGGTTGAAGCAGGTGATCTTTTATCTTTACAGTAAAATTTTGTTTCATGCTACACAATTTCAGTTAAATCAATGGGAAGGTATGGTAAGTAAGGAGCAGGTAACTATTTGCCTAATTGTATACAATTTAACAGCCAAACTCTGGAAAGAATCAGCTGTGGATAGCAACATCAATACAATTTGTACAAGTTAAGGACAACATGTAGTGTATTGAGACAAATTATACAATGAATTCTGTAATAAAGTGATCCAAGGACTATCAAGTGCTTATGAAATGGTTGTGTGAGCGCCAGTAACGCACAAACACATAATGCTGTTGAAAAGCAGAGATCTTAACCATTATTTCACAACACCTCCATCTATTCTGACAGTATTGTACAAGATTAAACCAATTTTCCACTTAATATAGACATATCTAATCAATACATCACTGCTATAATACAACCTTTACAATGACAACTCTATGTGTGAAAACAACAAAAAATCAGTTAATTATGTTATTTAAATTTTATTTCTTTTTCTTTAATTGTTTATACAATGTTGAACATATACATCATATATAATAATAATAAATAGCTTTAACATATTTTGCATGACTGACTGACAAAGTTGGCATTGCCCTGTTAAAAATACAATTTTACAATTTTTTTTCTATAATGTATGAAATGCAAAGAATGAAATGTAAGAAATCAGGGTATCTTAAGACATGATCATTCACAATAACGTATATATATACAAGTTATGATTTCAATAATTTTTCTAGCTAAACTTTTCACTTGCATACAGGTGAGTGTCCTCATATCATAATGATTCAAAGTAGATTTCTTGTACTTATGAAGTTTTTTTTGTCTAATTTCCCTGTTACATATTGTTTACTTTTTGTATAAAGCAGGATATCTGGTAGCCTTTTAAAACAAGTAACATGTAATATTCAAACCGTTTGATTGTAAAGAAAATGGATTTCCTACATATGTTACTTTATATGAGATTGTCTTGAAACACATGTTACTCAGTGTTATTATATCTCATTTTTTTTGTATTTTGAGTGTACCGATTCCAATACATTTAGTACTGAAAATTGAATAATATCAAAGAGAGTGAAATACATTACACTCTCCATTTTCTCTCACTATCTTAATCAGCAAACTGGACTCTGTCATTTCCAGCTATTTGTTTTTATTATCCTAAAATGAGATCTCACCTATCGAGAAATGTTTTTCAGTCGGACATTAACAGTGACACATGCAGATGTTAAAACCAATGACTGTCAATGGTTTGTAGACAAGGAAAGTATTAACTGGCCTTGACTTGGGTAAAACTTTTAAGATGTTGAACTATCTAAGTTACTTAAATAACAAGAAAAGCGTTTTATAAAGGTTATATGATAGAGAATGTGTAACGATTAAAAATTGCACATGTAATAATACATCAAACAGATTCACCATGAATATGTTTCCTTAGTCCTCTATGTAGAATTAGAATGTTTGCATGTATCACAACTTCTCCTCCAGGCTGAGTCATTAAAGAAATTTTGCATTTATTTCAACAACTTCCCCTCCAGAGTGTCACCGCCTCATAGCATCAGCTCTGTTCATAGCTACAGGTTGAACTGATGTTTGAACCTCTTCTATAAAACTGTAAATAACAATATATACTGTCAATGTTTACTTTAATAAATACCAACCGTTATAAAGTAAAAAGATGTTGCCTAGTCATGTTGTTGAAATTTGCCACATATGATTAAATCAAATTTAAGTGCAGTGAAGTGCACAAATAGTCCTATCTTTAATGATATTTAAGTTAATTAAATTCTTAACAAAACTACATTGTGTAAATAAAAGGAACTTCACTGAGGTCCAAAAGCTTAAAAACATAAAATCTTAATTTCTTACAAACTTAAAACGGAAAGATATGCAAAAGATAATTAAGAAACATACACCGATATAAATTGAAAGTTATATCTTTTCTATTCTTAGCCTTATTTGAGTGAATAGCATTGCAATGCATTTCAATTTTGGGTCATTTTGTACAATTAGAATAATCAGTCTGAAAAAACAGAGTGAGTAAATGATCTGAAATTTTGCACACAAGTTATTGGTCTAGACCTCTATAAAACAGAACATTAATCTTAAAAAATTATTTCCAGTTCTGTCATGTTAAACAAGAGCACCGCTAGGCGGAGCATTATATGCCCTAAAGTGATTTTTTTTTTTTAGTAAAGATGAAGCATTTGTAAGACATGGGAATTAAATAAAGAATTACTTCCTTCAAATAACAATCCTCGTATGAAGTTTGAATATTGTGGTCCAAATGGAACTTAAGTTATGCCCAGGAAACTGTTTTCAGTTTAAAGGTAATAGTGACCTTGACCTTTGACCTTGTGACCCCAAAATCAATAGGGGTCTTCTACCTAATATGGACAATCATCCTATCAAGTTTGAATATTGTGGGCCAAATGGAACTTAAGTTATGCTCCAGAAACTGTTTTCAGTTTTAAAGTAACAGTGACCATGACCTTTGACCTTTTGACCCCAAAATCAATAGGGGTTTTCAACCCAATATGGACAATGATACTATTAAGTTTGAACACTGTGGGCCAAATGAAACTTAAGTTATGTTACGAAAATTGATTTCAGTTTGAAGGTAATAGTGAGTATTAGTGACCTTGACCTTGTAACCCCAAAACCGATAGGGGTCTTCTACCCAATATGGACAATCATCCTATGAAGTTTGAATATTGTGGGCCAAATGGAACTTAAATTATGCTCAAGAAACAGTTTTCAATTACTAAGAAATAGTGACCTTTGACTTTGTAACCCCAAAATCAGTAGGGGTCTTCTACCCAATATGAACACTCATCCTATGAAGTTTGAACACTGTGGGCCAAATGGAACTTAAGTTATGCTCCGGAAACTATTTTCAGTTTTAAAGTAATAGTGACCTTGACCTTTGACCTTGTCACCTCAAAATCAATAGGGGTCTTCTACCTAATATAGACAATCATCCTATGTAGATTGAACACTGTGGGCCAAATGGAACTCAAGTTATGCTCCGGAAACTGTTTTCAGTTTTAAGGTAGTAGTGACCTTGACCTTGTGATCCCAAAATCAATAGGGGTCTTCTACCTAATATGGACAATCATCCTATAAATTTTAAAATTTTTTTGGGGGCCAAAGGGAAACTTAAGTTATGCTCCGGAAAAAAAAATTCAAAGGAAGGGGGCCAGGGGTATAACAAATATGCCCTTTTCGGGCCCTTTAAAAAAAAGTCAGTGGAGTCTTTAATGATGCAAAGCTTTAAATTTTGAAGGGAAATTCAAATTTGTCCCCTTGAATTTAAAGTTTGAAAGGGAAAGTCACCTAATTTTAAACATGGTGTTCTTTTAAAAAACATGAAATTCAAACAAAACCCAAAATGGGGAAAACAACAGTAAAATAATCAATTATTGCTAGTACAAGCTGACCTGTCTTTAAGTTGTCCAGTACCCAGGTATGGATAAGCTGCCTCTCTTAATTTACCCTTTGTTAACTGGTCCAGTATTGCATGTAATAATGGTTTATGTTGGGTGTACACATTCTCAACTCCCTAAAAAATAATTTGACTTGTTTAAAAACATTTCAGTTTGCATACAATACCTGATTTTGAGAAAAATCTGTTGAAAGGATAGCTATGGTCATCACAAATTCACAATATATAACATACTATAAATGTATAAAACTATTAATGCTATTTATTTTAAGGCGCACATACAAATATGCATAGTATACATTTGAAAATTCTTGATAAAAGTTGGTTATTATACATAAAATATAATATTGCATCAAGATTTGGATATTAACTTACTTTTTTTTATATAAAACATGAGCTGTCAGAACATCACTCAACAATTCTCAGTGCTTAAAAGTAAAAAAAGAGCCTGGATGATGTAGAATTTTCTAGGTCGAGTATGATTCAGGTGTCCATTAATGCATTATTTCAGGCACAAATTGGCACCCGAGTAAAACCAACAACTTCCTATAGCTAACTGGAGAGCTTCTTCACATGAAAGAATCTAAAGTGCAAGGTGGGATTTGAACCCATATTTATAAGGGGCAAGTGGTTTTAAGTCAACAACCTTTATCTTAGAGATGGACCACCCTAAAAAATCTAACCAAAAATAACTTATTTCATTATGTACCTTAAGACCTTTAAGAAAACGTTTGGTAAATGCCACTGGGTCTGTGCTGCCAAATAAATCACTCCCTCTTGATTTACGTCCACCATACTCTATTATAGCTGACACCAACTTTAAAATTAAACATATATATAAACATTCATCTTCTTCTTGACAAAAATTGTATCATTATACAACATACATTTATTAGTAAATGTACCAGTAACTTATTATTAGTTGGTATGTTACTAGTTTATGTTGCTATTGAAACAATCCTATTGAAATCAGCTCCTTAATAACACTACACTTTCAGGATCCAACTAGAGGTGACCTTATCATGACTTTTCAATACTTCAATCAGTTTCTATTTTTAATGTTGAGAAACCATGTTTTTAAGATATCAAATTTAAATACCAATAATTACAGAATCTGATATTGATCAGAGAATATATTTAAAATATCTACTAATGTGTTTTTGTAACACAAAATTTATAACTTTTCATAGATGATTTTCATGGATGATTATGTTTTTGTAAAATGATTGTCTATAATGAATGATGTGATTTGTTGACTAAAAATAACTGTATTTGAAAATCTAAATCATATGTACATGTAAACATAAGAAAATTTTTGTACTTTATTGTCAGAATGCAATAGAAATACATGAGTATCCAACATGTATGTAATGTTACATACATGAACATATTTAACAATGCAGAATGAGTTAGAAGTACAGTTATGCTAATTGAAATAATTTCCACGTTATCAAGCTAAGATGACAAAAAAACATACTCCACTTTGTTTATCAATTGCACCTTGTCTTCGTAATGTTTCCACGAGACCTGATACGTCGTTATTGCTGTGTGTCTCGTAACGTAGGGCATATAACATCACAAGTCGTAATTTATCTTTCTTTGATACACTGTTGTTATGTAACAATGTTTTTATTTTCTGAAAATATACATTGATAGGGAAATACTGAAAACTGTCTAAATGAATAAATCCTTGAAAATTACAACCATGAAAATGAAAACGACAACTCATTAACTTGGTACAATTGGCAACCAATTATAATCATTATCTGACTAAGTATTACAACAATATTTCATAAAAATACTGTTTAATTTTGAAAAAATAGAACAAAATGATATTCATTCACTATCCAAGAGTTACACAGTTGACAAATTATTTCACTGATCAGTATATCATTGCATATCAAATGTTAGATCTATCAATTTCTTCCATACAACCTAAATATCTTTATTACTCAATAAGGAAATCTCAAGTCCATATTCTCATCTCACACAAATCCTAATTTTTGTAAGGCGATTGAATTGGTATTGAAAACTATGTATATAACATTTAATATGCTTGTGTTAAATCTTAAATAAAAATATCAAATTAAAATTGAATTTCCTCAGCTTTTATCAGAAAATAAAATAACCAATAATTTAGAGGTACATGTATAATACCTGTCTTTTATTAGAAAATAAAACAAAATAATAATTTAGAGGTATAATACCTGTAGTGAAGCAGTATGATCTCCCTTACAGACCAGCTCTTGTTCTGTCTCTGAAACTTCGAGCAAACTATTTGTGCCGACCAGTCGGGACAACTCACCTACCAGTGTCACATGTTTAGATACAGTTCCTGACATCTTTTTAAATTGTGGATAATTTTCAATGAAAGCCTGAAATGAGATTTTAAAATATATTTCTTATGATTAGATTTATTGCCAGTTTATCCCTTTGTCCAACTTCACTTTGTCTCCTCTGAGTTAGCACAGCATTGTTAAATATTACAGAGGGCAGTGAGATTACAAGAATATTTATTTTTGAAGATAGACATTAAGGCGAATAAAGCATTGCTACAGAGTTTCCATGGTGTTCTATTGCATTCTCTTGAAACTCACAAAACGCATCATCTGCATGCTCAGCCCTTTCAATGGTGATCAGATTAAGTCCACACTGTTACTTTCAACAAAATATCAGCATGGTTGAGACATGGTAAAATCTCAGGCAACGATGTGTAACCTACATGCAAGAGGCACAAAACAACCACAGCATTCCCACTGCAAGCTCTATGCTTTTAAGAAGAGGTCCTGTGATATTTTATAATATCTAACTGTGCTGTAGAGGCATCCTTATAGCAATTTGGCATTGCTTTTGAAAATATCAATTTGATTATTACACTATTGAATATGTTGTATATTTCCCTTTCATGTCCATACTAATATTAAATCATACCACTAACAAGACATAATAAGACTAGTAACTCAACAAAAACTTAAGATAAAAGTTGAAACTTCCTGTCAACAAGTCTAAGGGGTCTAGCTGGAACTTGTGTTCAGTATATAACAATTTCTCGACTACATACCTTCATATCGGCAATAGATTCAACTTTAGCTTGACTTTGAGATTTTTTCTGGAATTCATCCATCAACTCTTTTATGTTGTTACCAATCTCACCAAAGTTCATATACATATTCTGTAAGATAAACAATAGCTGAAAACATGATTCATGTAACACTTATATTATTCACTTGTATTCTTGTAAACAATGCCATTTTATATAACATATCAAACTTTATTACTATATTTTAAATACTGTCAAACTTCAAATAATATCTTTAGTATTTTGAATTAATTGAATTTTTAAAATAAATTTGTAAAATTTGTATGCATTGAATAAATTTGAGCTTTATATCATAACAATACAAAATAGCAAGTATTAATTACGGCAAAGCACTGTTTCAAACAACGTCAGATATTCTGTGTTTGCTACATCATGAAATATGAACATTCAGGGCTATTACTTTAGCCTCTTCCAAACTTAGCTTATAAGACTATATTGGATTGTCCTGTCCATTTTTAAAACATTATAAAACTAATTTTCCTTGGTTTTCTGTAAATCAAATTTTGTATTAAAATACTAAAATTAAGATGCCAACATTATAGGGCCTGGACAGAGTGAATGTAGGTACAGGCTGGTCTGGCAGTGTACTGGTGTCACAGACATTCTATTATAACAGACTTGTGCTGATAGAAGTCTGTAGTGTTATACTGCTGATATCCATTCACATTTCTATGTCAACTTACAACAAAATAAATACTGTACTTATCTTTGATTCATATATACAAAAACCAACAGCATCTTTTACATGGTAAATTTCATTATAGCATTTTAAAACACTAGAACATAATAAAATTTGTATTTTGTTTCTCCTGGTAGATGCACTTACATTAGCATAGAATTCATCATGTTCAGCTGACAGTACAACTTCTTGTAGATCTTTAGAGATGCCATGTACTTTAGACAGATTAACACGGTTATTGTTGATAGTGAGAAGCTCATGTACCATAGCCTGATATGTCCACTGTAAAAGAAAATATAATGTTACCTTAACAGAACTAACTTGAAAGGAAACATAATGAGCTCAGTAGGGAAAGTAGATTTCAGATTTTTATAAATTCTGGAAAAGGGAGATCACTTCATAGTAATATGAAACAAAAACAAATTGTGGAAAGTTCCCAAACTTTATTTATTAATTCTGCCCATGAGACATGCTTTTGTGGGGTGCTGGGATTTCCTGAGACAATATGGTTAGACACACTTTCAAAGGCCTGTTTGGAGTGCACTGTGACAATATGGTATGGTAATATGTCTTATGCCTATCATCCTTAACAATTGTGGATCCATGTAGAGAAGTTTGTAGTTATTTGTGGAAATACAGGATATTACTAGTGGAGAAACAAGGAAAACACGTTAAGTAACTGCCTACTGTTAAATGGCTTAAGACAAATGTACTGTGATTCTCACATATAGCAAACTCAAACACTCTCATTAGGTCCCACTTCTCCTTTATCTTGTACATGTATTAAAATCTTTGTTTATAGCATACTCACTTAAAGCATAAATATGGCTATAAGAAATCCCACAATAAAGTCCCAAACAACCATTTACCATTGCAGTTAGGATCTTTAGAGAAAACTGTAAAAATTTATTCCATTACTGCTGAGACAGGTTTTTACACCTTGACATATAGACATACACTGATACCTTTCTATCTACCCAATCATTGTGCCATGTAAGTTTGTCCTCTTTAACATTTACATGTATAAATTGTTTAAAAAAAACTTCTTATTTGGGTTATACCTGGTTTAACATTGGTGTAACAGCATCGTCTCTTCTATCCAGTATCAATAAAACAGGAGGGACGTCTGTCCGTCTGAACTCAAACAATCCTGCGTCTTTTGTTATAGTATTCTGTAATCAAATAAAAGTTTGTTCACAAATTATATACATGTAAATAAGTAAATTATGTACAGGAATATAATTAAATCGGTATTGGATGTTTGTATGTTTTAGAGTAGAACAGAAATACATTTCATAGAGATGTGCATTTTACACTCTTTTCATGGATTTTATTCATTTTTTACATATTTTCAATGCACTCTTTTTTATGACATCACAAAGTTCATATAATAACTCTGTAATAATACTTTGAAAGTTGAACATTAATATGCTACTATTAGAAGAGGGTGCTTAATAAAAATATTAGTTTTTCCAAACAAATGGTTTGTTTTTTTGGCAACTGTCAAACTGCTGTTGAAAAAAAGATATTGCTAATGCTTATCTAATCTTGATGTCACTATGACAATCTATTAAGTACTATTCCTGAATGTAGTTACTGATTAACAGGCTTTGGCATGTTGTTATAAACTTGACAAAAAACAACACAAGGAACATCGCAATGCGATGCAACCAGGTTTTCAGCAAAATATTTCACAGAAGCTTTGTCATGAAGGGGCATTTGTTTTTTTATTGAATTTTTAGGAGGAATTATGGCTTTTTTAATATTCCTCAAACAAAAATGTTTGAGAAATTTTATTTTGTCTATTCGCCTTTTTTCCCCAAATGTTTTAGAAAGGTAAACAGTACTTTATTTTTGCTTAATTTTTGAAGTTGCGCACTGTTGAAATTGTTCACTATTTATTCTGTATAAGGAAAAAATATACAAAGGGCCATAATTCGGTCAAATAATATCCAATCACAAAACCCCGGCAATATGTGCCAGGCACTTGATAACAAAGCTTCTAAGAAAGTTTGGTCAAAATCCGTTGAGAAATGTAGGAGGAGTTGCGCACAGAAGATATTGTTCACTATATATTATGTATAAGGAAAAAATATACAAAGGGCCATAATTCAGTCAAATATTATCCAATCACAAAACCCCAACAATATGTGCCAGGCACTTGATAACAAAGCTTCTAAGAAAGTTTGGTCAAAATCCGTTGAGAAATGTAGGAGGAGTTGCGCACAGAAGAAAGTGTTCACTATATATTCTATATCAGGAAAAAAAACAAAGGGCCATAATTAGGTCAAATATATACCAATTGCAAAACCCTGGCAATATGTGTCAGGGCACTTGATGACAAAGCTTCTGAGAAAGTTTGGTCAAAATCCGTTGAGAAATGTAGGAGGAGTTGCGCACAGAAGAAATTGTTCACTATATATTCTGTATAAGGAAAAAAAACAAAGGGCCATAATTAGGTCAAATATATACCAATTGCAAAACCCTGGCAATATGTGTCAGGGCACTTGATGACAAAGCTTCTGTGAAGGTTTGGTCAAAATCCGTTGAGAAATGTAGGAGGAGTTGCGCACAAAAGAAATTGTTCACTATATATTTTATATAAGGAAAAAAAACAAAGGGCCATAATTAGGTCAAATATTATCTAATCGCAAAACCCCGACAATATGCGCCAGGGCACTTGATGACAAAGCTTCTGTGAAAGTTTGGTCAAAATCCGTTGAGAAATGTAGGAGGAGTTGCGCACAGAAGAAATTGTTTACGCCCGCCCGCCCGTCCGCCCATCCGCCCGCCGACATACCTCAATCTAATAACCAGTTTTTTCCTTCGGAAAACCTGGTTAACAAGAATACTGTATGCGTTAAGTATCAAACACTAATTCTTACAAAAATTCAAAAGGGGAATAATCCCCCCAAAAATAGCTGTCTGAATTATACCCTTTGTCATGATAAGCAAATTCAAATTCAAAGTTTCATGTTGATAACTTTTAAAATATTTGAAAAATAGACTACTTTAAAAAAAAATTATAGTTATATACCTTGGCATGTTCAGCTAGTTTGTGTGCCATCTCTGATGAGTTCTGGTAGCGTATCACTGGACATTTTTTCAGGGATAGAAGTACAGAGGTGAGGCCCTGTGTTGTTCTCTTCAAGGCTGCCGGTGACCAGTCTATACCTTTATAACATCCTTGTACATTCAATGTAAACAGGTGTGGGTTGACAGCAATGTAATCACCAAAGAACTCCTGAATATGAAAATAATTACTTATGATGTGCTCAATATTTTGTATTTTCTTTTAGGTTTAAAATAAAAAAAATTCTGGGAAGGGAGAGAACTCCTGAGAGCATTACTGACAATCTTGGCAACATTCCAACTATGAGTCCATCATAGAGGATATAGACCTTTCCTTTATGTACAAGCAAACTTAACCACTTGACAATTTTAAAATTGTGTATCAAGTGATTGATAATTATAAGATCAAAAAGGTGATATCAACTGTTACAAGATTTATGAAAAATATGTATGATCATAATAATGTACATGTAGAATCATAGAAACCTGAGCCGAAAGTAGTATATCATGGTCTTGGTACTAAATGGATAAGAAGATTAAATTACGTATGCAGTGGCGGATTCAGTCCCGGGCTTCAGGGCTGCAGCCCCCCCCAGCTCTGCCCAAAGATACGTTTAACAGCTGGGCTGGAATATATTTTTGTCAGTTTCATACTTAATTGGCTGACTTAATTGGCTGTGCAATCAAAACGTTTATTGCTGTCATCCAGTTGTTAATCTCCTGCCTGGGGGCTTGGCAGAGATCTTTATCTATCAACATGCTTGACTGACTTCAATGTTTAAACTGCATAATTGATTGGTTTATTACTTTCCAAAGGACTAATGAAATTAATAGTCACAAATAGTGGCAAATAGATGTTTTACATTATGTCATAGTACACCATATTTAACTATCTTTGTTTTTCCATTTTTTTTGGGAAAGCCCTATAATTAAGAAATTGAAAATTATGATTTGAAAATTAACAAGAGCACCGCTAGGCGGAGCATTATATGCCCGAAAGTGTTTTTTTTTAGTAAAGATGAAGCATTTGTAAGACATGGGACTAAAATAAAGTATTACCGCCTTCAAATAACAATCCTCCTTTGAAGTTTCAATATTGTGGTCCAAATGGAACTTTAAGTTATGTCCCAGAAACTGTTTTCAATTCTAAGGTAAAAGTGACCTTGACCTTTGACCTTGTGACCCCAAAATCATTAGGGGTCTTCTACCCAATATGGACAATCATACTATGAAGTTTAAACACAGTAGGCCAAATGATACTTAAGTTATATTCTGAAAACTGTTTTCAGTTTTAAGGTAATAGTGACCTTGACCTTGTGACCCCAAAATCAATAGGGGTCTTCTACCCAATATGGACAATCATCCTATGAAGTTTGAATATTGTGGGCTAAATGGAACTAAAGTTATGCTCAAGAAACTGTTTTCAATTTCTAAGTAATAGTGACCTTGACCTTTGACCTTGTGACCCCAAAATCAATAGGGGTCTTCTACCCAATATGGACAATCATCCTATGAAGTTTGAACACTGTGGGCCAAATAGAACTTAAGTTATGCTCCGGAAACTGTTTTCAGTTCTAAGGTAATAGTGACCTTGACCTTTGACCTTGTGACCCCAAAATCAATAGGGGTCTTCCACCCAATATCGTCAATCATCCTATGAAGTTTGAACACTGTGTGCCACATGGAACTTAAGTTATGCTCCGGAAACTGTTTTTAGTTTTAAGGTCATAGTGACCTTGACCTTTTACCTGTGACCCCAAAATCAATAGGGGTCTTCTACCAAATATGGACAATCATCCTATGAAGTTTGAACACTGTAGGACAAATGGAACATAAATTATGCTCCGGAAACTGTTTTCAGTTTTAAGGTCATAGTGACCTTGATCTTTGACCTTGTGATCCCAAAATCAATAGGGGTCTTTTACCCAATATGGACAATAATCCTATGTAGTTTGGATATTGTCGGCCAAATGGAACTTAAGTTATGCTTCGGAAACTGTTTTCAGTTTTAAGGTAAAAGTGACCTTGATTTTTGACCTTTTGATCCCAAAATCAATAGGGGTCTTCTACCCAATATGGACAATCATCCTATGAAGTTTGAATATTGTGGGCCAAATGGAACTTAAGTTATGCTCCGGAGACCAAATTGCTAACGTTTTCAGTTTTAAGGTCATAGTGACCTTGACCTTTGACCTTATGACCCCAAAATCAATAGGGGTCTTCTACCCAATATGGACAATCATCCTATGAAGTTTGAATATTGTGGGCCAAATGGAACTTAAGTTATGCTCCGGAAACCAAATTGCTAACGGACGGACGGACGGACAGACGGACGGACGCCAGGGGGTATAACATAATATGTCCGAAATTCTTTTTTAAGATTTTTATTAAGATGAAAAGACTGGTCATTTGCTTTTAATTACTTTTTATGGCAGTTATATATTTTAAATAAAATTTAAATTAGTACTGACCTCTTTAGTCATAATCTAAAATGGATTCATTGATGGAAAGAATTCTTATTGAATATAAATGTTTGTAATTATTTTTTTTGTACAATAGAAAGGCAGTATTTCAATAACAATTTATTTAGGAAAATCGTCTTTTATTCAGATCAGTAAATTGATCAAGTGTTTGAAAATTATTTTTATCAACGGTCGCACATATATTGGTAAGTGTGCTGTTATTTTGTAAATGCTTACTACTAAACACCAGGGAATGCTATTTGAAAGACGCTGCAAACACTAACCTATACAAAATACCATGTGATGTTAAACCATCCAAAAGGTACAATAAACAGCACTAGAAAGTCAAGGAAATAACACCATTTTCAACCTCATATTTCAAAATTTTTTCAGCCTATGGGAGGGGACACCCCTCCCAGACCCACCCCAATTATAAATATTTTTCTTAATTTCATATCATCTAGATATTTACAAAAACATTAGTATACACATATATAAGCAAAGTACATTGCCATAAGATGAGCTATAAAACACATCAAGTACATTTTTTGTCACATGAATAAGATGCTGGCACAATTTTCGCCTGTTTCATTATTTTTGTTAAAATCTTCCACCCATATGTCAGCCCCCCAGGAAACCATGTTCTGTATCCGCCCCTGGTATGTCTAAACATATAAAAACCATAAAGACAATAGTTTGAAAGATGAAGAGCTACATGTACCATAAAATAATTTTCTCATAGAAATTTAGATGACATTCTACATATATTTATGTAGTCCTGTATATTATATATACATATACAACAACTACATTTGGTATTATTTTGCAGCTCATTATGTTTTCTAGGACATTTAATTTCATTAATATTAAGAGTTAAGTTATTTGTCATGCTGCTTTAATGTTCTATAACAAGTTATTTAAAACATCTTTCACAGCCATTGTAAATCTGCAGTTTATGTTTCAATTAAATTTTTGGTCTGGTTTTAAGACATATTGACACTGTAAAAGTCACTATGTGACTTGACAGCTCTACTGGAGGAAGAAAACCTTAAGCCCGGTTAAGGGTCCTTCAGGAACAAGCTGGTACCTGGTATGAATCATCAACCTTATGTTAACTTGTTGGTCAGCTCCCTCACATAACAATATCCAATGTTCCTGCTGGAATGTGAATTCTGGCAGTGAGGCACATGTGACCATAAGTCTATAACCACACTGCTACAAAGGTCTAACATTTAGCTTTCAATGCAACAAACAAGAATGAATGTCATACTGTGATGTTAACATAATTTATGACTTACCTGAACTTCCCTTACTACCTCTTGATCATCTGCTTCTGCCAGAGTTTTTACATCTTGTTTACTTATAACATTACTGAAATCTGAAGGTGAAGTTTTAGTTAGATGAGGCATATATTGAGGAAAGCAGAAAATGTTAATAAACTCGGCTAATTAAACCTGCACGTTTAAACTGATTTTAAAATGAAAGTGTCTTAATGAAAATAAATTAAGGAGCTTTATTATGTGAGATGAAGTAACTTTCTAACATATCATGATAGATCAAGCAGATTCTGACAATGTGGAAGAACTTGTAATTCCTTAGCACATCAAATTTTCTATGTTTGACATCTGGATAATCAATACACTACTTTACTATCTTGACTTTAGTGACACCATTCACTGACTATTTTTGTTTTGATAAAAGCTTTGAATTCAATAATATGAAAAATATTTACATATATAATACAATCCATATTTTGACATTCTCAATTCTTGAGCTAACATGTCAACATTTTCTTTGGTTGGTCGTAGGAAACAAATACATTTCAAATGTTTCATTGTTTCCCGCCCTCCAGAATCTATACGTTCAAATAAATACACTTCCTTCTGTAGAATCTCTGACTGAGCATACACCATACTGACAATACTAGTCTGAAAATAAAATCAAATCAAATATAACATGTATATATCTCTAATGACACTATTAAAGAGTATACAACTATATATCTGCTGCAAAAAACATTGTTTTAATTTTGAACAAGAGCTGTCATGCAAGTGACGAATGCCCCCGAAAGGTTTCTTTCAAGCATGCAGGTATTATGAAAAGAAAAGAGAATGAAAGTAACTCATTGCTTAATATTGTTCTTGTGAAATGAAGTGCTATTTTTAGCAAACCTAACACCTTGGGACAAGGGTCTTGGATGCGACACAACATCTTGATGTGGTAGACATTTATGCCAATGTTTTTTTTGAAATCCTTCAATGCATGATCAATGAATGTCACAGTTTGGAAACTAATGTGTACCTTCAAACTCTTCTTATGAGCCTAAGTACCTTCAAACTATTTGATTGACCTAGACCTTGGAGGTAGGAACATGGGTCTTACACACAACACGTCATCTTGAAGTGGTAGACATTTGTGCAAAGTTATTTTAAAATCCTTCGATGCTTGACAAAGTTATAGTCCTGACACAAATGTGTACCTATCTCTAGCTGTGATAGTGTGAACCTTCAAAATATAAGTGTGACCTTGACCTTTGTAAAGGGATGTGGTTCTTGAACGAGAAACAACATTGTCATGTGATAGTCATTTGTGCATAGTTATTTCAAAATCCCTCAATACAGGACAAAGTTACAGTCTGGACATGATTGTTGTGTAAGTGGGGACGGACAGATGGACATGAGCCTTAGCCACAACACATCGTCTTGATGTGGTTTAAATTTGTGCCAAGTTATTTTAAAATCATTCCATGCATCACAAAAATACAGTCCGGACATGAATGCGTCTCTTCAAACTCTTCTAAAGAGAATGAGTACCTTCAAACTATAAGTGTGATCTTGACATTGAAGGTAGGGACAGGGGTCTTGAACGCAACATGTTGTCTTAATGTGGTTGACATTTATGCATAGTTATTTTAAAATTCTTCAATGCATGACAAAGTTACAGTCCGGACACGAAAGTGTGTATCTACTCTAATAGTGATAAAGTGAACTTCAAAATGGTAGTGTGACCTTGACCTTTGAGGTAAGGATGTGATACTTGGACGCGACACATCGTCTTGATGTGGTAGACATTTATGCGAAGTTATTCTAAAATCCTTTGATGCAAGACAAAGTTACAGTCCGGACACAAATGCGTATACCTATAAACTCTTAATGTGATAAAGTGAAACTTCAAAATGATAATGTGACCTTGACCTTTGAGGTAGGGACGTAATTCTTGAACGCGACAAATCGTCTTGATGTGGTAGACATATTTGCTAAGTTATTCTAAAATCCTTTGATGCATGGCAAAGTAACAGACCGGACACAATTGTGTGTACCTATTAACTCTTAATTGTGATAATGTGAAACTTCAAAATGGTAGTGTTACCTTGACCTTTGAGGTAGGGACGTGGTCCTTGGACGCGACACATCATCTTGATGTGGTAGACATTTGTGCCAAGCTATTTCAAAATCCCTCAAATTCAATACATGACAAAGTTACAGTCCGGACACGAAATCAAGTGGGGACGCACAGACAGACAGATGAACGGTGTGATTTTAATATGCCTCCCTTCGGGGGCATAAAAAGAAAACTCCTTTAATACACTACTGTATACACTACTAAAACCTTTTTCTGAAGTAAACCATATAGGAAATTTTTAAAACTGCATTGACATTTTTGGGTACAAAGAGTGACGAATGAGACAACATTGTAAATTATAGTGGCCACTATCCCTGCTTCATGTCAACTGAAGATGAAGTTTTTAGCTCTGTTAAATTTTAGCTGAGATAAATTATTTCCTTGCAAAGAAGGCTGATTATGTTTGAACTTTTAGTTTGTATTCGGGGTTTTCTGTCTTTGATCGAAGTTGCTTCCTTTACCGTCTCTTTGTCCATAAGAAGAACTTTCATCCCTGGACCACTTTCCTCTATCATCTTACTAATATACTGCTTGATTGCCAAAATAACATTCATTTTTATGGATTGTGTACAGCTGTCAAAAATCAGGAAGTAAGTTTTACGGATGCTTCTGTTTTTATCCTTAGTTTGTAAACAGCAACTTCTCGAACCAAAGTAAATTATCGAAAAGAACCGATATACGAAAATAGCAAGTGGAAAAGCGGCGAATGCGGTCACATTAAAACATAAATATAACTTTTTGTATGAAGAAGAAGATAAGAAAATTGTTATTGTTGTCAAATATTGAGATATATGTTAGGTAAAAATAGAGGTGAGGGGGGGGGGTGGGGGGTGAAATCCCGGGATCCGGGACGCCCGGGATTCGGGATCGTACGTATTAGATATAGAGGGAGGGCCGGTCTAAAACGCAGACGCTTATGCAGACAATATAGAAAATATATAGTAAAACGCAGACAATATAGAATATATAGTAAAACGCAGACAATATAGATATAAGAGTGTTTTCACAAAATGCAGACGATATAGAAATAGAAGGTGTGAATTAGACTCTTAACAGCTTGTCACCACTTTTTTTTTCAGATTAACTTTATAAAATAAGAGATTTATAAGAATTATTAGTTGATACAAAAATAACATTTTAATTAGAGATTAGAAATCTTTTTATTTAAATGTTTTATTGGTATGATAATATCAACAATAAATATTTAAATAGTGATATAAGAAAGGTTTTTTTTATTCTATGTTAGATTTTAATTAAATTAATTTGAAATAAAATATTTAATACTAGCTTTATATAATTTGTAACATAAAAGAAATGTGGACAAGAAAGTAATAACAAAAGAACGGAATAAAACAGAACACATTTTTTATTTATTTTTTTTTTTTTTATAAAAGTTCAACATCATATACAAAATAATCATACTAGGCTAAAATATATACATATAAAACATATAAAACAAAGTAAGCATTTATAATTATTTTATTTAAATATAAAACAATGTTATAAACATTTTATACATATAAAGATCATTATAAACAGTAAGCAACATTATTATTATAGATGTTTAAGATTAATGTAACCTTTTAAATGAAATCAATATACATATGTACATAAATATAAGAAAAAAAAGTAATTTACAGCCCTATAAAATATTATCTACTTATATTTAACTATTATCAAATTAAGTATACAAATGAACTAAAATTTGATAAATATTTCATTATGCAAGTTATACTGTCTTGAAAGTTTAAAAAATAGTTTAAAGTTTATGTTCTTACTAAAATAATACTTGATCATAAGCAAATGTACATTTAGATTACAATACTGGCATATAGTATGTAATCTATATTTATACTGGTAAAAGATGTAACAATATATTTTAACATAAACCACAGTTGAACATTTCATCAACATTTGAAATATTAGGAGGGGCATTTACACAAGTTTTATGATACCAAATAGAACAGTTGTCACACTGAACCATATCACTTATACATTAAGGCATATTACAAATGCAATAATTCTGTATAGAAATTAACTTAAATTTTTTTTTTTCTTCTTGCACTGACAGTTTTAGACGTAATAGGAAATTCTACCATTTTTTCTTTTTCAAAACAGTCAAATAGATGGTTTCTCATTTTCTTAGCATCAAAAATAATATCAAAACATAATCTATTTCTTAAACAGTACATAGTAAGAAAAGCAAACTACTAAAAACTCAGTAGTTTGCTGGTAACCATTGAACAGGTTCTGTGCTCTTGGAAGTATTTCCGAGACCCACACTGTTGCACTAAAATAAATCCATGGTTATTAAAAACTATCAGAAATAAATATTTTACATATATCGTATCTAATTTATTGTCAATAGAACCTACATAACAGTATGATATGCTGGTGGTGTAGTGTCCGTTTGTCAGGAAATCATTTTGTTCAAATATCGAAATAAAATATGTTAAAATAACTGGAATAAATAAGAGGAACTGAGAGTCTACTGTTACTCAATTTTGGTACACAAAACAATTTATGTATATAGTTACCTTGGTGATGCAGTATGAATTCTTTCACATAGTAGTTCCATGTCGGCAGCAATCTGAGATGGAGTCCTATATCCAATGTCATTAGTACCCAGAATAACAACAACATTCTGAAGAAAAATATATTGTCTCTATTATATCTATATTGTCTGAATTTTACAAAATGAATTTAATCTTAAACAAATATGTTCTATGTTCTCTATTATATCTACAGTGTCTGCATTTTACTATATGTTTCATATTGTCTGCATTTACTATATATCTATATTGTCTGCGTTTTACTAAATGCTACATATTGTCTGCATTTATCAAAAGTTGTACTATATATCTATAGTGTCTGCATTTACTCTATATCTATATTGTCTGCGTTTTACTATATGTTTCATATTGTCTGCATTTACTCTATATCTATAGTGTCTGCGTTTTACTATATATCTATATTGTCTGCGTTTTACTATATGTTTCATATTGTCTGCATTTACTCTATATCTATAGTGTCTGCATTTTACTATATGTTTCATATTGTCTGCATTTATCAAAAGTTGTACTATATATCTATAGTGTATGCATTTTACAAAATGAATTTAATCTTAAACAAATATTTTCTCTATTATATCTATAGTGTCTGCATTTTACTATATATCTATATTGTCTGCGTTTTACTATATATCTATATTGTCTGCGTTTTACTATATGTTTCATATTGTCTGCATTTATCAAAAGTTGTACTATATATCTATAGTGTCTGCATTTTACTATATGCTACATATTGTCTGCATTTATCACAAGTTGTACTTTATATCTTTAGTGTCTGCATTTTACAAAATGAATTTAATCTTAAACAAATATTTTCTCCATTATATCTATAGTGTCTGCATTTTACAAATTAAACAAATATTTTCTCTATTATATCTATAGTGTCTGCATTTTACTATATGTTTCATATTGTCTGCATTTACTATATATCTATATTGTCTGCGTTTTACTATATGTTTCATAATGTCTGCATTTACTCTATATCTATAGTGTCTGCGTTTTACTATATGTTTCATATTATCTGCATTTATCAAAAGTTGTACTATATATCTATAGTGTCTGCATTTTACTATATGTTTCATATTGCCTGCATTTACTATATATCTATAGTGTCTGCATTTTACTATATGCTACATATTGTCTGCATTTATCAAAAGTTGTACTATATATCTATAGTGTATGCAATTTACAAAATGAATTTAATGTTAAACAAATATTTTCTCTATTATATCTATAGTGTCTGCGTTTTACTATATGTTTCATATTGTCTGCATTTACTCTATATCTATAGTGTCTGCGTTTTACTATATGTTTCATATTGTCTGCATTTATCAAAAGTTGTACTATATATCTATAGTGTCTGCATTTTACTATATGCTACATATTGTCTGCATTTATCACAAGTTGTACTTTATATCTTTAGTGTCTGCATTTTACAAAATGAATTTAATCTTAAACAAATATTTTCTCTATTATTTCTATATTGTCTGCATTTTACTATATGCTACATGTCTGCATTTATCACAATTTTCACTATATATCTATATTGTCTGCATTTTACAATTACTGTTTACAAAATGTATTAAAGATTTAATTGAATTTAGTGTTCAAAGACTTTTTTCATATGCTTCTGTAAATTATGATATATACTTAAAGTGGTTGGAAGTTTTCAATAATCATACTTTTTTAATATAATTGTATCAAATTATGTGTTTCTCTGCAGAAACAAAGAGACACACACATTTAAATTAAGTGGCAATATACTAATACACAGGATGTGGTCACACTTTCCTCATCAACAGGGGACAAACTGTGGGGGTAACTCTAATCCCCTTGGCTATAGGCAATTAATTATGCACGTGTGAAGTGACACTAATCTAATCAATTTCAAACAATCATCAACAACTATATGCAATCATGAAGCATGACATAAGTAAGTCATGGAAATAAATTATGCACTTACTGAAAAGAATGGTACCACATCATAGATGACAGCTTCATTCAGAATATCAGAACAGAACAGAACAGAAACTTTATTTCTTGGTTTAAGCATAAAAAGCTCATCGCCATATTAAATATACAAATACAACATATAATACATAAATGACACATGACATGAATATATATAATTACAAAATAATGGTTTATGTGATGTGAGAATGTTTAATTTGAGATACCAAATTACTTATATAATATCACGAACTTGGTATCCTGGGTATGAAAATACACTAAAACTGCCCTTGCACAAATAGTCTGATAAATACTTGGCTTGACAGTGACCTAACATCAAAGCCATAATGATAAACACAATTTAAACAAAAACACACAAATATTTAATACTATTTAAATATTCACTATTTTGTTCGCTATAAAAATATCAGTAATAATTTTATAATTTCCAAATGATAAATCCAGCAACAGAAATTATCCACAATATGTATCACTCTTTTATTATTAATACTATAAGATGTATGAGAAAGGGTTTTTTTTTTGTTTTTTTTTTAATGCGTTTATTTAAGGTCGCCGCCGGAAAGCCCATATGGGCGACCGTACACTCAAGTCGGGTCATCCTAGAGCGTCCCGCCGAGATTTTTCGTCGATTTTTTTTCCAGCTTTATTGGTGGAGGAAGACCCCAGGTGCCCCTCCGGGCATTATTTCAGGCACGAGCGGGCAACTGGGTAGAACCACCGACCTTCCGTAAGCCAGCTGGATGGCTTCCTCACATGAAAGATTTCGACCCGAGTGAGGATCGAACCCACAGTGGTGAGGGACCTGTGATCTCAAGTCAGCGACTTTAACCACTCGGCCACGGAGGCCCCTAAAAGGGGTGTGTGTGTGTATTTGCGTTTATTTATACTCGCCACCGGTTGCCCATATGGGCGAGTCCTCCAGAAGAGTATTAGTCATTTTATTTTTCGGAGGATAGTGCAATTACAGATACAGAAAGATGCCCCAATTCCAGAAGCTTCTCCTGGTTCTTTAGCGTGCCAAGTGTTTAAGCACATATACACGGGACCTCGATTTAAAGTCTCATCCGAAAGATTGATTAGTAATTTTAGTTGGCCAGCCCGGGAATCGAACCCACAATGTCGAGATTACAAGTCTCGCGCTCTAACCGATTGAGCTATGCGGGCTGGCCTAAAAGGGGTATTCAAACAATGTATTTTTATACTATCAAAATAGTAGCTCAATAATAATTATCATTAACTCATGTCTAGATAATGATATGATTGGATATTAGGATTAAAATTATACAATTATTTGTCCAAATTTAATAAGGACATTATATTATTAGACTAATTCTTTTGTTCATGATTTTTATTGTTATTCTTTTGAACTATAATATGGTCATTTATAAATGTTAAAAACATTTCTTGTTTTCTCTTCAAACATTCAAACAATTATTATCAATATCAAACAAACCATATCATTTGTATATGACAATACATCTATAGCAAACAAATTTTCTCTTTGATCTTTCATCCTTTAATTGGTTACAATTATTCAATTTACTATTATTTTTTTTGAATAATATAACAATAGCATCCAATAAAATATATTTTCAAGTGCAAATTATACATAAAAGGGGTAGATTATCAAAATACAATTAAAATTAAAAATAAAATGCCTGTATGCAATTCTTAATAATATATACCCCTTTGATCATTGTAAATTATTTAAAAACCTTCCATCCATAAATGCATTAAAAAAAAATAATTCTAATAAATATATGTACAGTAGATATTTAATAAATATACATATATTTTATTATCTAGGCCTATCATCCTCCTTTACCTTTAATTCCCATAACAACCATTTCTACTATATATCTATATTGTCTGCGTTTTACTATATATTCTATATTGTCTGCGTTTTACTGTATATTCTATATTGTCTGCATAAGCGTCTGCGTTTTAGCCTGTGCCATAGAGGGAAAACTAATAAACTATATAAAGAGTTGATTATTGTCGTAATGAAAGGCGATTAAACGTTAAGTTTTTATTTTTTATTGTATGTTATGAACGGTAAATTAATTTAACTTAGGATATAAATATATTTAGAGATATATTTATTAACAAACTTAAAATGCGGAAATTTTAGAAATAGATAGATATTAGGTAAAAAAAATGCTGATCAACATTCAACATTTTTATTTTAAAAATAAATAATAATGAAAGGCCCAAGCCATTATTCTGTGCGCTCTTTGAGTATGTTTAATAATAGCAAGTTTTGTTGCCTAACTTGCCCATTTGTGATTTATTTTTAAAGGAAAAACTTATATAACATTAAATTTTAACTCTATATATTTAATATTGTTTATAAGACTCTTATTATTGTTTACTGTGAGTGAAAGGATTATCTTTGAACTATAGAAATTATGCAAATAAATGGAGATTAAATTATTACAATTATTATTTTTGACAATAAATATACATGCAATTCATTTTTGATAATATACGTCTACGAACGGCAATATCAATATAAAATTCAATTCTAATGCTATATATAGTATTTTAAGTCACTTGAATAGTATTTTAAGTAGTCATATAAATTGTAAATTCTTCCAATCTCTACTTATTCTCATACTTTCATCAATAAAACTTTTAGATACCAATTAGTTTAAATATAAATGTAAAACTGTTAAAAATGAAAGTGATGATGTAAAAAATTATCAGTAATTTATATCAGTATATCAGTATTTATTAGCATTTAACCGAGTTGACCCGTGCTGAGTTAGTATAGTGCTGAAATGACTTGGCGGTCGAGTTATTTGTAGGGCCAAGTTAAACCAAACCTTTTGCAAGCATTTTTAGAATATGTTGTCAGAAAAATCCATGTTTAGAAATTCTAACCCTAACCAATAGCCCTCTAATCCTAAACCATAACACTAACTCTTACCACTAACCCTAACCTTAGTACCTCCTTAGTAGTCCTTTGTGCCCTTTTGGTAACCCTTTACAGACATGAAACATAATTTATATGTCTAAAATTACATGTTTAATCAAAATGTTGTTTTTTAAAGCTTTGTCATTTTCAAGGTCATTTTGGCCTCCTTGGCAGTCCTTTTTGGCTCCTTAGCAATTCTTAGCTGTGTTTAGAAGGACCCTAACCCCTAGCAGTACTGATTTTGTATATTAATAAAATCATAATGTTCAAAATGACCTTTTTTGCTAGCTTAAATGGCGGTTTTAGTTATCTTGTCATAAAGCATAAAGCTACAATGTATTTCATTCATTGTGTCTACTCCATAAATCCCATAAATATAAGAGCCTTACTGTCCAAGTAAAAATAAGTCTTTTTCTTTTCGGTAAAAATGAGTCTTTTCGTGTTTTATTTTTTATAGAGAAAAAAAATATCGCCGGTCAAGCTTCCAGCTGATCTGGAAGAAAAATAAACCATGGCTGACAAAATAGAAAATTGGACGTGTGAAGAACTTGGAAAACTTGGGATAGATGCATCTATAGAGATAGCAAGGTTATTTTTATCGTCACACTATGTCTTGAGTAGATTTTTTTATATTTTACTTGCAAGTCAAAAGTTATTTCAGTCATCAAACTTTCGGAAACTCTTATCATTGACAAGATTGTGCAATCTTATTTTTCGAAAAGGTTACGCAGTACCAAATCTACAGTACAAGTTACTGTAATATGAAATTAAGTGCTACAAATGACCTGGAAATCTGAAATGATTTAATAACAAGCATAAATTTTACAATATATGAAACAGATCTTTCCCTGTGCTTGTAAATTGAAAGAGAAAGTGACTAGCGAATGTCAGACGTTTCACTACCAAGACGTTTCACTATTGAGACGTTTCACTCCCAAGACGGTTCACACCTAGACGTTTCACTCCCATTTTGACAATTGTATGGACGTTTCACTCCCAATTTTTAGAGATATTTCCTAGGAAAGTTAACAAATTTTAATGTCATTAATATCAAACAGTGTAAAAAGGAAATTCAATTTAATGTTTTATTTTGTTGATTTCAATGGTATTGTTAATACAAATTATTAGAAGATTTCTCATTTAATTATGGGTTGAGTGATAAGATGTGTAAATGAAAGACACATTTCTGAAATATCACTTTGATTATAAGTGTAACAACATGAGAAAATTCTATTTATAGTAAATTAAAAAAAAATAGAATAATATAGAAAGAACAAAGACATATTATAAGTATCAGTTTAAATATTGAAATCACTGCCAGTAAAGTAATTAATATTATTCAAATAATAAAAATATCAATATATTAAATATATGTATTAAACAATGAAATGTGAAACATGTGTATAAAATAAACTATTTTTTAAAATTATTTTCTTCATCAATATTTTAAACAGTAGCCAATAAACAAAGTTAAGTAATTGTGGTGTTATCTCATCGCCTAATTAGTTGTATAAACACTGAGACAATCAGCTAACGGGTCTAACAGTTTGACACCACTATTAAATCAGTTGTATAAACACTGCACATAAGCATCAACAGTTTACTAATCAGTGGTTTATTGGACCATTACAACAGCCAATTTAAACACAGAAATTTCTCCATAAGTTTTGTTTATATAATAATGAATTTTAGTCCCCAAAAAAATGATTGTACATGACAAATATTGAAAAAGTCCCAATGCTCATAATTTAATTTAAAGATATTTCTGATTTCAATGGCCATTAAAATTTTTGACATGTATCGCAAAAGCACTATACCGCTAGCCTAAAGGGTATCAGGATATTTCACCTCTTAGACATTTCGGCTGATACATAAAAGTTGAAGCCATGGTTCTACTGGAATAACTTTGTTGGTCAAACTGATGGTCTGTCACCATTGTGTCTACTCCATAAGTTTTCTTCAGACTTGGTCTGTGACTTTAACCTTGAGCTGGCACAGTTGTAGCATGGGTTCTGCAGATTGCCTTGTTGAGGTGAACAGTTTTTGTACAGTTTACTCTCCAGCACTGAGACAAAAATGGGGATCTTAAGGGCAGCTCTTGTTCAGTTTTGGGTTAGATGTAGATCTGATAATAATTTTTATGATGTAAAAGCATATGCTAAAGTCACTTCTTAAACTTAATAAAACTGCTCATCTAAAAAGTAAAATAAATTGGGTCATTAGCTGATGAAGATGTTATGAACATTACTTCATATACATTTTGACAAGCGGTCTTGTGCTAATACCCTAAATCTATTTGTCTGAAATATTGTGTCAAAACATAAAATTAGTAATAATTCAGGGTTCTCATTAGGACTTTAAAACATGGAGTCCATGGACTCCCAACCCTGAAAAAGTTGGAGTCCAAAAGCGCGTCGCAATTAACATGTTTACAGATTAGTCATTCAATGCTCACAATAGCATTGCTGATATTTTGAATCTTCAAGAGACTTCCAAAGTTTATAGTTATTCAAAAGAAACTCTGAACTACATAGTATAATTATTGTTTTGTTGTTAATATTTATTATGGAATTATTTCATATTAATGCATCAACACATGGAAATCGTTTTTTTTTTCACTTTTATACCAAATCAAATTTTATTCTGGTTAAAAAAGTCTACTCTAAAGACAAAAAGTTTGTATTTGTAAAAAAAAAACGTAAATGTATATAGGCAGCGTTTAGCGGAATGAATAGGAAAATCGTGTACAGCTTCACGCAGTGTGTAAGAGATTCATCCGATCGACAATTATTTTAGCAAATATCTTCAAAAGGGGACAAATTGAAGATCGATATTTAAAGATTTAATGTTGATTAAATAATAAAGGAACAATTCATTCGCATGTTTGGCTTGGTAACCGAGAATTTTTGCGAAATTTTAGGGTTTCTTGCGAACGTGAAATCGCCGATGCTCCGGATCAATTTTCGGATAGAATAAAAGCGTATGTGTACCTGGCATTTTGGCACAATATCTTAAATTATAGAAAAGTTTTGCAAGAATGAAACTAAAGCAAAATTGTGCCTAGAAAATGCCGAAAATATTCGACAATCATTCAAAATTACACTCATTTGTAATTTGAGAAAACAGTCTTTAAACTTGCGGCGTAAATAGTCAATAAAATTATCCTTTTGTAGGTAAAATTTGCTAATTTCCAATCAACTGTTGATCAAAGATATAAAATTATCACCTTGTGTTATATATCTGTTAATCAGCGCGTGTATACATTAGTCTGATCACTATTGCGTGATAATGATCGGAAGCGTTATCGCTGATTGGCTAATCGCTTCACGGGTCGATATGCATAGGACCGCCTACCTATAGACTGACACGCGCTGACGCATTTGTGTATTTGTGGTTGTGAACAATCGGTAATGTTTATGCATCCCCAGGCAAAATTAAGCGTACGTGGAATCCTTGCTCTGAAATATTTGCGTCCAGCTGTATTAAACATGCGTACCAGGAAGGCGATATAAGCGTCCCCGAGAACCCTGAGTATTATTCTTACCTTTGTATATAAAAGCAGTTGTTCTTATATTCTTATTAAAAATCTTTTCCAGATATATTTTGAGTATAGAAACAGCGGAAGAGCTGGAGGAATATATGCTAGAATTACTTGATGGGTCTAACTTGCAAAATAAGAAGTTTATCAAGGAACTTTTAGTGAAATGGAGGCCGTATCATAGTGCAAAAACAGACACAAATGTACAGGTATAATCAAAATAATAAGAGTCACAGTACCTGTGCCTGACCAGCCCAGTGCTCGACCAATACTTCTATTTGTGATTAATTTATGCATTAAAGTGGAAAAACCCTTGGAGTTTGTGTGTGCTACTTGTACCTGACCTGTAACCTCTAAACCATGTACAAGTACTCCAACTTTGGTAGAAGATTGGCCATTTTGCAGACAATATTTAACAGTACAAAATACATTTCTATAATAAAAGTAGCAGTAAAAACTATTTAAAGCACTGAAATAATGGTAATTTAGGGCAAATGTGGACAATACTTTGTTAAATTGCCTTTACTCTTATGATTCCAATTGATTTCCATAGGAAAGGTGCTCAAAAATTATCAAAACCCTGCTTTCCATAAAAGGCAGGGGCCATAAACATGTAAACAAATATGGCAGCTGTACGGAAACAAATCAGGAACACACCACTAAAAGCGTAGATCATTTGTATATTACACCAAGTATCACACTTAAATATGTTTGCAGAGTGATTTTAGTAAAAAAATATGAGAATAAGTAATCTAAAACACCCCGGTATATGTAAATTCCAAAACTCTTATAAACACTTTATTTGTCAATGTATAGCATTTTCTTCGTATCATATTTACTCTCATATTTACATCTATAGACACTAAAACATAAATTTTTCAAAATAATTTTGAAATAGAATTGTTGAACATAAAAGTCATATCTGTTTTTATAAAATAAAAGTTCTAATATAGATAAAACCACCTGGTCGAGCACTGGTTTGGTTGCCTGAAAAATATAGTGGTTTTATACCCTATATACAACTCCGTGGAAAATTGTATCCTGATCTGTGTTATTAAAAAGCTTTAGCTTATTGTGAGTTTGAAAGGGCCAGCTTTGTTACAAAAATAAGTTTCCAAGCAAACCTTTTGTTTTGAAAGAGTTTTTATGTGATTTTGTGAAAAACTGGTTGAGCACTGGTACGGTGACTCTAATAATTAACATGTCATAATATGGTCCATGTTGATTCTAAAACAACTTCAACAAGACATTTGAAGCACAGAATGGAATTTTTAGGGACACTTGGACTCAAATGATATTAATTTTATAACAAGCTGTTGACAGTTTAATGCATGAAACTGCTAGTTAGGAGAACCACTACTACTTGAAGAAGATAAAAATGGGTACTGCTAAAAAAACAGTATCCAGGCTGTTAATATAAAGGAGCAAAAAATTACCACGGATTGGGATTGGGTTTTAAAGGGACACTGATTCATATATTATGGGATTCCAGTGATGCTATAAAAGCAACACTGGTAGTGAAGCAAAAGTTTTGTCTATGATTTGTTCAATAAAAGCTCATAAATAAATTGTTATGAAAACCATTCGTAACATTTGAAATCTGTTGACTATATTGTAACAAACAATCAAATATTGTAACAAACAATCAAATAGTTCACAGTAAGGGGCGTCCGTGGCCGAGTGGTTAAGGTCGTTGACTTCAAACCACTTGCCCCTCACCGCTGTGGGTTCGAATCCCGACAGGGACTTTGGATTCTTAAATGTGAGGAAGCTATCCAGCTAGCTTACGGAACGTGGGTGGTTCTACTCAGGTGCCAGTTCGTGCCTGAAATAATGCACGGAAGTGCATCTGAGGTCTTCCTCCACCAGTAAAGCTGGAACATCGCGATATGACCTATACTGTGTCGATGTGACGTAAAACCCAAAACAAACAGTTTACAGTAAGAACAAAATTAGCATAGAAATAGATGAATACTTGAACGGCCTACTTGAATCATATTTTTATTAATGATAAATCATTTTAACACATTTGTTGGGAAGAAATTTTATTTTTTAGGTTTATAAAAAGTCTGACCAGGATGATAAATATATAACTGGGAAAGAGAAGAAGAAAAGTCAAAATTTACCCAAAGAAAAGAAAAATACACAGAAAAATTATGTATTAAATGGTTATGAGGTTCAACATAGAGGAGTATGTTTTGATTGCTTATTGCAACTTTTTTTGTTATTTGTACAGGAATGTTTTAATCTTTTTTAATAGAAATGATGAAAAGCTTGACTATACGCAAATTTTTTATCAAAATCATTTCTTAATTTCAATGTAATGTAACCATAAGATATTTCTTTATATAGCACATATTAAATAATAAAAATTTCCTGTAATATAACGTTAGGAAAGATTTCAAATACTTTACTTTAACCATTCATTCATGTGAAACAGCTATCCATATGACTAAGCTTTACTAAAGCTGTCATTGATTCAGTGCAAAGCATGTCAACGATATATCGATGTCAGATGACTAAAATCAACCATACACCGATATATCGATAATAACCTATAATTACTTGTCTGTCATTCATTTTCATGTTCTGTACAGTGTATTGTCCACTGCATAATTTTTTTCCAGACAATATTTTTTGTCACCATTGCTATGAAATATTTCCACTATATAACAAAAGCATAATATTAGACACAAGTAACTGCTTCTGTATATGTTTTGGGTGAATTTTTATAATTTCTAGACATTTAATTAATTAATCAAAATGATAGATTTTTGTGTCGCCTCTACGGAGTAGTGGCGACATATAGGGATCACTTCTCCGTCGTCTGTCTGTCCGTCTGTCCGTCACAAAACTTGTCCGGACTACTCCTCATAAACTACTGGTGCAATTTCATCCAAACTTTACAGGAATGATCAGTACCAAGTCTAGTTGTGCGTATTGTCAGCATTTTCCGGTTCAATGATTTTTGTCAGAGTTATGGCCCTTTAATAATTTTTATTTTTAAAGTTTGTCCGGACTACTTCTCTTATACCACTAATGCAATTTCAATGAAACTTTATAGGATTGATCTGTAGCTCAAGTCCTTGCGCATATTGCACGGGTTTTCAGGTTGAATGATTTTTGGCCGAGTTATGGCCCTTTGATTAAAAGGTGTTTTTTTCTGTGTGTTGCCAGATACACAAAAGCTTGTGCGGACTACTCCTCATAAACTACTGGTGCAATTTTATCCAAACTTTACAGGAATGATCAGTACCAAGTCTAGTTGTGCATATTGTCAGCATTTTCCGGTTCAATGATTTATGTCAGAGTTACGGCCCATTAATAATTTTTATTTTTAAAGTTTGTCCGGACTACTTCTCTTTTACCACTAATGCAATTTCAATGAAACTTTACAGGATTGATCTGTAGCTCAAGTTGTTGCGCATATTGCACGGGTTTTCTGGTTAAATGATTTTTGGCTGAGTTATGGCCCTTTGATAAAAAGGTGTTTTTTTCTGTGTGTTGCCAGATACACAAAAGCTTGTCCGGACTACTCCTCATAAACTACTGGTGCAATTTTATCCAAACTTTACAGGAATGATCAGTACCAAGTCTAGTTGTGCACTGTCCATCTGTCTGTCCGTCTGTCACAAAACTTGTCCCAACATGAAATTGGCCATCATGAGGCGACACATGTGATTACTGATCGCTCTTGTTTTGAAATGTGTATCGATTATTGATCGGCAAAAAAATATCAATGATACATTGATATTGTATCTATCGATGACAGCTCTAAGCTTTACAGATAATGAATGAAGGGGTTACTGATTTATTCAACCAGTACAATTAGAAATTCAACAAATTACCTTAGCAGTGTTGTGGCAACTTGATTACAACTGTTATTATACTTTCCCAAAATGTTAACCACACATTTCAGGATGATAATGTTTAAATTTTTCTTGATAATTATAGATTTTACCTGGTGAGGAACCACCTGAACAGCCTTTACCTGTACCCACAAAACCTGTGCAGAAAGACAAAGATGTGAAGAAGAAAAAATTTGTTCCATTATTTAGTAAAGAAGGACAAGCATTATCTGTGGTACAACTTGCTGGTAAATATTTCATAAAATGTTGGTCATTCTGTTGGCCATTCTTCTTGAATTGTTTTGCAACATATATTTTATAATGTGATACTTGCTATTGTACATGTAGAATTTATCTTTAAGAACTCATGATCACTTAATAAATTAGAAAAACAATTCTTTTCCAAGATAGATCATTCAATCTGATATTTTTATACAATGTATTATTTATGATACATTAGTTTCTTTTTATTTTCTGACACAAAAGTGAATGTGCTTGAATGAATTCTTTTTTCTCAAGACATTTTGACATGATAGGATTTCAGAAGTTTAAAAGTATACACTTGAAATGAATTAAAATTTTGGCTGAAAGATTCTGAAATACTGAGGATGAAACACTAAAATATTAAATATCTGAGAATTTCTCTTCCAAATATATTGTATAAAGTGAGTAAATATAACCTGTTTATGACGTTTAAGTAACATAATTCATACATTTAACAGATAATCCACTGATATTCACTTAATAGTTTGTTGTTCTGTTTTGCTTTGATTTTAGGACGCCATATATGTGAATGCCAGGCAGCCAAACATAAGCTGATAAACAACTGTACAAGATGTGGGCGTGTGGTTTGTGACCAGGAGGGGTCAGGACCATGTCTGTTCTGCGGAAATCTGGTAAACTAGCACTTTCTTATGTTGTGTTTTGATTTAAATTATTTCTAGTGTTTTACTAACAAGCTTTTAGTAACGTTGAATGTTGTAGTCTGTCTTTCATTCACATTTAGTTCATTAACTTTTTTAGTGGTCACATTTTTGCCTCAATTGTCACCAAACTTGGTCAGAGTGTTTGACCCAGTGATTGCTCGGACGAATTTTGTATGAAAAACTAGGTCACAAGAGCCAAAAATGGAACAATCTTGTTAACATTCAAGATCAACTGTTTTGGTCCAAATATCCTGGATATTGGTCAGAAAGGTTGTTTTGATTATTTCTAGCTTAAATAAGAAAAAACTTTGTTTACATTTGCACTATTTCAGATGCTGATTATGATACAAACATTATGATATCAGTTTAAGATTCAGACATTATATCTGCTTTATTCAACATTATTAATTGTTCCATTCAGTGCCTTAATAATCAGGCGATATCATGGCCCTCTTGTTTATTCACATAACAGAAGGTCAAGATGTCCATCTCAGCCTGAATATAATGTACCTAGGGTTTACACACAATATGCTAGTAAAGAATGAAGGTTATTTCTGAGACTTTCAAAATTTTTAAAATCTAAAGAATGGGGTTAATAATCTATAATATTGAATGTACACTGGCATAAATTTAACCCTGTGTGATTGTAAGAGGTAAGTAAATGGGTTTTAATAACTGGAGTCTATGCATCTCTTAGCTTGAACAGGTAAGGTGGTTTTGACCACTGGAGTTGCTTTGAAGTTTGTAATACCTGAGGTTAGCCAAAGTCATTTTTACGGTTATGAACTGTACTGTGTTGATGCACTGTAAAACTAAACAAACAAAGCATAAATATTTAAATTTATTTTGATTAAGGATATATGTATTTTACTTATAGGTATGTACTCGGGAGGAGGAAGAAATTTTATCTCGAGGTTCAAAGAAGAGTGAAAAGTTACGTCAGTTTTTAATGAAAGACAATCCATCAGGCTTGTTAGGTGGGGGGTCTATGTTTAACGGAGACAGAGATTACCTGCCCAGTGATAGAGGTAAAATGAAGGAGAGTTATATCAAAGCAGAACAACATAAAGAGAAATTATTGGAATATGATAGGACCAGGTATGTTAGATATAGAATATATATCATTGTATAAAACATCCTGTTATACACAGGCAGCAATAACTGCAGACCTATGTAGAGAACCAGGCCTGTCTGCTCATCTGTGATGGCTGGTCTCTCAATTTAAGTAATAAAAATCTGGTAATGGGTGATCCCTTTGAAGCTTTAATCACAACAAACATGAATATCACACTTTGAATCCCTTAACCTGCTGGAACTTGTAGTAATTAGTCTTTGCCACCAGTATACAGTAAGATCAACCTGCACATACATGCAATCTTAATAGCTCCATTATTTTGGTAATTCAATATTTGTGTTTTGATATTGAAATCCCTTAAGCTTCAAATGGAAATTTCAAAATTCATATCAGGGTAAATCTATAACACAAATTCAGCAGGTAAAGGGTTAAACTGGCAATACACATTGCTGCTAAATTAAACCAGCACATGTTTAAAAGACAAATTTAATTGGAAAAATATTTATTGTCAGGCTTTCTTATAGCATTGTAGGGATCTTCATTAAAAATATCCATACATTTATTTTCTGCCATGATATTTTCATCTTCTCCATTACTTCAAATCACTTTTAAAAGGTTATGTATGATCGTCAGATATATTTGATAGGTCAATGTCACTATTGGAATAGAAATAGAAATGTGGATTATGCATTGTCTGTGTAGTGTGAAGGGTTGAGGGAAAGGTATGGTCATCATGTAAATTTGGAAGGATGTAAAAAAATATATTTTGGATATATTTTGAAAGACACTTTCTGTGGCTTGAAACTACAGCGGTGAGAGGCCTGTGATATGATGTCAATGACTAACCACTCGGCCATGGACACCCCTTATATTTTGTAAAATCAGTATGTATTTTGTATATATTACAGTGTAAGGAGAACACAAGTGATAGATGACGAAGCCGATTATTTCTCGACAGATTCTAATCAGTGGTTAACTAAAGATGATAGAGAAATGCTACGCAAGCGTGAGGAGGAATTACGTTCACAACGGCACGGATCCCGTAAAGATAGAAAAATCACATTAGACTTTGCCGGCCGTCAAGTTATAGAGGAGGATACATCTAAAAGTGTTAATATGTATGACGTTAATGATGATGTTGTACAAAGAGTGAACTTTGGTGCTAGACCTAAAGAGAAAACAATAGTGAATAAAAGTGTTACCGTAGAAACTGATGATTATCTAGTCAACCCAACTATACAAGTTGAAGCACCAAAGGTAAGTTTAAGTTTCTATACTTGAGTATAGAATTGCATGTGTCCTCTTGATTCATGCTTTTCATCCCTAATAAAGTCTAAGATTGAACTTCAAATGTGCTTTTGATATGTACATTGTATTATGATGTACAATGTATCTGGGTAGTTACTACATGATAAATCTCAATTTAATAATATACACTAATGATGTAGCCTACATTTAGTATTATGGTTTAGTAAGGTAATGTTTTAGTTTGTTAAGAGTGCTTATTGTGTTCTAAACTGACTGAAAGCAGCAACATGATGATATTTGTTGGTTTTTATGGGCAGAAAAAGTAACAGATCAAAGTAAACTGTAAATTCTTTTATATTACTACATGTATTTTATTCATAACATGTTGGTGTTATTTTCAGTTTGTTCCTCAAAATCCAGTGAAACATTCTGGATCTACATCAAAGACTAAAGAACCTGCTGGCCATGTTATGTCACGTATACAAGATCGTGAGTTACAGGAAATGTCAGATGAGGGCATGTGTATGAGTATGCATCAACCGTGGGCATCATTGTTAGTGGTTGGTATAAAACTGTAAGTGTTTAGTTACTTTATTCAATTATCCCAAGTATGTGCATTAAAATAATGTTGACAAAAAGGATAAAGTAACCATTTTATGATTGAATTTATGTAAGAATGACTGTATAATTTTTGCACAGTTGTAAGGAATCATGTGTTCTCAATATGCATTATTCTCTTAAATAATACTAATACTGTTGTTGCCATTTTAGTTTTGATAAGGTACTTGTAAATAAATAATTACCACTATATCTTTTCAAACCATGCAATATTAATTATGCCCTGATGTGTACATGTTTGATTTAATATATGGAAAACAAAATAGATATAGAGGATCACCAAAATGGTTTCATCTACAAGAAAATGTCTCTTTAGAGATGCAGACCAATTTTTTTCACAGAAAAAAATCACTTAAATTTATATGACTGTAAATACATGTATGCAGTGTATTGGTCTTCAATATTTTATACCAATATTCTTGCAGCATTTTAAATAAATTATTGGTCATTTTGCACAGTTATAAAGGGATAACTTGGTATACAAAATTTGCAAAATTTTGGTATAATAAATGGTACACTCTATTTCTTTAGGCATTTTACGATGTATATTATTTGTTATTATATACAGTCATGAGGGAAGAACATGGTATACATCACATAGAGGCAGACTATGGATAGCTGCCACAGCAAAATCACCTGATCCTGCTGAGATAGCCAATGTGGAACAGATGTATAAAACTGTCTATAAAGGTAACACACTTGAAGATTTGAACAAGGTATTTTTGTAAAACACAAATGCTTCCATTCTATATTAATAAACAAATAAAAAAAGTTGTGGTAGATTGTCCAGAATTTTGTATACAAATAAATCCCACTAAGACTGTTTAAAAATTCGTGTATTGAAGATATCCAATCAACTTAAAAAAATTAATGACCACCAATTTGATGTAATCTGAAATAATGTGTTGAAAAGGATTTTCAGTCTTCTTAGAAAGTTAAAATGTGATCTTAACTGTGTTATACTTGATTTAAAGGTCAGCATAATAAAAGAAATGTATAAAATGATGTGGTTCGAATTCAATAATTGTCGGCATGAATAAAGCTTACTATATATCTTGTAACATTTCACTGATTGATCCATTACCCTGTTGAATTTGTAAAATAGATTTGATCTGCTTTTCAATCAATGAAAGTTTTAGAGGCTTCAAAATTAAAAAAAAATGTACTGGAGTAGACCATTGTATAGAATCTACATAAATGTGTAAACTGGATAGGCTTTTCACGGTTAAAGAAGTCTGTATTGTAGTTAGTACTATAATGGTTAATGATATGGTTTTTGAAATATTTTCAGGTAAAGATCTACAGTTTCCCAGTCATTATCCTGTAGGTTGTTTACTGGGATGTGTAGATGTTGTTGATTGTCTTTCACAAGATACATATCAGGAACAGGTAATACAAATGTTACCATAAAAGACCATAAACCTTCATTCATTACCAACAATCACTAAAATACACCATTAAATTACCATAAATCTCCATTCATTACACAACAATAACTGAAATACACCCCATACCAACAACCATAAACCAACACCCTGAGCCATAAGACAAAATTATTAACCACACTGAACTACTTTTCATATTAAGTAATATAATATATAGAAAATCTGACAATCCTTTTATAATTTCATGCAGGTACAATATGTTAGACCAGTTTTAAATATATATGCTTGACTATTCAAAGAATAGGGAGAGCAACTGTACTTACCCAGACGTCCAGTCGCTGTCACACTTAGTTAATATTTGCATGAATATTTGTGTGCAAGTTGGTATTTCCAAAACTACTGAGTTTAACGAGTTGAAACATCTAAAACTTTATTGTTAACATAACAGGAGACCACTGTCGATGGCCCTTAACTATAATGTGGACTTTGACATAATTATAACCTTTTTTGAACTTGAAAAATTCTACATTATCGAGACTCTTGTTTTACTTTCGGGCACTGAGAATATTGCACACTGTCCTTCTGATAGCTCATGTTGCTTTATATTTATATTTACATCTGGTTTGTTTATACCTACATTGTATATTTCAGTTTCCAGAGGGAGAATCAGGTTCACCATTTGTGTTCATTTGTGAAAATCCTTGTGAATTGGTTGTTAAATTTCCAGTTAAAGGGAAACACAAAATTTGTAAGTTCTAAAAGGGACTCCACTCAGGTTTAAAAGCCTAGAAACAAAACATTTGAATTTCTTACAAAATTGAGCTGGGGCACTTTAAACAGAAATATATGCAAAGATAGTTAAGAAATATACTTCGAAATAAATTGAAAATCATATTTTTATGCTTTTCTTAGCCCAATTTGGGCGAAAAGCATTTAAAGGCTTTTCATTTTGGGTAATTTTTTCACACTTTGTATAATTTTTCTGGAAAAACGACGTGCGCGAATGAGCTGAAATTTTGCATAAAGATTAGTGGTCTAAACCTCCATCAAATGGTACATTTATCTGGAAAAATATTTTCAGTCCCATCATGTCAAAAAACCTCAGTGGAGTCCCTTTAATGGGTCTTAAGTTTTTCTTTCAATGTTGCAGAGACATATCATAAGCATGCCAAGTTTTATATATATACATGTATATTCAATTTTTATCTTGTGTTAAAAAGTCAATTGAAAAAAATCACCAAGGAAAGAAGCTAAATTTTTAAGTACTTCTTTTTGGAAATAAATTCAGTTTTTATTCTCTCCCTTTGATCACATGAGAATATGATTGGAAATTTTAGTTGGTTATTTCCTGTTTTCATTTTCCCATATTGAGTCATATTCCTTTGTTACTAAAATGACATTTTAAACCAAATTAAACTTATATTTTTAGTCTGATGTTGAGATCCAATTAATATAACTTTTATGGATATGTAGTACATTAATTAATATCAAGTTGCATTTGAACTGATTTTTATGTATGAAAGGTACAGAACTCTGCATGTATTGAGTTATTTCCCTTCATGTTCATAGAATAGACTTAAGATATTAAAGAAATGCATTAAGATAATTGTCTTATTAATATTTTCAGACAAGCTGGATTCACATATACATAAAGCTGCAAAGAAAGGTCTCAGATAGTGAACAATATGATGGTATTGGTGATGAGTTATCTCAAATAAAAACAACAAGAGTTAGATCAACATTCAGCAACTCCTGTTGTCAAACAGTCCAGCATTATGTCAATTAAAAATTAATTGATATGTCATTTATTATTTATATGTCAATTATATAATAATTGTAATAATTGACATGTTACAGAGATGCTTTTTAAGATTTTGTCTTTCATATTAAAAAATTCAAGCTTTAGTCTACAAGTTACTTTTAATTGAAAATAGCTATCTTATTTCATTATTTGGGTTTATGCACATTAAACAATGTTAAACAGAATAATAATACATAATGACTATATGGCTGAAACTTTGATTTGATCTTAAATGCCATGTCTAAAAAGTTGTTGGACATCTGAATAACTGCTGATATTGCTGACCGATTTTTAACTTCTTTTACAAATGGCTTTTAAAATGATGTATTCTTTGTACTTATGTAGGACACACATAACTGTATCCCTAATCAGAAGTGTTCTTTTTATTTAACTTTCTTTAAGTCTTTTTGTTATTTTCATTTTTTTTTCATTTGAGGAACACAGTTTATTTTTTTGTTTGTACAAGTATAATTATTTGTTTATTGTTAGAATATTTTCAAGTCTAGATACAAGTCAAATATTTCAAACAAACAATCACAAGACTCACTGATTTGAATTTAATGATTGAGGTATTGGCTAATTTATGTTCTTTATAAATAATGTTTAAGTCTTTGTGGTCTTTACATGTTGTAGTGTATAAAGCTATCTATCTTCTTCTTTTTCTTCTTCCTCTTAAAAAATGACCAATTTGGCCAGGGGTCAAGAGGGGTGGGGGGTATTTTAAACTTAAGGTTAAAAATACAATTTTAACAGTATTTCAACTGATGATATATATTGCCAATCTGTTAATAATGAAAACACGTGCTAAAGGCTGCATGTTTTATTTTCCTTAAGAACACTTGACATATGCATAAAATCAGTGCTAAATGGTTAAAATCCTGCTTAAAATATCAGCATATTATTTTGTTCTGTGATATCGTATTCTGTTTGTTTGTTAGATATCAGAGACATTCTGTATTATAACTCTTTCGAGAGTCTATCAAATATCATGGAAACATTATTATACCCCCGCACAACAAAGTTGTAAGGGGGGTATACTGGAATCAGCTTGTCCGGCCGTCCGTCGGTTTTTTCTTGTCCGCCCAATAACTTAAGATTCCTTTGACCCTTAGTCTTCATATTTGGCATGGAGGTTAGTCATGATTAGTAGATGACCCCTATTGATTTTGAGGTCACCAGGTCAAAGGTCAAGGTCACAGAGGCCTTGACTTCAAAAACCTTGTCCGCTCAATAACTTAAGATTCCTTTGACCCACAGTCTTCATATTTGGCATGTAGGTTAGTCATGATTAGTAGATGACCCCTATTGATTTTGAGGTCACCAGGTCAAAGGTCAAGGTCACAGGGGCCTTGACTTCAAAAAGCTTGTCCGCCCTATAACTTAAGATTCCTTTGACCCACAGTCTTCATATTTGGCATGGAGGCTAGTCATGATAAGTATATGACCCCTATTGACTTTGAGGTCACCAGGTCAAAGGTCAAGGTCACAGGGGCCTTGACTTCAAAAAGGTTGTCTGCCCAATAACTTAAGATTCCTTTGACCCACAGTCTTCATATTTGGCATGGAGGTTAGTCATGATTAGTAGATGACCCCTATTGACTTTGAGGTCACCAGGTCAAAGGTCAAGGTCACAGGAGCCTTGACTTCAAAAAGCTTGTCCGCCCAATAACTTAAGATTCCTTTGACCCACACTCTTCATATTTGGAATGGAGGTTAGTCATGATTAGTAGATGACCCCTATTGATTTTGAGGTCACCAGGTCAAAGGTCAAGGTCACAGGGACTTTGACTTCAAAAAGTTTGTCTGCCCAATAACTTAAGATTCCTTTGACCCACAGTCTTCATATTTGGCATGGATGTTGATCATGATTAGTAGATGACCCCTTTTGATTTTGAGGTCACTGGATCAAAGGTCAAGGTCATAGGGACTTTGACTTCAAAAAGTTTGTCCACCCATTAACTTACGATTCCTTTGACCTACAGTCTTCATATTTGGCATGGATGTTGATCATGACTATAAGGTGACCCCTATTTATTTTGAGGTCACTGGGTCAAAGGTCAAGGTCACAGGGACCTTGACAAAAAAAAGCTTCTCTTCTCAATTGCTAAAGAATGTCCTGTCCGCAATGTATTGATTTTGACATTTTCACATTTGAAGCATGTAGAATACATAACTTAGCAATGCGCTGGCTTAGTAACCTCAGATTTGGCAGGGAGGTTGTTCTTGAGCTCTAAATGGCCACTGTTGATTCTGACAAAGTGGTATGCGGGGGTATTCACGCCATGATAGTGGCAGTTCTAGTTATTTTAGTGTTACTAAAGTTTATTAAAATTTTTCATAAGATACAGCTTTATACCCTTCAATGAATGAATAGAGTAAGGCTGTGCAATATTTTGTCTAAACTGAACTGTATGTCTTTCTTGTTTCTTGAGACTTGTAATGAACTATAGTTTGCAGCTTAGAAGGTTGCGTATAGAATAGAAAATAAATATATGTTTGATTAGATTTTACTGATATATTCTGTACAGAGCTGGCCTCCACGATTAAATGGTTTATGTCTATTTTAAGTAAACAACATTAATTTCTTTGCTATGATTTCAATTCCTGTTAGAAATTTATCCTGAGGTCTTTAAACTGGTAGAAATTTATCCTGAGGTCTTTAAACTGGTAGAAATTTATCCTGAGGTCTTTAAACTGGTAGAAATTTATCCTAAGGTCTTTGAACACAAGTTTGAAATAAAACATATCTACTAAAAAAACTATATCAAACAAGCCTACAGAACGTAGGTGGTTCTACTCAGATGCCTGAAATAATGCTCGGAAGGGCACCTGAGGTCTTCCTCCACCAGTAAAGCTGGAACGTCGCCAAATGACCTATACTGTGTCGGTGTGACGTAAAACCCAATCAAACAAGCAAGCTAATTGACTAAGTGTGTCTCCCTTAGTCATGGGTCACACTGCAAGAAATATGGTATTCATCTTTGTATTGTACTTGGTCTAATATTTGCAAATAATAATTTGTCCTAACATATATATAAAATGTTTGTCAAATTAATTTTTTGTATTATAAAAAGTGACCTTAAACAATTCAAGAAGGACATCTTTATGGGTTACAGTTTATCAGAATTGCATTTAAGGAAGTTATCTGGGAATGTGATGTAAATCTTTATCAAAAAGAAATAATGTGATAATTTATTTCATTATGTATTTTGTTGTTTATTTGAATTGTTATGTTCTAATCAATGAAGCGCTAAATTAAAAATTTTGGGAAATACTTATTCGTTGTTGTTTTGTGTTTGTAGGGAATTGATGGGAGTGTTTGATATGATGGTGGTGATATTGATAATAGATATTGTGATGATGATAATGATGATGACTTATAATATTGATGGTCATGGTGATAAAACAGTATAAAAATGACATTGTAGAATTTTAGATTAAAATAATTAACATTATTTGTACATGGTTATATACTACATGTATTTGTTCTTACAGTAAACAGTTTTTTTTTGCATATATTATCTAGCCGTTAGAAGAAAGAAACGTTTTTAGCTCGACTATTCGAAGATTATGAGAGCTATTGTAGTCGCGTCCGCGTCGGCGTCTGCGTTGGTTAAAGTTTTTTGTTAAGTCAAATATCTCAATTATTACTTGAGATATTCAATTGAAACTTACAATACTTATTTATAGTAACAAGGTACATCAGATTGACAAGTTGGATAACTCCGCCTACAATATTGACAGAATTATGCCCCTTTTTAACTTAGAAATTTTGGTTAAAGTTTTTTGTTAAGTCAAATATCTCAATTATTGCTTGAGATATTCAATTGAAACTTACTTATTTATAGTAACAAGGTACATCAGATTGACAAGTTGGATAACTCTGCCTACAATATTGACAGAATTATGCCCCTTTTTAACTTAGAAATTTTGGTTAAAGTTTTTTGTAAAGTCAAATATCTCAATTATTGCTTGAGATATTCAATTGAAACTATAGTAACAAGGTACATCAGATTGACAAGTTGGATAACTCTGCCTAAAATATTGACAGAATTATGCCCCTTTGGAACTTAGAAATTTTGGTTAAAGTTGTTTTGTAAAGTCAAATATCTCAATTATTCCTTGAGATATTCAATTGAAATTTAAAATACTTTTTTATAGTAACAATGTACATCAGTTTGCAAAGTTGCATAACTCTGCCTGCAATATTTGCAGAATTATTTGCCCCTTTGAAACTAAGAAATTTTGGTTAAAGGTTAAAGGTCTTCAAAGATATTTACTTGAAACTTTACACATGCACTTAGGGTCATAATTGGAGGGTCATAATTGTATGTCACTGACCAAGTTCCATAACTCTATCTTGCATTAAGGCTGATATATATCCCCTTTTCTACTTAGTCTCTTGGTTAATGTTTACATGCAAGTTTTACATATCTCTATAACTATTAAAGATATTTATTTAAAACTTCACATATGCATTTAGGGTCATAATTGTAGGTCACTGACAAAGATCCATAATTCTATCTTGCATTTAGGCTGATTTTTCTCCCCTTTTTCAACTTAGAAATTCATGGTAAAGTTTTGCTTGTAAGCTGTTATCTCAATAACTACTGAAGGGTTTGTGCCTTTTTTGGGACAATTTTATGCATTCATAATAATAAAGCAGTGATTTACTTGATAAAACATCTTAATAACAAGCCTTTGTACCTTTTCTGTCAAATTTATGTATTCATAGGTAATTAGTATTATTATACTCAATAAAACACCCTTGTGACATTACCTTCCGAATAGTCAAGCCAATACTGTATAATTAGACTCTCTCTAAGGCCTATAACATGAATTTTTGAAAAATAATTAGCCCTTTTGTGAACTTAAAAAATGAAACATTATCAAGGCTCTTTTACTATCAAGCACTTAGAATAGTCGAGCGTGCTGTCCTACCGACAGCTCTTGTTATATGGCAATATTACCAGTCACTCACTGTTAAACGTTTTATTTAGAAAATCATAATGTAGATTACTTCTGATTTATTCTAAAACAGAAAATGAAATTAATAGACAGCAGCCGTATTTATACTTTATTATCCAATGAAAACCGTCGTTACCAACGTGCAGTAAACAAACGTGCAGTATAATAATAGCTTCACGTTCACATCTGACCTTGAGCTGTTTTCGGTGACAGAAATAGATGGTCAACAAATACAGGTTGCCCATTAATTGATCGTCATCTGGAAATGCAGCCACAGTGCTGCCTGTCTGAAGAACAGTAGGATTCAACGTTTCTGGTAGACCTTAATTTAGAAGGTGTCGCTGTGACAACATCATTAGTCGTTATTATCTTGTAGCTCTTAAGTCACCTTTACTCAGTTTCTGTAAAAATAAGTGTATTTATAAATGTAGTGTATTAGTTAGTGCAATATACGAAATACTGTCAGAAGTACCCACTAGTGATACCCAAGGCTGTGCCGGCCGCGGCCACCGTAACCGGAGAGGTTTGGGTTGAAGAGGCGAAAATATAGCTGGCCAGACATTGTGTTTATATCTCTTTCTTTTGTCCTATCCAACCTCTTGTAACTTTCTATCATTTCATGTATATTTGAGCTGTGTCATGACAGAACCAACATAATGGGTTTGCGACCAACATGGATCCAGACCAGCCTGCGCATCCGCGCAGTCTGATCAGGATCCATGCTGTTCGCTTACAACCCCTATTACAAGTACAGAAACTGATAGCGAACAGCACGGATCCTGATCAGACTGCGCGGATGCGCAGGCTGGTCTGGATCCATGCTGGTCGCAAACCCATTATGTTGGTTTTGTCGTGAAACGGCTCATTTCTTTTTCTTGACCTATCACCACCCGTCGCGTTATAATCAAGTGTGATTGCGCCGACGTAGATGAAGTACTCTTAGCTTGACAAGCAGAAATCAAGCTTCCGATCCTTCGTTGTTTAACATAGTTACCGCTTGATTAAGCGCCATGTTTTCTCCTATTTTTGTCAGTATTAATACAGAAAAAAACAATAATAACAACAAAATCCAATACCCCCCCCCCCCCCCCAAAAAAAAAAGATAAAAAAGACACATTTTCTATAGGAGCGGCCTAATTTAGTCTCTAGTACATGCCCTTGAAAAATAATAACACTATTTTGATTCGTACACGTTAAAACAGGAAACATGTATATTAACCATGCTTGGTTGATTGAGAACCGCGACATATGGTTGTTGTCTACATTATTTTTTTTACTACTTTAATCATGATAGATTAGTACACCAATTTCTGACAGTATATCAATTAACAGTTTTAAAATATGAATATGGTTGTCGTTTTTTTTTGTGTTTTTATTATTTTTTTAGCTGTTTTTACTGATATAATACAAACAGCGCCAAACACTGAAAATATCTGTATCATGTTAAAAATATCTGCCAGTTCTCGTACTGTATACTTTGTACAAGATAGACATGTACAAACACTATACTGCAATCAGGATTTAATTAACGAGGCAAAAGTTATAGAGCAGTGTTCCTCAACTAAATAAATGATTAACAAAAAAAAAAAAAAACAAGCGTCACCTCGTTGGTTGTAATATAAATTATGGGTTTGAAACTGCCGTCTTTAATCTGAGTGTTTTCAGGGATTTCAAACTTGAGAACCACCAGGCAGTAAACTGTCTTGTCAGAACATACTATTTATAATGTAGTAAAACGCCTCGTCAGAAAGTTATAATGCAGTAAAATGCTTTGTCAAAATGTAATGATGCAGTAAAATGCTTTGTCAGAAAGAAATAATGCAGCAAAATGCTTTGCCAGAGCGTAATAATGCAGTTTTACCTAGTGCAATGCTGATAGTTTAAAAGTTCACGCCCGATGTTTTGATACTTTTATTAATTCACAAGATTCAAACATTGTTTTTAAGTAGCATTGTAAAAGATTGTATAAGATCAATTTATAGACGAAACATCTTTACTTTAAGGATTACGTGCCACATTAATAATTTATTTTTTGGATAACTTACTTCGCTCCAGTGTTGTTATATTTTTATGGTCCTTCGGGATCATTGATTTCAGCACTATTAAGTGTTGGAAATTGAGTACCTCTCAAGCCGGTGCTAGGGGGGGGGGCATGAAAGATGTTGCACTATTTTTTTACCCCTCATGTACAGATACCATTAAACCATGTCTGCACTTTTCATGTAATTTGTTGTGATTAATGCTTCAGATGGATTACCATTTCTCCAGATCTTTATACACACGTCAATGTAGCAGACATTTTTGCCATGTCCACTTTACTGCCTTTACAAATGTCGTCTGTTGTATTGATTGAAAAACTATTATTTTCAAAAGAACATGATGCCATATTTGTTTTCAGTTGTGGCATGCTAATGCAAATAAACTTGGAATTAGTATAACGACATGAATTATTTGGTTTATTCAAGAATACTGATGTGCCAATTCTGATATTGATGATCAATACGAGAGTTCAACAACACATCACTATTTCGTTTCATTGGGAAACCCCTCGCCGATAACTGTATTTACCACAGATTCAATTAACACAATATTACAAATCATGGAGAACATTATACATGTACACAATTCATGTTGATCAATCGAACCAGCGTGAGAAAAGCAACAGTTTATGCTAATTAACCTCAAAAAGTAAACACAATATTTCAAAATAAGACTGTCAAATAGGTGCATGTACGTTACCTTTTGACCAATGAGCGCCCGTCTTATATTTATTAAACAGTGACGTTTTACCGCCAGTACGTTATTAGATAGGTCATCAATCACAATATGAAAGATGCATTTTAATAATTGTCGTCTGCTGAAATTAGTTTTACATTTTTCATTCATTAAGACAACTTGAAGCTTTGACGTAATATCTCACACATAAGGCTGTAAAAGTCGCAGCTATTTTACTATGATTTATTGTTATTTATTGTCTATACATGTGACAGTTATTGATGAAGCGGTGCGTACGTTTGTTCAGCTTTACAGCGTAACTAACCACGACATAAAAACGCTCCAACCAACAAGCATGATTTCGGCCAAATTTAGAAAAAAAATCTCCTAAAAACGAAGATCATGGTGATGTCATGAAAAGTTTATTTCCCGGTCATTTGATATAAATACATTTCCCAAATAGATTTTCTTATCAATCGCTTGGTTTCTGGGGATAACAAAGGTATATTTTCTTTGTAATATTTCTTTTGTCGCCGAATATTTTTCCAAAGAAATTGCTGCTAAAATACAACCATTCTCTTGATATTGTAAGACAAGTAAATATTTGAAACCAGAGTTCGAAACACAATAAATTTCACTTAAAAACAACCATACCGTTCACTGAATAATTAATCTTTTTATCATTGCAATATATTCTTTTCAAAATAACCGATGGTTGTTTGGTTCTAGTACTTTCCGGGAGTGAATTTGTATTCAGAAAAATGACTTTTGACATCGAACGCATTCGGTTTTCAGAATTCTTATGATTGTCTTATATAAGACATCTCATAGACGCAGACGAATTGCTATTATCATACGATAAACATGTAGACAGTATTTAATAACTATACCTTTATATCGACTATGCATCTAACATCATTCAACATTTTTTAAAATGATATAATTCATTTTACAGATATAAAAATGGTTCCAAAGATTATACGGTTTCTGGCTGGTTGCTGCCTCGTTGCTTATATTAATTGCCAGAGGTTTGGAGGGGATGGAAGGTTTGGAGGGGAAGGAAGATTTTTTGGAGGGAACGAGTTTGGAGGTCAAGGTTTTGGAGGTAAGGCATTCTTCTATATTACATTTTTTTCCAAATTTTAAGTAATTTTAAGTGCTTTTAAATTACATACATACATATGATAACGATACCTTTATTTTTTATTTTGTGAGCAGCATTTTCGGTGAACCTTCAACTAATGACAGCCTTAAAGATAAAAAATACATTGAAATAATGACATTTTTAAGATTTTTGGCATTTTGTTATAATTATTTTTTCAAAATAAGTAGTTTATACATGTACATTTTTTTAATCTTTATGCTAGTTCATTAATAAACGTCACTTCTTGTATGTGTGAAACTTCAAATGTCAATCGACAGAAAATATATAAAGAATGATTTTTTTTAGATTTATTTAACTTACAAGTATATACAAATGAAATATAACTTTGACAGAAAAAACGAAACTCGTGTAATATTACTGATCAAGGACGAAATGATATTTTCGTAAATTAGGATTTTTACAGTGCCTTTTCTCTCTCTCATATTCACTTCAAATCTATTAAATTTATTTAAATTGAAATATGTCGTCTACTTGATCCAGCACTTTTATGATTTTTTACACAGACAAAATGAATATGTACATTTTAATACAATAATAGGTTTAGTAATGTCAAAATAAAGTTAATGTGATTTGACCTAAGTTGACCTAAAACTTGATGAGTAATTATTGTAATTGTTTTATTTAGACGTACAACAATAATGACATACTTGCACGATTTTCACGATCAATGAAAACTTAGTTTTTATTTCAATTAACCTGATCATTGCTAATTATATAGACAATAAAATATACAAAACCAGTAAGAACAGGACAGACTTGATTAAATATGTTCAATATGGTTTAAGTAAATAAAATACGTACTGTGATGTTAACACTGAATATATACAACATGATAGAAAGTATATACTGTAGATATGTTACCAAGAACTAAAGACCTACATGTACACTGATACTTTTTTAAAAGATAAAAATATTTCCATCCCATCATGTTATACTGCTTAATAGTTATGAAAAAAAATCAGCTATTTGGTTAAGAGATTCAGGGGAATAATATTATTGTAAAAAAAAAGCTGATAATAACTATATATTTCACAGGAAATATATGAACTTTCACAGGAAATATATGAACTAGTTTCAAGTATATTCGTGCAAACATCATTATAAAACTAATGGTAAGAAAGATGGGACAAATATACGTTTTTAATTTGAAGCTTATCATTATCTAATAAAATGTTTCTTTTAATTTTAGAACTTCCACCAGATGTACAAGCCGTATTAAATCGTGAAATTCCCGGAAACGGAAATGGCGAATTTATTGCTCTGGGAGGAGCTGGTATTGGGGAACGCCACAGTAATGGGTTACGTAATGGTTGGGATGGCAACCCGGCAACACGAGGAATGCCAGTCTCTATGCAAGGCGGATTCCAACAGGACCAGATGCTGGGCGACTTTGGACTCGGTGGTGGTATGCATGGAGGACACGGTGGTGGTATGCATGGAGGACATGGTGGTGGTATGCATGGAGGACTCGGTGGTGGTATGCATGGAGGACATGATGGTGGTATGCATGGAGGACATGGAGGGCATGGAGGTCAGATTATGCAGGGTGGATTTCAGCAAGATCAGTTTGATGTTCAACCAATAGGTCAAGCAAATATTCATGTCCCTTTTGTTGATGGAATGACAGGCCAATTCGATAACTTTCAAACTGGGCCATTTCTCAATCCTGGCCAAGACAATTTTGTACCAATCAGCTCCGTTATGGGAGGAGATGTAGCCTCTCTTGGTGGGTATGGTAGAAGATACCACCCTAAGAAACCTACCATTCCTCCTAAAAAACAAACAGTCTTGCCCAAGAAGCCAGTAATGAACCCAAAGAAACCAATTTCTTATTCTAAAAAGCCACAAATGCAACATAAGAACCCATTCTATCCAAAACGACCAGTCATTCACCCTAAGAAACCAATTATTAAGCCAATGAAACCAACTATTCACCACAAACGACCAATAATTAACCCAATCAAACCAATAATCAATAAAAAAAAACCTATCATTCGTCCAATGAAACCAGTTATTTCCCCAAAAATGTCTATAAATTACCCTAAAAAGCCATCCATTTTACCAATTAACTACCCTAAGAAACCAATCATGCACCCGAAGAAATCACCAATTTATCCTAAGCAACCAGCTATGAAATCCTTTGGACATGGCGGATATGGACGCATAAGGACTAGAGGTAAGCATTATATCTTTTATATGATAAAGTAAATTAGATATACAGTTCAGTTTAAACGCTTTTTGCCTATGAATCAAGTTGAACAAAAACATAAGTGCCTGCAAAAATAAGATATTTATGTAGTTTGTTTCCTGTGTTAAAGGTAACATATTAGATGATTAAATATTGAGTCTTTACATATGTTGTAATTAATCAAATTGACAGCTTCATGTTTTAAGGGTCACCCTAATATAATAATTTTATCTTTGTTGCAGGTGGATATTGAGTTTTTATACTTCTACAAACACAATGAACAGAAAATCCAAGAAGATCCGAATGATATTTATAATTGTGTAGTGATGTACATGTATTTACAAACACGTGCAATCTCTTTTGTCCTAACAATATTTTCTAAATAAAATGTTATATGATACTATTTTTGAAGACATTATTTATGTATTGTCCAGATCAGGGAAAGAGCAGTCTAGATCGAACTTGTTTGGCATGAGGAAAATATAAACAAACACATGTGTTGAATGAAAAAGGGCATTTATTGAAAATGCCATAACTGACATTAATTAAAACTATTGCATATAAAACATGTTATAAAAATTATCCGAATGGTAAAACTGGGAGGTTACAAAACCGCCAAAAGGGAACCGCCGCCCAGATCTATCTGTGTATGCGTTTTATGAGAACACAACAATGTATGTCTCTCTGTCCCCATTTATTCACTTACAATTATCTAATTTAGACTTTGATACCATCAATCAATTTATGCAAAATATGTATCCTTTATATACTGCAGAATATTGATATAGTGCATATACCAAATGTCATATATCATATTGAATATATATTACATGCATAATATCAATACCACATGGAATAATGTTAACACATAAAACCATTTTTCTGAATAAATTTAACACCAAATTTAAAAACACATTAGCTGTTGATGTTCTTTTTTCATTTTTTTGTTTCATTTATAGGACGTTATGTCTCAGAAATGTTTTTATTCTTGAAGTCAAACTACTACTTTGTCTACATTTTATGACAAATTATTTCACATTTAGCACTACTTTCTTCAGGTAACAAGCACTTAACTTTCCTTTAAAGGGATACTCGGGCAAATAAATGACAAAAATATGAAAATGATTAAATGTACTCAAATCACGCTAAAATGTTATTTTTTTAAAGTTCAGTATAAATTCTATATATTTTGGGCTTGAAGCGTAAATAAATCTAGATATATTGAACGAAATTTAGACACCGACTGAATCACCGGGTAGTTTTAAAACAAGTCATGTGACTTGAACAAACCCTGGAAGTTATAATAACAGATATTGTAGGATTGAAACAAGTCTAAGTCATTCATTTGGCATGTTCTTTAACGGGTCCAGAGTTCATTGTGACAACTATTGTGAAATCTTAACGCTCTTTCCTGACCCACGCGGGTCAAGTTACGAAACCGCCATTTTATTTTTTATAAGGAGTTTTTTTTCCTATTCCTATGACTACCTAGTGTATTTATTTTACGGACATTTACCGAATAATGAATAAAAAATAAAAACGAAGAAATGAAATTTTTCCCTGTGTCTTCCTAATTAATTCAAACGTTAAAAAATCACATTGACATTTCTAAATAAATAAAAAAAAATCTGAGGCATAATGTGCCTTTAAGTCTTTTGAAAAGGCTTCTTTTGTCATATTTAGAAGGAAGTACATATAATGTGAACAAAGAAACCAACAAATCTATTCAGACGACTTGCCTTGTTAATGTCATTTCTTTCATAAGGTCACGTGGGTTTGCGTTAGAAAATTGCTTTTTTAATACTTTGTAAAAAACAACAACAACAACAAAACAGCACACATTCCGAAATAGACAAATCGAATTCCGCCAATATTTGCTGGAGCCCAGCATAAATACTGATCATTATGCTATATGTGTACACCAACTATAATTCGTTTTGTCACACCAAATTACTTATAAATTGTCAATGGTTGGTTTTTATCTCTAAAAAATCTTGTCATTTTCACAGTTATACATACATTACTTAACTACATTGTGTTTGTTAATGAATACACTCACACTTGTATTTTTATAAAGATCGAAAAAGTAAGTTAAACATTTTAAACGTATAGATAAGAATACACGTAAATAATACATAACATTTCCATTTTGAAACAAAGAAAGAGCATCGCAAAACAGAAGCTGTGTAGAGTATAATAAATATAACTTTTCTCTTAAATATCACGCTTCGTGTGAATCAGCATTAATACATTGTTACTGTTGTAACAAAACAATTTATACACTAGTTATAAAAAGTAATTTTAAGAACTATTCATGCGAGATGTATTAGAAACAAATATCAAAGAAAACGTACAAAACACCAAAAGTACATTTTACATTCAGATGTTAGAATGTATAGTGCATTACAAACTTCTGGCCTTTTTACGATTGCACCCGCGAAAGGTACACGAGAAAAACGTGCTGTGGCCCATGATTGCCGCTGAGCTAAGAACCGATCCATTCATTATCACTTGTTTGCAATTTCCTGTACACGATTTTATTGTTAAAAACTAGAGAGTTATCTGTCATTCGTACAATCTTTTCTAATTATGTAAGATCACCTGTTAACTAGACTGATTTATGTGAGACAATTCAAATATACACGCGAAATCTGATTGGTTGACAGCACTGACAAGTTTATTGCACGTGGTCATTTTATTTTTGCTATATTGAGGGCATTTTTGTTTTATTCCTTCCTATTTGTTAAGACAGCCAAATACAATGATGTCTTTGTTAGTAAATCAGACTAAAGTGTTACATTAAGGACATTGTTGAGACAGATAATAAAGTTAGTTAACTAGTTGTTAACCGTGTAATAATATAACTTGGAAGTTAGTGTCACAAGGTATGATTGTATTATTATTTTGTTAGTCATCTACACTCTGTATCTAAATTAGTAAACCTAATAATTAATACAGAGAATCTTAAGATGTACATGTATTAAAATAAGAAATACTTATGCAATTTCTCATTCATTTGTGACCAAAACAGAAACCATATTTTGTTTTAATCATAACTTTATAAACTTTTATTATAATTTTATTTCTATCATTCAGAATTTGTGATCACATCAATATAAAGTTTAGATGTGAAAATATTTTTTGAATAACACGTTCTTACAACAACACACATTAATTAAGATAAACGATGTCTATGTATTTACAGAAATTTATCTACTATAATCTATTTTATACCTGTCCATGCATTAAATGATAAAATGAAGTAATGTTAAATGACTATTCATGCCTTAAAAAAATAAAATGAAAATGTAGAAGTTTCCTTCGATTATAAAATAGTTTTGCGTTAACGCTACAATATCAAGCAAACCAAATAAATAAATGAATAAATAAATGAATAAATAAATAAATAAATAAATAAACAAATAAATAAAGAGAGAAAGAAAGAAAGAAACCCTACAGAAATATTGATCTATTCATAACCCTTTTCAATAAGATAACTCGTATTACTGATCAATGTGAAATAAATGTATTGCACTTATATTTTTATAATTAATTAATTAATATTAAGATGAGCATAACATGTTTATTATTATTGTTTTAGTAAATTGCAGTATTTAGTGGATCTAGTTTGCTTCAATATTTGTTTCCTGTTTCACATAATCTTTTGAATGTTAAATATATCATTCAAGTTGTATTGGAATGTCCACGATGGGATTAAAGTCCATTGTTATATTGCATTTATTTTGCTTGGAAGAAAATAAAAAAAAAAACCATCAAGGACAAAAGCATCACTTTATTTTCCAGACTTTTATACATTATAGATGTAAGGTACTTTATTCCTGTCTGATGTTCGGCTATCTATATCTGTAACGTTCAAACATATATCTTTGACAGTTATACATAATAACTTGTAAGGAAACACACATTATAAAAATGTATGTCTCGTTTTTACAATATTACACATGTAATAAAAAGATAAAAATAGCTCATGCTTCCAACACTGCAATGACCTTCTGGCTTTCAAACAAAAGCTATAGGCATTTTTTAAAATTTGGGATTTTATCATACAAGGCTTTGTAGAGGAATTGTTTTAGAAGAAATACAGTCTTTTCTAGATTCATTCTTATTTATTATATTGAAGCTTTTGACTGACAATCTGTTATTTCTGAATATACAATTTTCCGAGATAAGATAAAGAAAATATATCAAGAATGAGTAGATAATTTTAGGTTATTACAATATATAGTAAGTTAGCAAGTAAGTTAATATGAGTATAACATTAATTTTGATATATGAATCGAACTTCTATTTTTTTAGTATTACATGTATATTTCTTTCTATATTTTTTTTCTAAAATGAGTTTAAAACAATGGAGGGCATACGATAACAAAAAGGCAACAACAACAAAAAATAACAACAGAAAAACAACAACAAAGTAACAACAACAACAAAAAACAAGAAAGAAAGAAAAAAGAAATGAACATATTGTACAACATGAACATCGGTTATAACAATCATTTGATGTCATTAAAACATATGTTTGATCACAATTAACATTGATTTGTATTTACTTATAAAATGTAAAACATTTATAGACAACAAGTATGTAAAATAAAAGAGAAACAACAACATATATTGAAAATAGTTCATTTCATCAAACATTGAAAACATCAAAACATTAAAAAGATGTGAATGATCAAATGTATAGAATGGTGACACATTGTATAATTAGTTTTCTTTCGTGCAATTTTTTAATTAAGGACATATAAATCTACGATCATTACGCTCTCTGCATATTAGGTTTGGCATTACATTGCACCTGTTTTATCTTAAACGATGAGACAAAATATTAATACCTTATTAAAGGTAAGCAAATTCTTGATTGCATGCCATCATTGGTCGAAGCTACATCAGTCGCTCTCCTGAAACTCATTCACTGACCACAACCAAGAAGTGTTATGTAATAACTAAGGACTACAACAAGTCGTCGTGTATTTAATTATAATTTTATGTTCTTCAAGAACATTTCCTCTTTTACAGTTAGTTATGACAAGTTTATAACAATTTCATATACAATTCATGTTGTTGCTTGGATATACGAGATATGTTGCTAATTTTACTGTAACTTTATAGTCAGCAAGTTTATTGGCAGTGTTATATTTGTCATTGCTCTCACACCAGAATTATTCATCGCCTAATTAATGCAGAAATCTGATATCTTATATAAATATAAATTAATTATGTTATTAGTTAATACAAATGAATGTCCCTGATTTGTCATGAAGGTACATATTCACGAAGGACATCAAACACCTATACTGCAGTATAAACTGATTTTATTGTATCTTAGTTGTACTATATTGCCGTAAAACAATATTACTATGCGGCTTACTTCTAGATTGACCTTATTTTATTACCATAGTGATATATATTTTTTTCCTTTGTATATTTTTGTTGTGGTGAAACAACTCAATGTGGGTCAGAAATTCACGTTCATGGTTCAGAAAGTTTATGTAAACTACTTATGCAATATACGAAAGCATCTAATGGCTTTATCTTACACAAAGTACCTCTTTTCCGCTCCTTTGTCCTACTTACATATTCAGAACACATTTTGATTTCCAAATCTCGGTTTATTATCATGGACATGGGGACCCAGATACTGTCTAAATTGTACACATTTATGACAACAAAATAAGCTTTTATTTTTGTTGTATACACACTATGATATAATGACAATCAAAAGTAAAAAAGATAATATTTTAGACAAGAATAGAACAGCAATTATATATATCTGAGCCGCGTCATGACAAAACCAACGTAATGCGTTTGCGACCAGCATGGATCCAGACCAGCCTGCGCATCTGCGCAGTCTGATCAGGATCCATGCTGTTCGCTTACAATCCCTATTACAAGTAGAGAAACTGATAGCGAACAGCATGGATCCTGATTAGACTGCGCGGATGCGCAGGCTGGTCTTGATCCATGCTGGTCGCAAACCCATTTTGTTGGTTTTGTCGTGACGCGGCTCATCTATCTATTGTGATTTTTCAGATTGAGATATGAATATAGTTAACGCCGTCTTGTCGGTATTGTTCCTGTTTGGACATGTGATGTGTCAAGGTGAGTTAGCCTGTTTCTATAGTAGTGTGATACTGCATGACAACTGTAACTCTTGTATTCACTTCTAACCTTTGTTTCTGTTATATGTGGTTAAAATAACTATTTCTAATCTATAATTCCTTTAGAGGATGTGTTCTTTTGATTTACTGTTTCTATTATATGTGATATACGTACTTCTAACTGATACTTAGGAATTCATTTTTCACTTTCAGTCCTTTTGCCATGCAAAATAATGAGAAAGTTAATTAACGTATTAAGTCGTAACTTTTCATATAACCAATATTTAATGAGCAAATGTATAACTTCTCTATCTGTATCATTATCTATATCTACACTTCTATTCGATGATTCCAATGTGCAACAGTTTTCAATATTTATTTATAATAACAAGTATGACTTGTGATATATTGTTAATATCCATAATTGATTTCATATCTAAGTTATACATAAAATCTCGAACACGCCATTGCAATTTTGTGTTAAAAATCTACTACTGGTTTTGACCTTTATACGGTGCTGCACTTTCGATGGAGCAACGTAACTCCTTGCATGTTCACTGTTAAAGAGATCACTAACAACATATATTGTTTATTGTTTGTCATTTATACATTTTCTTGCAGACACTTCAGATAATTATGATACAATAGATCAATATACACAAGAAGGTATACAAACAAATAAACGTCGATCACTTAAAATGCTTTGTTATGCTTAAAAAGTGTTTCTGCTTAAAATTATTCAAAATTTGAGCATCTGCCTTGGGAACAGAAGCAAAATAGCAATTGGTAATATCCGATTTTGTGCCACGTATGGAACTTTTATCAATGTTAAAAATGTGTGGGGTGTGCTTTTCTTCTTTCATAATTTTTTTAAGTCGTAAAAACACATGTATGTTCTTATTGTGCAGAGATAAAGTAGGTAGACACAATACAACTCCTTTGCTTTGATACCCCTCATGCTTTGGACTGTAAAAACATTTTTGATTTTAATCAAAAATATAAAATGACACAGTATAAAGAAGGAAGAAGTTCTTTCAGTCATTAATGTTTCTTTTTATTCAAATGGCATTAAGACAGGAGAAAAAGAAAAATATGCTTCGCTTTTTTGCATTGGCTTTCTTGGAGTATTTTATAAATCTTTCGATACTTCATGGATAACGAACGCTAAAATAAGATAATTTTGTAACATTCTGGACTTTTAAGTAACAAAAATATTCCTTCTATTCACTATATGTAACTACATCAATTTAGTGCTAAATCTACGTTACTATCGCAACATGCTCTTTTATATGGTAAAACTTTCGTTGAATAATTTCAAACATTTTTGTAATCGCATACAAATTAGATAACCCAAAATTTCGTCTTAAGGTAATTGATGTTGTAATACTAATTGTTTTATTTATTTTAGGTAGATTTTATCGAGGGCAGTTTGACAGAGGATCTGGGGGGTCGCGGGATATAGGGTTGGGAAGCAGAAGTAGAACAGGTTAACTAAAATATCATATAACTTTTAAACCTTTTAAACAATACTTTAATTTTGAAATGTATGTAAATCTAGATATATACGTTGACTATTGTTATTATTGATGTATTTTTTTTTTATCTGCAACTCAATGATTGAAACACTGATATGTTATAATATATGAGCCGTGTCACGACAAAACCAACATAGTGCGTTTGCGACCAGCATAGATCTAGACCAGCCTGTGCATCCGCGCAGTCTGATCAGGATCCATGCTGTTCGCTATCAGTTTCTCTACTTGTAACAGGGTTTGTAAGCAAACAGCATGGATCCTGATCAGACTAAGGCTGGTCTGGATTCATGCTGGTCGCAAACCCATTATGTTGGTTTTGTCATGACACGGCTCAATTACATTTTAGAAATGATATAAAATCTCTACAAGTACGAGTTTTTGTCATGAAAGGGTGGGGGAGGGTTCACATAGGAGGTCAGCAGGTAGCTAAAGTAATTTAACATTAGCTTCCGCGTTGTATAACAAATCTTGTTTCTATAAATAAATTTAATATCGTTCTTATGATATTACAGCCGAATTTTTCAACAGCAATCTTCAGTTAGACAACGTGGCTCAGTTTAGAGGTTCACCATCAGGAATAAGTCTTGGAGGTCCTTCATTGACACGTGGCTTTGGTGGTTCACGCAGGGGTCAAGGTATTCAAGAAGATCCTTCGTTTATAAGAAGACTCCTTGGAAGTACAGTTATAGGACGTGAAATGCGCATGGGCGAACGTGGTGTGTAATATTATTCTTACAATGAATAATTGAGATATTAACATTAAGATATCAGACATCATAACTTCTCACACACGTCACAAAATTATCTGTCGTGTCATAAAAAAGTTAAATGTTTAATTGTTCGTTTTATTCAATTAAAGTTGCTTTACATGATATTTTTCGATCCGATTGTTTGATACAAGAGGTTAAAACGATTGAAATCAATGCATAAGTTATCACTTGTTTATTTCACAGGTCTACCACGACATGGTGGTGCAGGAATTGGGGAACAATACGCCGACGGGAGAAATAGTGGCTGGGACGGTAATCCACAAACTCTTACAACTCAGTACCAGAACAGCTGGTCCGATCCTTTTCAAGGCCAACCTATCCCTCAACTTCCGGTAGGATTCAATGGAGATTTCGGCTCAGTTAGAGGAATGTTCGGAAGTATGGGATTACCCCCTCTGCGCGTACCTGGTCAATTTTTATGTAAGTTTATATGTTATCCATAAATACTCGTAAAACCATGAAACTGTTGACCAATCACGTATTTCTATGTAGTATTTATTAATTAAAAGTATATTAATGTTTTCAAATAAAAGTGATTAAATATATAATAGAGAAAAACTTAATCCCTACTGAACGCTCAAAACGACAAAATAAGAAATGTTGCAGGCTCGGTTTGATTGAGCCTGTTCATGGACGGTACTGGAAAGTGCAAGTATTACCGTTCACGCCCCTTAGCACCGGCTTCAGCAGAATTCAACATTTAATCATGGCAATGGTGAATTTTTCAATTGAGAAACATCCGCAGATGTGTTCATCATGGAACCTTCAATGTGACACGTTAGTGCCATTCCATGAAAAACGGCGTATGGTCCCAAATTTAAAAAATGCGTGTGCCCTAAACGAGAAAACAATAGGCTGAACTAAACAAAAATGGACAAAGTTATGATTAATTATTTCAAGATGATTTCTTCGATTTTACCTGAAAAATAGTTTATAATGATTTATACTTTCATTTCAGAGACAAAGTGTTCCTAGAAATGAAACATAGATAAAGCTCTTAAAGAAAAGAAGTTTATAGAAGCTTAAAGAAGGTAATAGAAGCGTAAAACATCCAGAGCAAACCAAACACACAAGCAAACAAAACATGGAGACACATATTATCTTGTATCAATTATTTTTTTTTTTACACAAATGATGACGTTTTCCCGGAATAATATTTTAAGCATAGCAAAGTCAGAAAAATAAGGTTGGCGGAAGTATTCAACGATTGAGATTTTCAATGATATAAACTATTATAACAATTTAAGAAATATTTACAAAATTAACCTTTATTTTTATTTGTAAAAGTGGGAGAGAGAATGTGATTTAGGAATGTTTTAAATTATCAGCGTATCTAAGTTGCGTGAGTTGTTTTGTATATAATTTCAGAAAACTTTTTTTTTCAAATTTGATAAATTATAGGTCGTGTTTATGTTTTTTTGTATTTATTGTTTTTTATTGTCATGTTATTATAAATAAACTGTCAATTTAATTTATTTTGTTGTTTTATTCAATGTTGTTTATTCATCACGATTTTATTTCTAAAAGCTTAAAATAGATAAAAGATAACATTATCATAGTGAGCATCGAACAAATTAATGATTTATTGTGCACTGAATCTTATCCCATCGATCAAATTATAAAATTGAGTGTGGCGACGTAAAATACCACGTTACGCGTTCTGTACGTTTTCAGGGCTAGACGGCCTTACATTAACGTGAATAAACAAGACTTTTGTCTTATGACACCCACCTGTTGAAATCTTAGAATATATTAGTGTTTTTTACCCTATCAATTATGTCTAGTCATCATGTATGACTTTAATGCACAAAACATATTGTACATGCATGTTTGATACTTATTACATGTATAGTTTTTCTTACCCTGTTATCCTTATCGATTTGTCGAATTTGATTATAATTATAACTACACTTGATAAAACATATAAGCTGAAAGGAAGAAAATATTGCAACAAGATTTTTTGAAATTTACCTTCCCATCAACTTGAATCTCAATTTAGAAACATAGGGTAGATTAATAGTTTTAAAGTAATTTAAAGACATGTCCAAGATACTCTATAATTTAAAATATACTGAGCATGACATGTGCATATATACATATCCGATGTAAGAGTTAATATAATCATACACATTTAGCCGTGAATAAGTCGTATTATAGTCAAATCATTATAATCTGTCTAGGGAGATCAATTTAATGATATATTTTCAAAGTTCTGTTGTAATTTATTTAGCGCCAGTAGTCCAGAAAACAGTATTCCAAATGATTTCCCAAAACGCATATTTTGTCCAGGGATACAACATAAACAAAGCAATTTACTTCCAATAAGGTCCGTTATACAGCAACAAACGCTATATAAATTCCAAAATATAGTGCAAAATACATATAATATAAAAGTTAAAAAATCATTAACCAATTAATATGAGCAATAAATCATAAGAGAAATAATGAGTAGGTTTTAAACTACGTTCAGACTTGTCGGACGTAAGTTAACATTGTTTGACGGCGACGTGCATCCGTCCATCCCTCATTTTAACAAGGTTCATTTAAATAACACATTTTTAAAATGAGTTTTTTTTTCGTTTTTATAATTATCTTTCGATCTGTCTTTTTATGCTCCTTCTCTGTGGATTCAAGTAGTTTCCAGTTCAAATCAGTACAGCTTATTTTATTGATCTAACTTTTTCTCAGTACTCTTTGGTATTCAACAAAACTTTAAGGCGCGTTTATTGCATGTTTTCTTAGACACTAACACTTATATCCCTTTACTGATATTTGTTCTGTATCCATTATCCGGATCCTTTCTCAGTAACCACAGCAACTGCCCTACACTCTTCACTGTGATGAACAAATTGTGTTTGATTTTGTAATATTGTATGCAAATAGAGTCATTTGACCACTGCCATCCTGGAAATTGGAATTGAGAAGGGAAATACTATTTATGAATATGCGAAATGTTTGTTTCTAAAAAGTGGCAACTACCATATCTTTACTTCAGCTTTTCAAAAGTCATTTCATTTTCATAATTCTAAATCACGCTTAATAAAACTAAATATATTATTATGCTAGTTGTTATATCTATATGTTTTATGTATTTATTTTATGCGCTGTAATGATAATAGCTTGTTTCTATTTAATTTAAAACTTTCATCTTTTAAAGGCCACTGTAATATGAGCCGTGTCACGACAAAACCAACATAATGGGTTTGCGACCAGCATGGATGCAGACCAGCCTGCTTGCCAACTCTATAACAAGTAGAGAAACTGATAGCGAACAGCATGGATCCTGATCAGACTGCGCGGATGCGCAGGCTGGTCTGGATCCATGCTGGTCGCAAACGCACTATGTTGGTTTTGTCGTGACGCGGCTCATATAGTTTTAAACTTTATAAAGCGTCTGTTGCATGTCATGTGGTAGGAATGTTTTTTTTTTCCACATTAGATTTGCACACCTTACTGCTTGTTACTCACTATGCTCTCATCTTACTTTACGGCCAACATGATCCAAATATTCTCAATGGGTCTGAGGTAAAGGAAAACGGGGATGCACGGCTAGATGAATATAATTAATATGCATAAATTTATATTTAATATGCATAACACAAGTCATAAAAGGCTGTTTTATCATATTTTATGTAATTTTTATTATTTGACCCTTACCGTACTAAACTGTAAGTCTTTTTTATACAATCCGCTTGTTTCAAAAATGTTATACCACTCTTTTAAGGTTATTGAATAAGATACAAATTGTACTAAACAAAATGAAATTTCAATAATGAATATCACAAAAGTACGTCATTCCAAATTATTTTGTCTATGCGTATTTATACATTTAAACTTAGAAATCAGAAATATGGTCATTTTTCTTGCATGGCAATTTTCAAGACGCTACTCGAAAGTGTCGCGTTCTACCTTAAAGCTACATGCCTCCAGATCAGCCAAAATATTTCAATATAAACAAACTTGAGAAAAAGTGAACTAAGATTTATGAAAAGTGAAAGGATTCAAGATTTAAGTTTCAATTTACATAATATATAAGAATAATGACTAAATTTTCAGAATTTATAACTATATTTCTACTGAGTTACTAACGCAGTAAGGGTCACTTTTGTATAATTTGACCTCTTTTTGGTAATTTACGTGGGTTACAAGTGCCGTTTATAATGTGTAAATTGCTTTCTTTTGGTTATTTCACAGTATTATACATTCAAATAATTTTTCCAAAATTCAATGAAAATTAGCATGAACCTGGAGGCATGCTGCTTTAATGCATAATGAGCTCCTAAGCATCACGTTCTAAGTAATCATGAATCCTACATTTGGTGTGAGGAATATTTGAGCATGTTGCGTACTGATCAGATAATATATTGGATTTTGTTATGAGTTTGAGTTAAACTTACTTTTAGAAATACCTAGGGGTGAAGAGTTTCTGTTATCATTTGGCAGTTGATACCATTCAGTAACAACAGTAAGTGGTGAATAAAGCTGAGTATTGCAATGGAGATTTCTTGAGAATTGCTAACATTACATGTGGATCCATCGCCAACAGTTACAGGCAGATAGGAGCGAGCTATGTTATAATTCATTTCAAAAATGAACAAGAAAAGCATTGATGCAAAGCATCAAATGGCGTCCAAGCAAGAAATGCAGAAAGTGAAGATGAACTAGTAGACATAATTGGTTTTTACCAAAATGAACGGACGGAAGACATTGTTCATTATGAACTTTGATTGGCATGCTAGAGATTAAGATATTACTTGTTATTTCTTTATGATCGTGATTATTAATAGCAACGGATATACATGTATACAATCATTTATAATCCATATGTGTAACGCATGATCAACACCACACTTGTGGAATTGTCCCTTATTATGTAATCGCTATTAGCGAAGACCCCCTCTTAAGGTATCTGTTCACACTTAGTAAAAATATGACACTGGTTATATTACCATGTCATGTTGAGCATTTTTGTTAATTATACAATAATTGTAATATCTATCTTAATAACAAAAATACAGATTTTATGAATATTGTTTTCCTCTCTTTTTTGTGTTTTATGTGCTATTTTAATACTGAGTTTTTTTACGTTTACTACTCTTTTTTATTAAAATTGTAAAATAAATTTTAAGAATTCAATTGTCATATTGACCGACGATTTTAACTCAAAACTTAACTGGAAAAAGTCAGTAAATTATGGTTAATCTTTCAATATAATTATAATATTGTTTATTCTTAAACCATGTACATGTACATTTGTATTTTTCTTTATCATTTCTTAAATTATCAATCAATTAAATAATTAATAAAATCTAATTTGTAACTCCTCGGCATCTTTACTAAACACGTATGACAAATTAAATAAATTAAATGTTTTAAAGTTGATAGTGTCATATTAAAACCATAAAAATGTACCTTTTTTTCACAATTATTGTACATATTTATTGTTTTTTATCTCATATAGATAAATTGAAACATGCTATTGTTGTTGTTGTTGTTTTTCGAATTGTATGTTTATGTATAATAATAATCAATAAATTTGAGAGTTGATCTATGTTTATTAATTATTGTAACCAAACTAAGTGACAAACATTCATTTTGGAAAAAAGCTTATTTATCTGTAAAATATTTGTTCTGTTCTGTAACGATATCAAACATCTTCTCCAAAACCGGGGAGACCGGACAATTTATGTGTGATACTATTCGCCGGTCACTAGTATCCCGGTCAAAATAGACCGGGAGAGACCGGAATTACCGATAGGAGTACATCCATCTATAAATAGATCCCTCTATAAAGATTTTCGGAATATTAGGTCATCAACTCATCATTCTATTTTAACATACCATATAACCCACTGTGTACTACAAAATGATAAATAAAAAAACCGAAGAGACGCATTTGAAAATGTTTGCATGCGAAATCCTCCAGTTCGCTAATCATTGTACATATCGCGACATTTCATTTTTAATTAATAAAAATCAAGCACCCTCATACCGATCGGAATGATCGGCTTTTATTATGACCGACTAAAAGGCTCGAGAAGTTGCTGTCGCCCTTTCACAAAATCTGATTTCATTCCATAAAGGGGTGCCGCGCTTCGGCGCGGACGCCAATGAAGTCTGTAACTGCTGATTGAAGCGTTTTAAGTCCATTTTCCTTGTGCAAGTTTTGTGAGGCATGTGATAATTATATATGATTCAAGCTGAAATTAATTTCTCAATTTCAAGTCCTAACGTGTTTTATATCATGCAATACAACATTGGTGCATTCTAGAATTGGTCTTATAAACGTGGGATAAGTTATTTTGAAAGAATTTCTATCAAGAATAAATTTTAGTTTTTTTTCAAATTATGATGATATATTGCCACGATTTGACAAAACCAACATAAT